TACTCAGCACCAAAAGTTTAACAGACATCTGACCACACCAAATTACGTTTTTCTTGACAATTGAAAAATCGTTCATTCATAATGTATGTGCCTGTTCCCCTTCAAAGGATGATAACTACACACACACTCTTTTAGATGAGCCACAGGAAGACGCTAACCAACTTCATCAGTCTTTAGTAGGTTAATCTCTTCAAGCTCTTCTTGTGCAGCTGGCCTCAGATAATTGATTTAATCCACACACAAATACATGAGCATATGTACACATGCACTCACACATACACGACTAATAACAGATTACAAGATGTGATCAGCAGTAAAGTGTTTGATGTTCTTTATTAAGTTTAAAATGTTATCTGTTAGTTACATAAAATTCTATTTAATTTAATCAGATTTCTTTATTCCATGTTTTCAGTGTCAGTCACTATCTTTATATGCAATTGAAATGCTGTATTATTTTCAATAAATATTGGATTATTAATAGGCTGGTAATAAAACTTTAGTTATTGTTCCTGTTTTGTTAGCTCTGGCTTGTGCCGAAAGATGAAAGTTTGATTTCATACAGCGGAATAAAAAATCAGGAAGTGAGCACAGTGTTTTGTGTGATTTGGATTTGTTTTCCCTTAAATTACTGAAAAGTACACCAACTTTCAAAAAATTGGAATCACTTGTCATATAAATAATTGCTGTTGTTCGATTCAATAATAACTTATACCACATATATTGAAATACTGTAAGTTAAACACCTGAAAGTATTAAATGTTTTGTTTAGCATAACGTTTTTTGGGGGGAAAGAAACAATGTTTATACTTCAACATGTATTTACAGTTGTTCCTTTATTCATTATCTGCCTTGAGATTTAATCACCACTTGTAAAATATGAGGTATTTCTGGATGTTAACTTTAGTATTATTGAATGAATTTTATTACAACTTCATTATCAAAGCTGTACAGCTTTCTCTGTCGTATTAGAAGCTTTGTTGTTCATCCTGGACACATCTAACATTTCTTTAGACAAATTACTTGAAAACTGAATATGTAGACTGATAGCAACTTAATAGAGTCATTTTATACATGTACCTGCAACCTGGTTTTACATGAATAAAACTGATTCCAAACCTTTGACCTGTAGCATATATTTTTGGTAAACTTAGATCTCAGATTTATTGAGAGAATTGACTTTGTTCAACTATAATGGGGATTTCCAACAAAAACACAAAAACAGAATTTTGATAACTTAGGAAGCTATTAGTGTCAAAACACTATAATCTGAAATCAAAACAGCCACGGCAGTGTTGCATAGTGTACCCCTGTAGAAAGTGCTTTCACTTGTTTCAGTGTTTTCTTTGCGGGAGGAAGTGAGATGGTCGAGTGTATTTTCATTAGGACTAGCCTCAGCAAACTCAGCTTCCAATTTGTTGCTCTAGCTTAAATGCCTAATGCAGGGACCTGGTTGGAGTTTGTTTTTGTTCTGTGTGAAGTGAGGGTGTTTTCACTAAAGAATGTGGAGAGAGAGCTTTCACAGCGGAGAGGCAGTTATAGCCCCGCAAATTGTCGTACTGTGTCTGTCCAGCCTTGGCTCCTGCCGTAAACAAATATATAGCTATTTTTCTTCTTCAGATGCGTTATGTAAGAGTTCCATGTTCTTTATCTTCAATAGGATCACATTTCCTTCAGAAACGCCTTTTCCTTATTTTCCTGTTTCTTTTTTCTCCTTCACATTTCAATTGACCAGTTGTTCTTCAGGCCAAGCGGAACTTTTTATAAAGAACAATCTTTCTCATTTATAGTGAATAGCAGCACGGATCGGCTAATGCTGTGAAAATCATAATGTCATGCCACATTCTTTCTCAGGACCATGTCTTAAGCCAGTCTTATCTCTGCCTGTCAGCAGGCTTGTCCCTGTCAGTTAATGCCAGAAGCCTAACTACTGGTGGCCTGAAGCACACTCAACTCATCAGAACTCAATCTCGTCCTCGCTCGATTCCCCGGCTCCTTGGAATTCTGTAAGATGTAGAACTCATGAGACCTCCAGGTGGCTAACTTTGTTAGAGTGACTGGATGCTGTTAATATAAGTGGAAGGCAGAATTTCCCATCTGCCATTGTTGATTTACATTGGAGGGAAAGAAAGGCTGCTCCCCCTCTCACAAACCTGTCAGAACCTCTGACCTGTGCTGGCATGTAAAACAGTGCATTTTACTGGACTTTTTTCTTCTCTCACACCTGTTGGCTGCGTGATTTTCTGCTGTTTGAAGGCTTTTTTTCGGTATCTGGGGGCATTCCTTCTCTCTTTCTCTTGCTCTCTCTCCTCTAAAAACACACATTTGTTTTTATTAGAGCTGTCAATTAAAATAATTAATTTTGTTTAATCACATTATTTTCTGTAGTTATTTGTAACTAATCATTGAGCATTGCATTTTGTTATATCTACAGTGCCACATTTTCTAGTATATAATGGCCTGTATGTAACATTAAAAAATGTAATAGGAATTTTCTTAGTCTAATGTTAGTCTAATCCTAAACCTGAACCTTTGTGCCTTTTCAGTTTTAAAAATGAAACATACAGTCTTTGCAAAAAACACTTTACAAAGTCTGGACAATTATGCTGCTCCTGACTAGATAGGTTACTCCTGTTTTGGGGGTTTTGTACATATTCGGGACACACACATTCTCTTAGCTCAACTCTTGGTAAAATCTGCCACTTTACTGAGCACATGCTTAATAAAATGCTCTTCTAGGAATGTGCTTCCAAAGCCTCCTCCGTGAAGAACAGCACAGAGCCTGCTCCTTCCATGTCCTGGGGAGTGTGATACACTCTGTCTTTGTGTCACAACTGCATTGCCTGACTCTGTCTCTTGTAGAGCCAGTGCCATGGAGGTCGCTGAAGGTTCAAAGGCCGCAGAATAGACCGTTAATTATGGAAGGGTGACTCACCACCACTGTTCAGTCTTCATCTGTGTCTTTCTGGCTTGGATCTGGGTAGCTAAAAGAAAGAACATTCTGTGATTTCTGCACTGGAAGACAAATTGAATTTCATGTCAGTATGATGTAGAAGTGCAACGATTTCAATACAATATTGCAAAATCAAATTCGAAACTGTATTGAAATATAAAACTGTATCACTAATATGCCATCTCTTCTCGTCGTCTCTCATTTGCTATTGAAACAAGGTGGGTGGGGAGGAGGCGGGCCTTGTGCCGACACTCAAATGTCTGAGATTTTACGTGACATTCTAGGGGCTGCGATTTTGGGGGCTTGTTTTGCTAGTGGCAGCACAGCAGGTGTTTGAGAACTTTATCTAAACCAAACCAGTCTGAGTAGTTATATAATTATAGCTGTGTAGAATAAAGACAGTTCAATCAAATCTTGATTTCAGAATGAAAAAACTGCAGCTGAGCACACATATACTTGGTCACTTTATCCACTTGTCTTCCACAGCTGAACTGGCACAAAGGGTTAAAAACACACACATGCACGCACACGCACAACCACTTATCAGATGGCTGTTCATGTTACGACCTGAATGCTGTCTGTGCAGACCTCAAAGCTGTGACCTCAAAGCTCAGCCTTAAAACAGAGAAACCACCCTCTCTTCAATCTTCCCATTTCCCTCAAACATCTTAGGCCATCTAGACTGGCTTTGTAGTCTGTATAATTCCTTTGCTAACTGTATAGCTGTGCCATTCTTGTGTGCTGGCTTGAATCAGCTCTTCACAGTGAAGTGCTCTGCTGCAAGGACCTAAATGACTCCACAGTTGAAACTTTGTTTAGGCCTTGCATCCTGCAGGGACCCACTCCAGGCAGTTTTCGCTCTCTGCCTGTGCGGACCTCCCGCGTCGTACCTTGCCTGAATAAATGAATGCAAAAGACTGAAGGCACGCTCACACGCATGTTGTGCTTTAAAGGATGGTTTATGTTGCTCTTGGCAGGGTCAAGGGCTCTGTATCATCACGTTTCCTGTTTAGAAAGAGAAGCATGTGTGTGAAAAACAGAGAGAGGGGACTAGGGCAGACTTTAAAACACTCTCCTTGACCTGGATCACAAGAACATGGTTGTAATTACAGTTTTGTACTGAATTTGTAAGAATTCAGCAAAATCTTCTCTGCACATCCCAGATTAAAGATAAAAGAAAGAATTTCTTGACATGAAAGTTAATTAACCCTTACAGGTATGAAGATATCATTGTTATTTTGCTATACTGTCTAAATGTGATTACATTACTACATAATTAATACATTGTTAGTTACTTAATAAATTAGATTTACATTTGATTTGCATTTGTGCCAGTTTTTTTTCCATTTGTTTTAATGCCATTCAATGACAAACGCATGAAAAAAATGTCTTCAACAATTTTCAACAATGCCTCAGCCATCCGTGACTGGGACTCCAAGAGAGCATATTTGGCCCCTTTCTCTCTTGGTGGGTAGAGTGGCCCTCCCTCTCCCATCACTCAGTGAGATGCTAGCCAATGCAGGTGTCTGTTAGCTGACACAAGCACATTAGGCTGTGCAAATCACATTGCATTAGTGGCAGAAAAGATGTGATGGAGCAGCATGTGTCCAGCCTTCACCCTCCCAGCAAAGTAGCACTGTATAATAGGGGGAGACCTATCTAGTAAGTGGAATTGGCCACAATTAAATTTATAAGAAAAAAGAAACATGGCAAAAATGTCAAGGTTGTTTTTTTTTATCTGCAAAACAGGACTGAATGCACAACAATAACCTTTCATGAAATCATAAAATATCTCTTCTTTTACTTTCTCTTCTCTAATGAACACAAATATGGTACTGTGTTTAGATTGTGCACTTTCAATAGAATTTCTTTGGATGTTTCAATGATTGAATATACTTACTATAAAATTGCAACATGGTTTTGTTCTCACCAGTGATAACTGTGACTTATTTACATTAAATATTAGTGAAAATGCAATAGTAACTACTAAATAACTACAGGCTACTACTAATACTTGCTTTTACTTTCTTTTATTCTACTTCCTCTGCAGGCCCAGCGCAGGGATGCACGCGTGTGGGAGCACTATGGCAGATATGACCTGAGCAATCCTTTTCTGGCCCTGCAGAGGGACAGTGAGGTCCTCCAGGGCTCTGCTCAGCCCAAGGAAGATGAAGCAAACTCTTCCCAGAGACAAGAGGACAAAAAAAAAACTGATCCTCTGTCCATGCTCAGAGAGGTGGTGGGACATTGCAGAACGATGCGGGAGAAGATGCTGAAACAGCTGGCAGCTGCTGAGAGCAGACACAGGAAGGTGAGAATTGGGGAGAGAGAGAAGGAAGGATGGGTGGATAAGGGGACCAATGAATGAGTAGCTGGGTCACTAGATATGTGTTTTAAGAAAATTTTAATTCCTCTTCACTCTTGGAGTGAGAAGCTAAAAAGCCTTTATTGGTTAAACGGTTTTAACCTTTTATTTAAGGGCATCTCCATTTCTGGACGAGTGGTATTGAAATTCATTTTTGTACTTTTTGAAACTGTAATCATAGAGCACCTCCATTAGACACGGAAAACATCCTTTGATAGCATTCTGTACTTGTGCTCTTTTAGAAGAGCTAAAAAAGTTAATTAGGTACCACACATCAGGGGGTGTGTTCCTGATGTCTGTGCAAGGTTTTAACATGTCATGGAAAAAAGCAAACATCACAGACATCAACAGTGACACTGTCATGCGTTTGTCACTCAAATTGGATTTTCCCGTCACTGACACACCGTAGCAGGTCACTGAGAGATTGTCTCGCTGTTTTATTGCATTAAGACTATTTAACCTGCATTCTTTTGTTTCTCTGGTGCCCCCCTGTGTTGGTGTCAGGTCATTGCAGATTTAGAGGAAGAGAAGAGGAGGCACGCTGAGGATACAGCCGAAGGAGATGATGTCACCTGTATTTTAGAGAAAGAGCGAGAGCGCCTCCTGCAGCAGGTACAGAGCTTTGTAGCTCATGAGCTTGTGTCTTGAAAAAATTTTATGTTTTTGTAAAAATATTTAAGATATTAACAGTAAATGCTGTGCTAATTTAAAATAAAATTGATTTATTTACAGGGATTTACTGTTGTGTCATACTGAGAAAGGTCATTTAGAAAACAAAAATACAAATGACATTAAGAATATGTTCAAATTACAGGGTTGAGAATGGCACAAATCTGATTCTTTCCCTAAATGTGACAGATATCTACAATCCCAATTCCAAAAAAGTTGGGACACTGTGTAAAATGTAAATAAATGTAAATAAAAACAGAATATGATGATTTGCAAATCTTATAGACCCATATTTTATTCACAATAGAACACAGAACACATATCAGATGTTGAAAGTGAGACATTTTACCATTTCATGAAAAATATTAACTCATTTAGAACTTGATGGCAGCAACGCATCTCAAAAAAGTTGGGACAGGGCCATGTCTACCATTATGTAGCATCCCCTCTCCTTTTAACAACAGCCTGTAAACGTCTGGGAGGTGAGGAGACCAATTGCTGGAGTTTTTGTCCCATTCTTGTCTGATGTAGGATTCTAGCTGCTCAACAGTCCTTGGTGTACTTTGCCGGATTTTTAGATTCATGATGCGCCAAATGTTTCCTAGGTGAAAGGTCTGGACTGCAGGCAGGCCAGTTCAGCACCTGAACTCTTCTTCTGCAAAGCCATGCTGTTGTGGTGAATGCTAGTGTAGTTTAGCATTGTCTTGCTGAAATATGCAAGGCCTTCTTTGAAAAAGAAACTGGATGGCAGCATATGTTGCCAAAACCTGTATATTTCGTTCAGCATTAATGGTGCCTTCACAAATGTGCAAGTTACCCATGCCATGTGCACTAATGCTCCACCATACCATCGTGGATGCTGGCTTTTGAACTGTGTGCTAATAACAAGCTGGGAGGTCTTTAGCGTGGGGGATGCAGTGTCCATGATTTCCAAAAAGAATTTCAAATTTTGATTAATTCGAGCACAGGACACTTTTCCACTTCGCCTCAGTCCATCTTAAATGAGCTTGGGCCCAGAGAAGTTGGCAGCATTTCTGGATACTGTTTACATATGATTTCTTCTTTGCGTGATACAGCTTTAACTTGCGTTTGTGGATGCACGGTGAACTGTGTTTACAGACAGTGATTTCTGAGCCGATGCAGTGATTTCCAGTACAGAATCATGCCTGTTTTAAATGCAGTGCTGCCTGAGAGCCCGATGATCACAAGCATCCAATATTGACCATCGGCCTTATCCCTTGTGCACAGGGATTTCTCCAGATTCTCTGAATCTTTTGATGATTTTATGCACTGTAGATGGTGGGATATCCAAAGTCTTTGCAATTTTACATTGAGGAACATTTTTCTGAAATTGTTTCATAGTTTTAGATGCAGTTTTTCACAGGTTGGTGAACCTCTGCCCATCCTTGCTTCTGAGCGACTCTGCCTCTCTAAAATGCTCTTTTTATACCCAGTCATGTGAGTAAGTTCCAAATTAGTCCTTCAGCTGTTTTTTCTTAGTATCACTTACTTTTCCAGCCTTTTGTTACCCCGTCCCAACTTTTTTGAGATGCGTTGTCACCATCAAGTTCTAAATGAGTTAATGTTTTTCATGAAATGGTAAAATATCTCACTTTCAACATCTGATATGTGTTCTGTGTTCTATTGTGAATAAAATATGGGTCAGTGAGATTTGCAAATCATTGCATTCTGTTTTTATTTATGTTTATTTACATTTTACACAGCGTCCCAACTTTTTTGGAATTGGGGTTGTACATTTTCAGAGCTGTGCCAACACAAAAATCAGATTTTTTTCAAATGTAATTTTAGCCACTTTCAGGTGTGGTCCTAGATGATCCTAATGACAGATAAGGGTTACTTTCAGGTACAATTGTGAACCATTAAGGAAGAAACATTAGATGTGAGCAAAATGGAAAAAGAGGGAAATGTTCTTTGATTATGTACAAAAATGCAAGTGAAACTGAATTTAATAAATTCAATGCATATAATAGAGGTGAATCTCTTGCGTTCTTAATTATTTAACTCAAACCGTTTTTGTTACTTGCCTCAATTATCTTCCAGTGTTAGTTATGTTTTTGCCTTATATATCTTTTAACTCAAGCAGTTTTTGTCACTTCCACCTCTCAGTGAGACAGTCCGCTGATGACATCAGCAGTAACGTGTTGACCAATTCACTGTTAAATGAATGAAAGATTAAATGATCAATGGCTTTTATCATATCATTTCATAATATAATACTTTAGTTTTCAGTTCACATTTTTATCTTTTTTTCATCAGTTAATTTTTTGTTACTTCCACCCTTGCAGTTATAGTAACTATAGCTTGTAGTCATGGTTACTCCTTTATAATAACTACTTTTTTGTATGTGTTTAGTTGGAGTTTGAGAAGTTGAAGGTCTCCCGCATAGAGAAGGAGAATAAGCGCTTGCATGATCAGCTGGAGGACGAGCGTGTGCAGCACAAGCAGCTGATGGCAGCACTGGGCCGCGAGTGCAAGCGCTCAGGCTCCCGTGCCCACGAGGAGGCACAGCGGGCAGGAGAGCTCAGCCGCCGTCTGGAGCGTGAGCGGACCAACAGTCAAACCCTGAGGGCGGAGCTGGAAGAGGAGAAGAGGCGCGCCATGCAGATGGAGGCCATGAGGGAGGAACTGTTGGCAGAGTCTGACACGGAGAGGGAGCTGCTGGCTCTGCGGCTGAGGAAGGAGGAGGAACGCTGCAGGCAACTGCAGGATGAGGTGGAGAGCCTGAGAAGAGAGGCACGAGAGCTGAGAGGAGAGGAGGAGCAGGTAGAGATGCAAATGAGCAATGGTGCTCTGGAGGGCAGTGTGGAGAAAACGAGTAAGAACCAGACAAAGATGAACGGTCACCACACCTCTGTAAAACAGGAAGACAGTAGCAAGAGGCAGAAGACGGAAAATGAGGAAAACGGAGGTTTTCATCCCAGTATAACTCCTAGCCAAAGTGAACTGATCAGTGGGAGCCCCTCACTGTCTAATGTGAATACTGACAATCTGTCATCCTACAATACAGGCAGCAGCCCACAAACAAACTCCTCCCCCAGCGTTCAGGCTGCCTATCAGGCTGGCATCCATCAGCGTTTCCACGCAGCCCGTCACAAGTTCCAGTCCACGGCTGAGCAAGAGTCTCAGCCCACCTCTCCTTTTCCTCCCCTCTCGCCCTGCGCTTCCCCAGTTCCCCCACTGGAGGGCAGTGCCTCCAAACAGGCGGCCCGCAGCACACTCACCCAGGCCCTGAGTCGCTTCAGCAGCCAGCAGAGCTCCAAAGCAGCTGCCCCTAACAGCTCACCCTTCGGCACAGACTACCGTGCCCTGTCTCCTGGAGTTCGCTCGCCCACTATCCCCAGAGCTGAGAGGGGGATTCCACCCCCCATCCCGCCTAAGAAGCCAGGCCTGGCCGAGACCCCACCCTCTCCAGCCACTCTCCGAGCCGCCCACTTGGCTCAGATGTCAGCTGGTTGTGGACGTAAAAGTACACCCGAAAACAGCAAAGAACCAGATCTGCTGCTGTCCTCTAGCGGCTAGCTGGCACTCATCACCACGTTTGTAACTACACTGTTAAAACAGGACGACATAATTGTTACAGTTAACCCTTAAATGCACAGCTGAATCACAAACATTCATTCTTTCTGTCCAAAAGTCTTAGGCATCTGAGAAAATGGTATGTAAAGACACTTAAATGGGCAGTAAGCATTTATTTGTTCAGAAATCACTTAACAATAAAATAAAAAATAAATAAATAAAGAGTACATTATGATATATATGATGTATGTCTGTCAGTGTGTTAGCTTAACCGTTTCCAAATCCCTAATTAAGAAAGCCCAGTTTTTATAGTTAACATCCATCTTCACCTTCACTGCTGATGGAATTCAGCAAATTTATACAATGACTGTAGTGCACCGAAAAGTCAGCAACAAACGTGTGTAATTCTTACTGTATTCTTTGAACCAAGATAGTAGTCAGTGTTTTTAAAAAAAACAATTCTTGTTACATTTTACTGTATTCACAGTTGTATGCAGAAGTTTGTGGGCCCCTCAAATTACGTTTTGTTTTGTGAAAAACAGTTAACACATTTTTGTTTATTTGCTGAATTTAACACAGTGGGAAAAAATAAAACATAGAACTTTGTAATTTAAATAAAGTTCTGGTGTTCAGACATTTGCATTTTATTTGTCTTTATTTTAATGTTATAGTGGTAGAAACACAATTACTGCCAAGAAAAATACTTCTTTAATAGTTTCTTTAATGACCAAGACTTTTGCACAGTACTGAATTTTGTGTCGTTTGCAAATCAGCACTTATATTTATCTGCAAACTAATGCAAAATTGTCCAAAGTTTATTCCACAGTGACAGAGTTACTTGAATGTATTAGAAAACATTTTGCTACATATTGATATTTGTCACAATGTTAGGTGAGTTGGGGGAGGGAAGAAGGGAATGAGGTCACAGGTCACTAACCACCTGAGGGTTGCATTTAAGGGTTAATTGCATTTTCCCCCATCATGTGTTGAGCACTGTTGAGTTTTTATTTGATGGTACTATGGGACTCTCCCTGTTACACACAGACTGAAAACTTTCAGGACTTCTATGTATTTGTACTACATGATGTTCAGAGAGTTGAACACATATAACTTTACATTTGATTTTGTGTCATTGTGCCAAAGGCTTGTATATTGTATAAGGTCCTCTATGAGTAACCAGTTTTTCAGCTTTTCTTACATTTCATTTACACAGCACAGCTTGTTTATTTTATTAACATATTTTTATGTCTTGTACTTGTATCTATATTTGTGTGTCTTGTGTTTGTATCCTTCTCAGAACATTTTCTAGTTAATACACTGTATTGTGTGTTTGTAACAGATTGCATGTGCAGACAAATGCTTTTTCATAGCAGATTTTGCATATGTATATCTGTACAATATTATGTACCAACTATTAGCTCAACTTCTGCTGCAGTATTCTATTCAGTGATATAAGTATTAGAAATCACATGAGATTGCATGATTTTCATAATATTTGATAATGTTTATCTCAGAGGTTCACATATGCAGTGTATTATTTTTGTGATACACTATCCAGATAATGTATACTTTTCACAGTGGTCACACAATATAATGTTTTCAATATCACTGTTTGTATTTATTGTATGAGTTGTATATATATTCATTAGGGATGCACAGATAGATTTTTTTTTTTTACCCAGTCGTTCAAAAGTAGTTTGGCTGATTTTTATTAGCCTGTTTTTACCCCTAAGCTTACTCTGTGTGGGCTAGATAAACACATGAAACACACTAGCATATTTTTAAATTTGTAAATAAATAATTGGTCATGTTATTTTAAATAACATGAATCAAATAAGATGCTATATGGAAAGTAAGAGGCAGCTGGCTATTTGCACAATGAGGCCTGCATAGATATGCTGTGACATTTTGGTTCAGGTGAGCAGCAACACTCAGGTACAGCACAAGTGCACTTACCTGCCTCATGTTATTAATAGTAACAAAGATCAGCCAAAAAAAAGCAAATAAATAAAAAATTGCCAACTGCATGTTTGGAGAAAATATTCTGATCTTGGACGATTCTGACCCTGCATCCCTAATATTATGAGCAATGCTTAAACCTCTTATGTTAGGCCACCAGAGGGCACTGGTAGCTCATGGCCACAGTTTTCAGAAAATAATTTAAGAGCATTGAACCAACACAGTGAAAAGCTTTTTTGCCTGCATTGACTGGATACATGTCATCACTCTGGTCATACAGAGAAAACAGAACATTTATCATATGTTTGTTTTTTCATTATTTAAGGTTACTCTTAAGTAATTTCGGGTTATTCTTGAACTTAATCTCCAATGTCTGAGGACACACTCTTTTTGGCACCTCTCGTGAGTGAACTGAACCACTTCAAGCTAGCACCACTAGCTGTCACCCTTTGCACCAGTGCTGATGTTGCGGAACTAAGTGTGTGAAAAATTTGTGAACATCGCAGGCATCCATGTGAGACTAACAGGGGTGAGGATCACAGTTTACCCAGCCAGGAGCCTCTCCCTAAATCCCAAATCCCCTCTTTATGTGTGCATGTGAGTATGTGTGGCCTGGGAGACAGAGAAGCAAACATGCATGAAGTATGTGTCACTTTGCTCCCCCCGCCACAGCCGTGTTACTGAGGGCCAATCGTGCATGAACATCCAGCTTATTCGGTTTGGAGCTGGACTGGAGAACTTTCACAACCAAGCAGTGCATTCACACCTCCCACCTTCCAGCACCTCCCAAATATCACTGATGAGAGATATTTCCAGGAGGAATTAGTTTTAACTGCAGCGCTGTCCCTTAAATGAATACTCCAGCATGTTTCAGTGTAATCTCTGTCTGCAACATCTGTAGGTGTGGTGTAGAACATCATGGACAGTAATTCCCCTGTACTTAGAAAAGAACAAGAACAGAAAACCAACTGAATCAAAAGAAGCTACGTCAAGGTGCTTCAGTTTCAGCACCTGCCCATTGGCTTTAACTTGTGTGCTTCAAGTGAAGGAGTTTTCTGTTCTTTTCTAAGTTCAGGAAAACACACTGAAACCGTATGTGAGTGGAAATTATGTTCAAAAATGCTGGAGCACTCCTTTAAAATCTAAACATTACTTTTTGCTGACTATGGTTTCTCTGCAGACATCCTCTATTAAGATGTGGTCACCTCCTCTGCTGGATTTTGCCAATTAACATTCCTCTTGGGGACAGTGCGTCGGGGTTGTGAGACCAACAGAGACGCATGCCTGGCCTCCACGAATGCCTCCCTCACACGATGCTGTGAGCACCAGTACTTGAACATAAGACAGGAGAATATCCTAATGACATCTGTAGGGAAGAGGCAGTGCCTGCCTCACAGGTTAATGCCCAGCTTGGACAGTTACTCTGGATTCTGCAGGGTTTAGCATGTTTTCCATTCATAAAGTATTGTCTAGATGTCAGAAGAATATGCAGTCAGGGTCGGGGTTGTGTTTAGAAGTCAACATGGCTTTGTCACTAGATACTATATTTATTGACTAATTAAAGGGAAATTGCTCTATTTTTTTCCAAATGTGTACTTAATTCAATTGTTAAGATGTAAACTAAGTGATTCAGAGTGGTTTGGTGTGAAATGCTCTGCTGTAGAGAAACTTGGGCCCAATCCCATTTCTTCTTTTTACCCCTACCCCTTGTTTTCGAGTGTCACCCTAACACCTTGGAACGGAGCTACACGGGGTAGTGGTTGAAATCTTGCCCTAAGAAATGGGACCCTCAAAAAAAAAAACAAAAAACAAAAAAAACATTGCTTCATTATCAGGCTACTAGCGGTGCTCTGTAGGCGACCCGGCCTGACTTCAGTGATAGCAGAGAAGGGAAAAGTTCAGCCACCTCGCCGCGGGGCTTTAGTTACATTTAACGCATCATATGCTTTCAAAGAGGGGGTATAAGACAATTATTTATTATCGCCCACCGTCAATTTATTGGTTATACGAAGCTGAAGTCAGCTATTCGCCAGCTTCTTGTTCGAATTTTCCCGTTCCACCTTAAATGGTGCAGCAGTTACATTCTGGCGCTTCAGGCGTCAGAACTGCTGGACTATTTAAGGTGGAACGCGAAAATTAGCTAGCTAGCTACCGAGATATTAGCATACTTTTAGCGATTTTTTATGCTTGTTACGAAGAAAACCACCATAATACATTGAAGGGACATTAAACTAAGATAATACAATGGTTATCGTAATTTTTGAACGGAGAAAATACTCACATTTGTGGGTTTCTTTGGTCGCTCGCGCAGCCATCTTGCCGGTTTTTCTTTTTTTCTGATAACACTCCGTTTGGAGTGTCTGAAAAACCTCAGTTTGGAGGGCCACGTAGCCCTAACACTTCGCCATACCCCTCTATCTCAACAAAAATTGGGACACCCGAACCCTAGACGTGAACGCGCAAAACAGAGGGCTAAGGGCCAAATGATAGGGGCAAGGGGTGAAACGGGACCTTAGTGACTCAGAATCATTCACAGTGATGGTTATAGGAACCAGACATCTGAAGCATCTGAATAATGCTCTAAAAGCTCCCTCACAGAAAGTTATTATATGAAATGGTTACAAATATTCTGCTTGATGTCTGAGGTATTGTTTAACAATAGTTTAGAGGCCAAGTTTTAGTCTAAAACTTATTTTTAGAATTAGAATATATTTGTCATAGTTTAAATACAACAAATTTGAACCGCTGCTTCCTCATCCCATACATGTAAATAGAAGTAAACAACAGTGGCATTTATTACTGCAGTAAAACACATTAACACATTAAAATACACATGTTCTACATAGAGAGGTGCATACAAGGCATTGTAAGGCAAAAGAGTCCACCCCCCAAAAAAACCTATTACTAATTTACTACTATTTTACCATCTTTAACATTACAGGTAAAAACTTGCTTGTGGGTTCACTCGCTGTTTTGGATAGTAAATAAAATGTCTATATTTGCATTGTAGGCATTGCAGCCAGTGGTTATAATCACCACAACTGTAAAGAAATCTGAGTCAGTAGGTTTCTCTACAATTAATTATTTCATATCAAACCACTCTGAATGATATCTCAACAATTGAATTGTGCAGAAATTAAGAAAAAAATCCCCTTTAAGTCACAATTATTATGGGTTTGGACCTGATATTATAGTACTATGGAATTAACACCTTAAAATCCCAGGGTTATTATATAATAAGGCTTATTATTCAGCAACTACAAGGTGTTTAATGCAAACTGGTTGAGCTATTCTTAGGTTACAGTAGTGTATAATAAAACTTTGGGCCCACCAGTGGACCTTGGCCATTTAAGGAGTTAAAGTGATAGTTTGATTAAAGCTAATGTACAAAATGCATCATACTGTAGCGTCCCACTACGAGCTTGCATTGCAACATTGCATTTGGAACATGTTACTCGTTCCCCAAATTCCACTGCAGTGTTGCTGCCTGTGCATGTGCTTCAACTGCGTGCAAATCAAGAGGCCATTAGACGCTACATTAGACATCCAATTACACATGGCTGTTTTCACCAAAGGAGCTGAAGGTTGTGATCAGCTTACCATCAAATCAAGATCCTGTGGGATTTAATATTGATTCAAAAAGGCGTTTTTACAGTGGAAAAGTAATAGCTAGACCGCAGCCTCTATGGGTTAGCATAGCAGTATGTATCCTGCAAATAATTTGACACTGGTCCCAGCCACAAGCCCCAGTTCTCCAGCTAGCCCTTTGATGAGCGCGATCCCGCCAGTGTGTTCATTCCTGGACAGTCTCTGGAGAGGACAATCATACTGGAGTGATTACAAAGCTAAATAACTGAACTCTATGTTATGATGCAACGAGTGAGTCTGGTCATTTTTAAAGGCCACTAACAACCTCAAAAGAACTGTGCTGGCCTTTCAGCACTTACGAAAGGGCACAGCATGAGATTAACGAGAATATTCTCAATAGCAATATTTACAAAAGAAAATGCAGACTATCTGAAGTTCAGTTCTTCATAAAAAGAATTACTGGAAGTTTCTAGAATTTCCTCCCGCTATAGCCAGACACCTCCTGTGGTTTGAAAGGGCTACCGTGTCCCAGTTGTCTCACAAAACCATTTGTCATAGAGATGTCACAGTAAAATCTACAGCCTAGCAAGTGGCCAAACTAAGAGTCAGTCACAAGCTAACAAGCTTACAGGAATCAAAGCGTAAAATAAAGAGTTACGAAACCTCAGAGGACATACTGCAAGTGTTTTCTCTGTTTCTGAGTTTTGACTTTCCACGAATCATTGTTTTTATTTCAAGAAGTGCAAAAATACCTTAAAATATGGTATATATAAATGGCCAGCCTAGTTTCAGAACGAGAGAACACAAACCAGTGTACCACACTGCAAAAACACCACTTAGTGTAACCAGTTCCAGTTTTGGTCATGATTGTCTAGTCATCCATAGTCACAACTATCCCGTAAAAAAAGACTTTTTAATGAGTCTTATTTTAAGGTTTATTTGACTTTATTGTGTGTAAAGCAGCACATACGCCTACTAACACCAACATTTTATGAGCAGGCTTGGGTGATTATGTAGAATGACAATGTCACATCCCGAAATAAATGAGCAATGTCAACCATCTTCACAGAGAATGTATTCATTGCACTATATATAGACTTGTATAAGCTGCTCTAGGCATGTTGATACCCAGACAAACACAGCACAAGAATACATACAATGACATCAGTGTCACTGGCTACATTATATCTTACTTTAATGGATGTAACTCATTGATTTATTTAGCTAATTACTATATATATATATATATATATATATATGCTGTCGTAAGAAAACCACGTATCTCCTTTTGTCATTTTTCAGTTTTTGACATAATTAGAAAATGCCTGTTGCTTTTTACATTGTGTGTAAATTTCATGAAGAATGGACCAAAAGAAACGGCCTAAAATGACTTGGGAAAATGTCTGGTTCCATTGACTTACATTAAAAGTAAAGTAGGTTTTTTCCTTCTCCTGTAAAGTTATCAGCAAGAACAAGCAAGAACAACCTGTTTAAGGTCTTACCACAGCATCTCAATGGGGTTCAAGTCAGGACTTTGACTGGGCCCCTCCAAAACCTTCATTTTGTTTCTTTAGAGCTATTCAGAGGTGGACTTGCTTGGATGTTTAGGATCATTGTCCTGCTGCATAACCCAAGTTCCACCTTTGACTCATCAATACACAGAATAAAGTCCTGGGGGTCAACTAGATGTTTTTCGGCAAATGTGGTAAGCCTTTATGTTCTTTTTGGTCAGCAGTTGTTTGCGCCTTGCAACTCTCCCATGGATGCCATTTTTTCCCAGTGTCTTTCTTATTGTGGAATCACGTACATTGCCCATAACTGAGGCAAATGAGGTCTGCAGTTGTTTAGATGTTTGTCTGGGTTCTTTTGTGACATCCTGGATGAGTCGTTGATGCGCTCTTGGTGAAATTTTGGTAGGCTGGATAACAGCTCTCAGTGTGGTTTGCTGGAGTCCCAGAGTCTTTTGCAATGGATTTGTAACCCTTTCCAGATTGGTAGATTGCAGTGACTTTGTTTTTCATCTGTATTTGAATCTCTTTCGAACGTGGCATCATGTGCTGCTTTTTGAGACCTTCTAGCTTCACATTGGCAGACAGGTTCTATTTAAGTGATGTTTAGATTCAACAGGTCTGGCAGTAATTATGGTTGATTTAGTAGCTGAGGGGGCAATTACTTTTTCACATAGGGCCAGGTAGAGCTCATCAGAATTTTTCCTTCAACAAATGAAATCCTCACTTAAAAACAGCATTTTCTGTTCACTTGTGTTAACTTTGTCTAATATTAAAAGTAATTTAATGATCTGAAATATTCAGGAGTGACAAGTATGCAAAAGTAGAAGAAATTGGAAAGGGGCAAATACTTTTTCACAGCACTGTACAGTTGTATGCAAAAGTTTGCAAAAGCCACCCCCGGTTTTATGTTTCGTATTTTTTGTTTTGTTGATTTCATAAGTGAAAATAAGTTAACTCATCCTCTACAGGGAACTCGCTGAAATATGAAATGTTTCTTGATATTTTTATTTGTTTTAAAGAATGTAGCATACTGGGTAAAAATAAAACATAAAATATATAATTATGTGCAATAACTTTTGTGTATTTTTATTTTTTCAATATGTTAAATTCAGCAAATAAATAATAATTGTGCACGAAAATGTGCATAAATGTGTGTTCACTTATTTTCACCTAGAAAGACAATACAAACATACAACTGCAAATAAAACTATTTTGTATAATGTAAAATATATTAGATTGTGAATAATGTATTACATCACTTTTATTATTATTATTATTATTATTATTATTATTATTATTGTTGTTGTTGTTGTTGTTGTTGTTGTTAAACATGTCTCTATGCCTATCCTTAGCGATTCTCAGTGAAGTCTTTGATTTCAGTCAGGGATTAGACGAGTTTCAGGGAAATAAGACGCTGTTATCTGTGACAGCATCAGGAAATCGCCCCTGACACCAACTCATTCACTCAGATAGAGAGCTCTAACACTGACTACTGATGTCATCCAATGAGGGTCCCACTCAGAGCCCCGCTCCCTCCCACACGCGCACTGCGCTCTCACTCTGATGCCGGAGCTCATAAACTGCGCTGCGCTCACTGAGCTGCTCTGAGCGCACTGTCTCTCCATCAGCCGCTCCTGAGGGGCAAAGTGTGGACCGACTGCCTGAGGGGCTTCAGTTTGGACTCGGATAGCTGTGCTCATTCCAGACAGTGCAACTGGACTCTTTCACTCCTTTCATAAAGGACATAATGGACAGGTAGGCTAAGGAGTGAAGGATGGACAGCTGAGGTTTTCAGAGAACAGTACAGAACCGTTACACTGGTCACTTGGAGAAGGAAAAGAAACACGCTTTGCTCTTCATTTGCTCCTTCTTCGCTAAGCCCGCGATGGGAGAGGGTGCTAAAGGCGGCTGTGCTGCTGCTTCAGCTCGGACTCACTGTAACAGCTCCACCGACACGGCCACTGTGCAGAGGATTTACCTTCCGCTCTTCCTGCTGCTGCTCTTGTTCACCCCGCGCGTGGATTCCTCCTGGTGGTAAGCGCGTCTTCAACTCCTGCAAAACCTGAGGCTTTTTGAACCAGCGGCTGATGCACTTGCTAATATGCGTTTTCTGGGTCACGGTTAGCATTTCCCAGACAGATCAGGCCTTTAAAACCTACAAGGCAAGCAAAGATCTTAGATTTAATATCGCTTTTAACTTTTCACTGGTTAAAATATACTTTTATAACGACACTACGTCTTGAGTGAACTGTAAGGAATTGCCAAGTCATGCATTGAGATGGACGATACTGTAGAAGTGCCAAGTGCAGTATTAAACTACTCAGAGCAATGTAAATTCTCAGGAAATTTTGGTCTATTTCTGTCAAAACAAGCAAGGTTATGCAACCATTTGTGGGTTTTTAGTAAACAAAAGGTGGTCAGCTCACATAGAGGTGGGCGATATAGCAAAATATTGCGATACTTCAAGAAATTTTTACTAAACACAATATGTCATGATATTTATTTTTTCATACATCTGATTGCAACAGAGAAAAAAGAACCTGTAGCGCTACATACTATCAAAGACATACTATCAAAACTGTGAACGCTATGATTTGTATTAAATATTTCACATTTACTGCATTAAATCCCATTAAACAGGACTAATTTTGCTCTCTTCATAATGAAACATGCAGTTGGTCAGTTTTTTACTAGTACTGATAATAGCCACAATATGTTCAGAAAATCATATTGTATTGTGACACAATTTATCCCAATAACCATATGTATTGTTATATTTCCCAGCCCTGAGCTCACATATTTTAATGTGTTGGAGAGCGTTTGTTGGTAGTAATGTGATGATATAGGTATTATTTCTTGATAACAATAAGGTTGGGATAAAAAATCCCCCCTAAAAATCCCAGGCTTATTACATACTTAGGCTTATTACTCAATAACTACATGGACTTCAATGCAAACCGGCTGAGATATTCTTGGGTTATAGAAGTGTGTAATAAAAATTTGGGCCCACCAGTGGGACCTGGCCATTTAAAATTCTCAGCCTTTGTATATGCTGAAGCTTATTGTTCTGTAAGTATATGGACTATAATGCAAACTGGCCAAGTTATTCCTTGCTTATATAACTGTGTAATAAAATTCAGCAGGTCCTGGTCATTTTAGGGATTGCATAAACTTGCATTTACTGAAATACTATGGCACTTAAAAGAATGGTTTATCTAAGAAGTATTAAGAAGACGTGTAGAAGTGAAGATGTGTTTGGAATTCATACTTTAGAAGTTTCTCACCAGAAAAGAACACCAGTGTCTCCGATTAGCATGGCTGAGGTCTAAAAAATGAAACTCAATAATCAAACGTCAGCTAAAGTAACTCCATAAACAAAACTGTTTTTTAAACCACAAACTTTATGTTTAATTCTATCTCATAACTGAAATGTATGAAGATCTTGCAAACGCCTGTGAAGCATTTAGCCTGTGAATAATTTGCAGAATTTATCTGATTTGTAATGAGTTTAGTTACTGAATAAGTTACTGAATAATACAAATAAAAAGATTAATATCTGAATAATAAGCTCAGGATTCAAAATGTACCAAGCATGTAAACTAGGCTAAGACTAGAATTCTTTTTCAGTAAACGTCTGGCCACCAAAGCAGCACACTATATTATATCACACAATATTGCGCACTATCCCTGTCCACCTCATAGCAATTGGTCTTTGAGTCATCTGCAAAAGTGCAGAAGCAGTGCACGAACTTGCCTAAAGTATTAAAAACATAACTTGTCATGAAAAATGAAAATATAAATATAATATGAACGCAATGGCGTTCCATAAAACGTACTCGACTGCAATGTGCAAACTCATCCGACATTCTTGTTCAGGGCCATAGACTTTGTCTGAGTTTGGTCGCGGGTTATTGCCTTTCAGCTCCTTTATACTTGTCGGTTTTGTAACAGCAGATGTGATGAAACATTGCAAGATTTCTCAATTAAATGTTTCTCTCTGTCACTAATTGCAGCGTCCGTGGGCCCTCCATCATGTCTCAGTGGTAGCAATATCAACACAGTCCAACATCTTACCACATTGTAGCCGACTGCTTTGAGGCCTACAGCTGTGTAAACAACAGAAGTCTCAGTAGTCTACCCAATTTTAGATTCTTTGAATGGAATCCCCCCTTCAGCAATGCGAATGTGATCTTCTATCTCAGCCAAACAGGCAATGATATTATACCTATTCATGAATGGGCAGACGGAGTGCTATCTTATAGTGTAAATGGGGCCCTTTGCCCCATGTAAGGGAGCTGCTAGAGTGAGATTTAGCCGGTAAGACACGTATGGCTGCATGCCCAACACCGCGTGAGCCGCAGTGATAAATATCTCTCCGTTCCTACAGTAATTTATACAGTTATGGGGATTGTTGTCATCATAGCAATCAATTCACACGCAGTGCTTTTCTGGCTTGCAGGCATTACTCTTTCTCAATTCCAGGCACACGCGGCTGATAAGTCTTTTGCAGTAGGGACCGTGTGCGTGTGAAGGATAAACAGGGCAGCCTTGCAGAGCAGGCCCTCCCTGGTTGCTGGTGAGAAGGATAAGTCTTGTGGAGCAGTGCGTGTGCGTGATAGGGACAAGGACGTCCATAAGAGGAGTGGAAACTGAACAGTGGGTTCATCTGAGCACCATCACACAAACCCGGCTACGACTGACTGGATAATGAGATCCGGGGAAGGAGACAAGGCTGTGTGAGCACAGCATAAACTTTGCGGTGTGTGCGGTAGATTTGAATTGGTGGGGTCAGCTGGAGGATACTGTAATCCCCAATTTGCCACCCATGGCCTGATTTTGCACAACTCTCTAATCCAAACAGTGTTCAGAAGCCTACTACTCTTAACAATCTCTTCAACTGCTCTTAGCATTGTGGTGCCATAAATGTACACAAACGTCCCCTAAAAAATCAGCTAGGAAATGTTTGGTGTCTCAGGTTTCCTTCTTTAGTTTTGCACTGGAGCTCTGATGCTAAAGTAGCTAACAAGCAATGGAAGCTTAGTCACCCGTTAGCATTGTGCAAACTGCATTCCTAAATCATTTGCCTCAAAGAGAAATTGATTTTTGATTTTTTAATGAAATGTTTTTAAGGGGAAATTTTTCAAAATTTGTGTGTAATTTAATCATTGAGACGTAAACAAAGTCTTTCAGAGTGGTTTGAGGTGAAATGGTTCAATGACTCAGATCATCTTTAAAGTGGTGGTGATAGGAACAAGGGGTCATGACATCTGCAATGTAAATATAGCCATTCCATTTAGAATGAAAAATGACCAGTGAAGCTGTAATGCTGAAAACGGTAAAATAGTGGTAAAATTGAAAAAAATCGTTTCATTTTTGGGTACTATTTTTGCCATACACACATGCACGTACCTCTCTGTCATGAATTGCTTTAAAAGTGTTTTAACCCAAATCTTTTCCTCAAAACTATCATGCAACAATGTCTCAGATATGAAATGAAGAATTTGTAACCATTTTGAGTAACAGCTTACTGTGATGGAGCTTTTAGAGATACTAAATGCTTCAGACATCTGGTTCCTATCCCCACCATAATGAAGAATGCTGGGCACGTAAGTTTCTGTCAATGACAAACTTCACGCCAAACCACTCTGAATGACTTTGATTACAATTTATTTATACAGAAATTTGAAAACAAATGAATTCCCTTATAAGTAACCTCAAACAGACTTGCTTATGTGGTTTCTCTCACTGTTCGACATTGTTATCCACAGAAAACAACAAATCTAAGCTGCTGCTACTATTTTTAGCTATGTGGTTCACTTTTGTTCCTTTTTGTAAATAACAACACATCATACAGTGTTAGATACTACATAAAAAAGTATATTTAAGATTATTTAGGAACTACACATGGTTTGAGGAAAGAGTCTGATCTTTTATTCATACAGTTTGCAACGGATGCTTACAGGTGACAATAGGCTGCAATTTCTTGTTAGTTACATTAGCCTTATAAAACACCAAACATGTCTTGGCTGATCAACTATATGTGGGGTAAATGGAAAACTGTATACATTTCTGCCTAAAGTATCCCTTTAGACTAACCTAACTAGTTGATAACCCTTAAATTCAGTGTCACAGTATATCCCCATGTACATGGTACACTGCTTTATAGCACCGCTATTTCATTAGTGGTAAATGTAGACTCATAGGCCTACTTCTGTGGCTACTTTGTTCCGCAGGTATATTGGTGCACTGGGTGCTCGGGTTATATGCGACAACATTCCAGGCCTAGTCAACAAGCAGAGGCAGTTGTGCCAGCGACACCCAGACCTGATGCAATCCATTGGCGAGGGAGCCAAGGAGTGGATCCGGGAGTGCCAGCACCAGTTCCGACACCACCGCTGGAACTGCAGCACGTTGGAACGAGACCACACAGTGTTCGGCCGCGTCATGCTCCGCAGTGCGTTCCTCCTTTATTTATAGCACGCTTCATAGCACATTAATAAGACATGGATAATACTGATATAAATAATCCATATATATTCAGGGATCCATTATACATTGCTTATAAATAGGCTGTACCAGAACAAGAGAGAGGGAAAGCAGCCAACACTTCTCAGCTTTCCAAGAATGGGAGAGAGTCTGAGAGAGAGTGGATATTCTCCAAATACAAGTGGCGAGTAGGGAGGGGATCAGCGCGGCTGATGTATAAACAGTAATAGGAGATGTAAATATTTGTAAAGATGACTCTGGCAGACAGACAAAGCTGCCGTCTTTGACATATCACCCTCTGTTTTGGCTAAGTGCGTAAGCGGGAGGATGAAAAATGAGGGGAATGGGGGTCATTGTGCTCTCCGCTGCAGGGGAAAAACACACCTCAAGGCTGTGAGTGCAATCATCCAGAGAACTGAAGGTGAAGAAGTGTTCAGTCTGAATCACTCTGATGGCAGGAAGCTCCAGGGTGGCCTCCTACGCTCAAACAGGCACAGAAACCCAAGAGCTTAAACCTGAGAGGATGATGGTTAGGTGATGGTCCATATCACACAAGCACAAGTGTGGAACCATAAGCAGAAGTCTGTAGTAGTCAACAAGTAGTTGCTTGTAGACAAGCGAAACAAACAGCATTTAGACGATTCAATAAAACGTATCTAGGTGCAGACATCTGTGTGCTTTCCAAAGCTGCATAACAATCCTTTTATTACTGTGCGTCATGACTCATGAATCATGTATTCCTTTCCAGGCAGTCGAGAGGCAGCGTTCGTGTATGCCATCTCCTCTGCAGGAGTGGTCTATGCTATCACCAGAGCCTGCAGCCAGGGGGAGCTCAAGACCTGCAGCTGTGACACCCACAAGAGAGGGAGAGCCAGTGACGAAATGGGGGGCTTTGACTGGGGTGGCTGCAGCGACAACGTCAACTACGGCATCAAGTTTGCCAAGGCTTTTGTGGATGCCAGGGAGAGGATGGTAAAAGATGCCCGAGCTCTGATGAACCTGCACAATAACCGTTGTGGGAGGATGGTGAGGATAAACCATTCTAGTATGAAGTTTGGGTGATGGTGGTCATGCAAGCGGAAGGTCAATCACAGTGGCTGATTCCCAATCTGTTTCTGGAGTATTTTTTCTGCCCTGTGCATTTTAATGTTTTCCTTGCTCTAACACACTCACACCTACACAATAAAGCCTAATTAATTTGCTGACTAATAAGCTGATTAGTTGAATTGGGTCACCAAAATATACTGAGCAGTGGTTCTCCAGGTCCAGGGCTTGGTACCATTGGGTTAAATCAGCACTGCCAGTTGTTGAGCACATTAAAAAACATATTAAGTCATATTAAGCCATTGTCTGTTCCATATTAAGCCACAATTTATTTAAAAGCAATGCTTATTAGATTGCCAATGGCCCTCCCTCTCATGCCCACATAAATAACTGAATACAAAACAGATATCTTGCTGAAATACTATTGCATTGATACAATCAAAGATAAAGTGGTCTTCTCTAAAACTCAGGGGGTGTATGGAGTTATTGATCAACCCTTGCTTTCCTTAGGCAGTGAAGCGCTTCATGAAGCTGGAATGCAAGTGCCATGGAGTCAGCGGCTCGTGCGCTGTACGGACATGTTGGCTTGCTATGTCAGATTTCCGCCGCACGGGAGACTACTTGAGGAAGAAGTACAACACAGCCGTGGAGGTCACAATGAACCAGGATGGCACTGGGTTCATGGCTGCAGACAGGAACTTCCGAGGAACAACCAAAAATGATCTTGTGTACGTGGAAAGCTCTCCAGACTATTGCCTCATGGACCGAACAGCAGGTAGGTGAATGGTCTTAGCGAGTGAGGCCGAATGGCCTACTATGGTCTCTTCTTTGGAAGCCTTTGGCTTAATGGGAAAAAAAGAGAAATTAAAAGTATTGCATAAGAAGTGGAAAGCTTGGAATCCAAGCATTCAGAAGTCCTGTTTGTTTAGATTACGTCAGCCTGACTGGAAGAAAATGGTACACAAAAATCTCTCATAAATCTTATGTGCTTAGAAATAAACTGAGGGCTTTATAAAGACAGCAAACTTATTCACCGATACCCCTGAATGACCTATCCAAGGGTGTCCAGCTCTGGTCCTAGATTCCAGCACACTTCTGTGATTTCATTGCTCACACTATGCCGGACTTCAAAGCCCTCCAGGAAGAGAGCTAAACACCCTGGCACAGGCCATTCACCCACCATTTCATTCCTTGACATGGGTAATGATGTACACTCACTGACTGATTAAAAAACAGTGGATGCGACATTAACACAATGAGATGGAATGGAATGGTATACATATTCAGAATACAGATATTAAGTGTTTATTCCACATAACATTTAAAAAGGACATATTCAGAATACAGTTTTTAAAATTTTAGAATACACACACATTATCTAAGCTGCTTAATCTTTTGGGTCACAGGGGTTGCTGGAGCCTATCCCAGCGGTCGTTGGGCAGGGGGCAGGAAACATCCTGGACAGATCGCCAGTCCATCGCCGGGGCACTTTTTAGAATACTTACATACTAAATTAAAAAGGATACAATCTTTAAAAAAATGCTAGCATATTAACTATTTAGTGAAGGAGGAAGCTGTGGGAATGTTCAAATGTTCACTCTTCAAAGCCACTTCATTTTTTAAAAAAAACATTAAGCCAGTTTTGTTCATGATTGTTGTTGATTCAGCTGAATGTGATGAAATGTTTTATTTTGCTAAACAAGTTTCCTGCAAGCTTAAAGCGATGTCCCACTTTAGCACACACTGTTCCACTTCAGCTGAAAATATTAGGAGGCTTGTGACATCTCACAACAACACAAAACTGCATGAGCTAAAAGAGGTTCCATGTGGATCCCACTTTTGCTTAGTTAATGAGACAGGCAGCAGTCCATTTCGGCAGAGTGTGGGAGCAGCAGTGGACTGGAGCAAGCGATGAGTGAAAAAGGAGCTGAGAATCTTGGAAGTTTTTTCAGTTGATAAGCGAATTTTTGATAAAAAAAAAAACGTTTGGAGAAGAGCTGCCTGAAGAAAACTGCCAACAAGTAACAGCAAGAAACAGTTTGAATTAAGCTGCATTCTCAGTGCTTTACTTTTTAATGTGTTGTAACAGAACACATGTAGGGCAGTGTATTCAGTACTCAGCTATCACTACTTTTTCAAAGTATTCTTTCAAACTTCCCACACTGACCTACTCTCTCTCTGTTTCAGGTTCTCTGGGCACTGCAGGGAGGGTGTGCAACAAGTCATCCAGGGGCATGGATGGTTGCGAAGTCATGTGCTGCGGCCGCGGATACGACACCACACGAGTCAAACGAGTCACCAAATGCGAGTGCAAGTTCAAGTGGTGCTGCGCTGTAGAATGCAGCGACTGTGAAGACACTGTGGACGTTCACACCTGCAAGCCACATAAGAGGCCCGACTGGCTGGATCTCACTTGACTGGCATGGTTGCGGCCAAGCACTCAAGAATTTCATCTTCTCAGGTTTTTCAAGTGGACCACTGCATCATGGGATGCCGGGCCCCAGCTTCCAGATCTCCACCAGCAAACCTTTGAACCGTGTTGGACTTCCGTGGTGAAATAACAGAGGCGAAGCTGTTACCAAGTCTGGAACCTTGCTAGTCATTGGATGTCATGGGAAAGTATATTTTAATCTATGGTTTGCGTTGTCGTGGCTGAATGACCTGTGATCAGATCGTAGAAATGGTTGCACACTGCTTTAAGACTCTCATGTTAACTTACATACATAACTCTTAATTTGCTTTTAAGACTTGTTTGACAAGAATGAACATTTGTTACGCTCTTTCCCTTAAATGGACTCCCAGATTTAGTCTAGCTAACTGAAATTAAGATCAAGGACTTGACACTGGAGATGGTACAAAGCACCAAGAACTTCTATGAGAAGAATTCAGAATAGACTGATGCTCTCAGTTCTATATTTGACTGGAAGCACACCCCAACTTTCCACAGCACATGGAAATACCCCTGATTTGTCCATTAATCAAACCTGCAGAAGGAGCTCGTTTTTGTACTTTGAAGGACATATATATTGTAAAACAATATTACAGCTATAATTCTTCTAAATTCTTTTCTGTTAGAGGTTTATTTTGATATATTTGACTTGGAATAACAGAATTCAAAAGCCAGCTTTTCCAGGATGTCATCATTTGTCATGTTCCAAATACTGGATATTTTCATCTCTTGTTGATGAAGTTTAATATCTGAGCACTTAAACATATTTGTGTGACAAAACAGATATTTTCGCTGCAAAACTCGACATAATTTAATGATATTCCCAGTGCAGTAAGTAGGTAACTGACTCTCGGTACTTGGCTCAGTACTGTAGCACATTGGATTTGAAATTAAACAAAGACTATTGAGGTTAAAGAACAGAATGTTAGCTTTGATTTGGGAGTATTTACACATGTACTGGGTGAACCACCCTTTTGCACATCATAAGTCATCCCCACTGTATCATAAAGAATTGTACAAAATCTTGTTCTTGTTTTGGTGGCTTTTTGCCCAAAAGGCATGATTCAGGTCAGGTAATTGACTTGGCCAATCACAAACCTTTCCCTCTAAACCTGGAAATCTCCATAGTTTAATAGTAGCTCCATAGTTTAACAGTATTATGTTTCAGATTGTCTTGCTGGATGGTGAAGGGCCATTGATTTTGATCATTTTTTGAGTTTTGAGGCCTTTGGTGGGATCTGAGCAGTTAAGGTCTTCTGCTTTAGATTGTCAGTCACATCATCAGTAAAGTTAACTATTCACTTACTGTCTAATATATCCAAGACCTTAACATGTGCCACTGTTATGGGACAATCAATGTTATTCACTTCATCTGTGATAATGTTTTGGCTTAGCAGTATATGACTGCAAGTGAAACTGGTCACTTTCCTGATGATATGAGTGTCATTATGGTATAATAGGGAATAATGTATAAAAAGGCTGTGAGTATTATATGGTTCACCCAGTACTTGTGTAAATACTCTCAAATTAAAGCTAACGTCCTGCTCTTTAACCTTAGTAGCCTTTGTTTATTGACAGTGATTTAAGAAGGGACAAATCATGAACCAGAACCAGAAACAGGGTATTTTGCACCCAAGGCTCATCGATGAACGAGGGCAACCAAGGTTATCTCATCTGGGCTGAACCAACAGAACGGCTACTGTGGCACAGAATTTTTTAACAATGGTTACAAGAGGAATGTGTTACAACACACAGTGCTTTGCACCATGCTGGGTATGGGGCTATGTGGTAACAGACCAGTCAGAGAGCCAATGCTAAACCCTGTTCACCGTGCAATGGATGATGCTCACCAGGTCCAATCTCATTTTCTTTTAAATCATGTGGGCAGCTGGATATGTGTGTGCTGTTTACCTGGAGAAGTAATGTGACCAGGATGCACTGCTGGAAGAAGATAAGCTGGTGGGGTGTCTTGAGCAATATTACGCTGGGAAACCCTGGTTCCAGGCATTCATGTGGACGTCAATTTGACACGTGTTACTTACCTTAACATTATTACAGACCAGGTACACCCCTTCATGGCAATGGTAATCCCCAATGGAAGTGGCCTCTTTCAGCAGGACAATGCACCTTAAAACACTGCACGCATTGTACAGGAATGGTTTGAGGAACATGATGAAGAGTTCCAGGTGTTGTCTGGCCTCTGAATTCCCTCGATCTCGATAGATGCAAATGCTCCATTTACAGTCAACTCCCTCATGCAGTAACCTAGTGATGGCAACACCATACAGGTGGCCACAGAACAACTGAGTGACCACTTGTCATTGATTCTGGGCCTCTAAAATGAGAGTCTGAAATTCAAATATAGTTCATCCAAAATTAATGTATTGCTCCTCAAAATAAAGCCCACCATCTGTACTAACTACATAGTCATTGTTTCACTTGGAATCTTATATGCTAAAGAACCAAAACAACACAGCATATGTCACAGTCTATAGACTGCCCTGTAGCTATATTTAATCTGAGGACACATAATTTTACTTATGATCATTTACTTGCAATGGTTTAGATGAGTCTATGATAAAGTAGACATTTTTCACATTTAGTTTCTCTGCAAAATTGCATATTCAATGAAATTTCCAGTGCAGTAAATAGGTAGCTGACTCAGTACTTGGCTCAGTACTCCAACACTACTTTGCTTTGATCCATGTGTAAGATATTAAGTTGCTTAAAGTCAACCCAAAATCAAAAATTTACATGGTTAGTCTATGATGATATTAAGTATAATTCATCATACTATACCATCTAAAAGACAGCTTTGATTGTGTCACCAGCAGGCAGGGAAAAATACCTCCCTCTTCCAGCACTCAAGCCTATCATTAAGCAAAAACACTCAGCTAGATCAGAGGCCCTTCCTGACACCATGATTCATTTGGGAAGTACATTACGATATGGTACAGAAAATGCATGATGACTTTCAATTCACGTTAACTTTAATCTTGAATCTTTTCTTTTAAAAATGTTAGAGATGCATTACCATCTTCAGTGCTCTACTGGCCCTAATCCTTATATCCTCAGGCAAAACCAATGCCAAATGTCAAATGATTGCTATAAGAAAGAGACTGGAGGATCGAACAGCAAAAATAGCCAGGACAGCATGGCTAGCATTCATTTTGCTAGGCCAAATGGGTACATTTGGTGTGACAACATGGTTGTTTCTAAATTTGCCGTTAAGATGGATGAGTGAATGCGAAGTCAGGCTTTTGGCATGCTGGTCGTAGTATGCATGTCCAAAATGGCAGTGCCATTAATCTAAGGCAACCTGAACCTTTGTCAGGTACAGGATAGGGGGCTTGCACTGACATTTGTTATGCTGGCATGAACAAAAGAGTTTAAATGTGGAGAAAAAAAAGGCACAGCCCATTAATGGACATAGATTCTAAAACAAATCCTTGGTAAAAGCTACAGTGAGTAACAGAATATTTTAAACAAATAGTGGATAATGGAAATATTTTGCGTAATGTTAAATAGTGACAGAAGCATAGCATCACATCAGTCAGTTATAAAGAGGTTACTTTCCATTTCCATTTCATGTGATCATCAGAAAACCAGTAATGCAGGACACAATTCAAAAATGAACTGTAAAGCCGGAACCTTTTATAACTGTATAACTAAAAAGAAAGAAATGTTTTGGTCTCACAGCCTAAAACCAAGTGTCTTTGTATGAATGCACTTCTGTCCCTTAAAAATGCATTTAAGATAAAGTTAATAAAGTCTCCAAGAGCTTGGGTAGTAGAGTTTCATTTTGCTTTCAGGGTTCATCCAAAGATACATTTTTCCAATGCTGGAATCTCAAAAATTTCCCACAGCCAGTCTAATAATGTTTTCTGCCATTCGACAGTCCTACCTCACACTTCGTCTTGCCAAAGAAAAACGTTCTGTGTTGAGAAAGAGCTGAGGAAAACATGTCAGAGCGTGTTTACATTCAAGCATTGTAAAATGGCTCCCTTGATACTATGTGGTTGGTGATGAAATTTATGCATGTTCCTAAACAGAAAAGTCTACCATTTCAATTAGCGTGCTAATCCCTATAAGACCTCACTGACAAAGTTGAGTCGTTTCAGTTGAAAGCTTGGGTCTTGAATGTCATTGAGAGTTTCTTGAGCCAAATGACATTAATAACTGTTCATTAAAAGGAAAGTGCGTACATTAATCACATGATCGTCTTCTCACTGTGCCAAGCGTGTGTGGTCCTTGTAGTCTTTTGTGCAAGATAATGATCTTGTTACGCTGAAAACCATCCAGCTGTTTTCAGTTCCGCCAAACATAACATTCTGATACTTGTCATATATTTATGAATTCACACTTTTTCTTGGAGATATTCCGGTGTTTTTTTTAAGCTGTTCCATGAGCACTTATGAATCAAGTGACCTTACATGCCACATTTCATTAGCGTAAGAGATTGATACCATTTAGATTTAGATTTAGGCTGTTAGATTTAAGCTGTTAGATTTAAGCTATGATTTAAGTCGAACATACAATCAGGTCAATAAGCATTTGGATAGAGAGTTTTTGTTATTTTGGTATACCACCGCAATGGATTTGCAATGAAGCAGTCAAGATGAGAAAAACGTAATTGGACAGTTGACTAATAAGCAGTTTGTTCCCTCATTATTTCTTGAATAATTAAGGAGATAAAAGATCTGGAGTTGATTCCAAGTTGATTACAAATATGCATTTGGTAGCTGTTCATTTGAACTCTCAACATGCGGTCCAAAGACGCTTCGATGCAAGTGAGAAGGTCATCATTAGGCTGCAAAAAACAAACCTTTCAGAGAGAAAGCACAAACTTTAGGAGTGGCAAATCGATATTTTGGTACATTCTTAAAAAGAAAGATCGCACTGGTGCACTCGGCAACACCAAAAGGCCTGGAAGACCATGGAAAACAACTAAAGTGGATGATCGCAGAATTCTTTTCATGGTGAAGAAAACCCCCATCACAACATCTAGTCAAGTGAAGGACATTCTAGAGGAAGCTGGACTATCATTGTCAAAGTCTACAATCAATAGATGCCTTCATGAATGTAAATACAGTGGATTTACCTCAATATGCAAACCACTGTTGACATTCAAGAACAGAAGGATTAGATTTTCCTGGGAAACATGTAAAAAGGCCTGCGCAGTTCTGTAGCAAGATTATTCGGACAGATGAAACCAAGATTAATTTTACTAGAATGATGGGAAGAGAAGAGAACTGGGTCACTGGTGTTTATTGATGATGTGACTGCTGATAGAAGCAGCAGGATGAATTCTGAAGTGTATAGAGCTATACTTTCAGCCCAGATTCAGTCAAATGCTGCAAAACTGATAGGATGGCGCTTCACAGCACAGATGAATAATGACCCAAAACATACCACAAAAGGAACCCAAGAGCTTCTTAAAGCAAAGAAATGGAATGTTCTTGAATGGCCAAGTCAATCACCTGACTTCAACCCAATTGAGCATGCTTTTCACTTACTGAAGACATAACTGAAGGCAGGAAGACTCATAAACAAGCGGTAACTGAAGGCAGCTGCACTAAAGGCCTGGCAAAGCATGTCAAGGGAGGAAACTCAGCAGTTAGTGATGTGCATGGGTTCCAGACTTCAGGCAGTCATTGACTGCAAAAGATTTTCATCCAGGTATTAAAAATAATCCTTTGTATTTGTAATAAAGCACATGTTAATGTTAGTTTGTCCAATTACTTTTGAGGCTGTGAAAATGGAGGGACTATGTGTAAAACAGCTGTAATTCCTGAACAGTTAATGCAATATTTTTGAAACGCCTTGAAATAAAGCTAAAAGTCTACAGTTCAATCACATCTTGACTGCTTCATTTCAAATCCATTGTGGTGGTCTACAGAGGCGAAATTCAAAAATTGTGTCACTGTCCAAACACTTATGGACCTGACTGTATACCTGTACTATGTTAAACCTATTTTTACCTTTGTCTATATGAACGCTGGTCATTTAAAAACACAAATATTTGTTTTTTGTGGATGATACAACAAACCATCAAACCATACACAATTCCTTTCCATTTTTAAGGTATCCTTCAATGCAGGCCTCTTGGGGAACCTCTGTGCCTCCCTCTCGTGGCTGCGGCCCATGGCTCTGCTGGTCAATGCCAGCGCTTGGCCCTGAGGGCAGATTTATAGGGGAGTTTAGTGTAATGTATACATGACCTCTGGAGCCGGGCATGGAATGGCTCCCAGAGGTGAGTGGTTGGGAACGTTAGCACGCCTGCTGTCAGACAGAGCTTACCAGGCCGGCGGTATGGGATTAACACATAAAAACTCTTATCTGGTGAGTCAGCTGGCAAGAATGCAGCTCTCTCCATGTTTCCAGAGCTGAGATGAGGCCCTGGGGAGCTACAGTCAGGATGATCAGAGATCTTTACTTTCCTCACCTATGGGGCTTTGATTGCACTTAAACTTTAAGATTCTACATATGTGGTGTAGGGCTGTATTAAAGACAATCTCTGTCAAGTCCAAGACAAGACATTAAGATTGAGTCAAGACCGAGACTAAAGAGGGCCAAGAGGGCCAAGATCGAGTCCAAGCATGAACAAGAGACAAGATCGAGACCCAAAAAATTGAGTCCTCCACAAGACCAAGCCTTAACTAGTCCCTAACTGCTCACAGTCCAAACTTCTTGTTCTTTTGAAACGGTCTGGTGGAGCCATTTAAAAGTTAGCTATGGCACTACACATTCATTTGGGACTACAAAATAAATACTTATTACAGAATTATAGAATTATTTCTTTTTTACTGTGCTGTACTGTATAAACGTATGGAAGTTTAAATAAGGGAAAGTTTTCTCTGAATTAATCTTATGAATGCCAACTGGCTAAACAAACACAAACAGGTGCAATGATGTAGTTCTGAGCTGCTTGAATATGATTCTGCGCACAATGGTGACAGCAAATAAAAAGAAAATACAAATACACACAATGATTATACGGTAGTTGGTCTTTGTCAACAGCAGAGAATAAATTTGGAATGGAACTACTATTGAGTTCAAGACAGCTCCAATACAGTAGGAAAAATGTCTCAAGTCCAGACTCGAGTCCAAGATCAGACATCAGTGCTACAGCACTACTGTGGTCTGGAAGAAGCAGGAACACCCACTGACTTGGAAGCAGTTTAGGATTTTCTTATTTTGAGCTTGTGAATTGGTTCTTAATATGTTTGAGAACAACAGGGAGGCAAAACATCTATACTATGCAATTTACATGGTAACAAAAGGTGCCAAATTCGGACAATCTAACCATCTTGCAATGTTTGCTTCCAATCCACTCTCAAAGACATGAACATATTATGAACTTCTGCAGTAAATGGTGATAAAGGATCAGACTGCAGCATATCACTCAGTATATCACTCAGTTACAAGTGTACTTGGTGTACTCCTCTTGCTTGGGCATGGATTCTACATGATGTGGAATGTGGTACCATACAGAGGTCACTGCATTGTGCAGTTCCTGCAAACTGGACAGCTGTACCATCTTGCTATGAACTGCCCTTTCCACCTTATACTAAAAATGCTCAACAGGATTTAAAGCCAGGGACTGTACAGGCCAGTAACGCAATAAACTCACTGTTACGTTTCTGGAACGATTCTGTTATGTGATGTGTTCCTTGATATCTACATTTTCATGGTGTAAATGCCCATACGAGTGTAGATATACTAAATCTACAAAGGGATTCATTTTTTAGCATAATACTAAGGGAACATTGATGTGTTACACAAGGCAGCTTTTCAATTCTGAGATGACATCCTGCACACCAAAGTTGAATTCAGGGGTGATTTTCTGGGTTGGGGCCTGTTTGGTTTGCTTGTGCGATTCTCACCGTTCTCTCCTGACCCTTGGTCAGTCTTTACCAATAAGGATGAGCAGATTAGAGGAAACCGGCTCCAGTTTCGGATGGTTTCAACAAACAGTCCGAACTCCTATTTTCAAATATTATTATAGAGATCACTTATTATCAGCATGTTTTTAATGCATCTAGGACACCTAGTGATCCTTGGCAGCAGTAGTATAGACACAGATTAACCTCAACTATCAAACAAAGTTTATGTTTACAGCTCTCTGTGCTCTTAAACTTCTCACCAAGTGTTTGTGGTGGACATAAAGTTTGTTTTCATTTGGAAACAGATGCCACTCTGAACACACCTATGCACTCAACTGGAGATCGAAGTTCTAGAGCGGCTTTAGATTGGTTTTATTTGATTGCAGGTTAGATTCAGATTTTAGATTAGGTTCCATTTTCCCCTCTTCTTACCATGGCTGCAGTAAACAAACTTGTGATGGTGTCTAATGACACACATCTTCCTGCCTTGAAGGAACTTGTCAACTTGTCTGTTGTGGTTGTTGTCCAAGGACATTGGCCTCTTGATACAGCGTTTGTTTGTAAACAGACCTTTGAATAAATATTACCCTGTGTGAGATCCAGCACGCACATCCTCCAGTTACTATGATCCTTTCACCCTCTTTTTCCCCCATCCATGTGTCCTCTCCTCTCATTCCTCCCTTTCTGCAAGCTTACAGAAGACGGCCATGCTCTTTAACCCACTCTGTAAGGCACTCGCTTATGGAGGACTGCCAGAAAAAGCAGGTGGTGCAAAGACCTTTGATGCCATGTGCATTTTTCTCATACACATCTCAGCACATCAAAGGAGCTCTATCCAGATAAAGGATATAGCACAGTGCATGTCTGGGCCATACACAGGCTTAAAGGAGTGTTTTCCATTGACTGTCATTAATTATGAACAAAAAGAACACTACTTAGTAATTAGTAACTAAGATAAAACCCATATTCCGTGGTTGTTTATACACTATGTTCTGCATTTCTGATCCAAGTTCTTCACATACTGGTGACAAAGTCTTTTTTTGCATGAACATTCCTTCTGAACTGCTAAGATAGCAAAACTTTCATGAAATCTTTAGGTAAGATTACAACTACATAAGATTTAAAATGACATAACTGACAAGCCCAGTAATAACTAAGGGTTTAGGGGATAAAAGAGCAGGTTTAGGGTCAATTTTCCTGTTTTGTAAGGCCAGATTACGTATTTATGTATTTTTCAAGTCTGAAACTAACTGAACACTTCAGTGCATCTCTAGATATACAGTGGAAAGGAGTGGCCTTCCTGGCTTGATCCTGTAAAGCAGAGAGTCAGACGCTGGGCTACATACAGCAGTTGTTCGTGAGACCTGCTAAAAACACTCTGCTGATTTACTGCTTCTGCGAATCCTCAGTGTATATAAGGGCAGCAAGCTCTGCCAGCTATTGCTATGGCATGATGCCTCAGCTCTATATCACTGTAGTCGCCCCCCCCCCTTATAGCCACGGCAGGGAAATGTAAATGGGATTATCAGCGGCCACAGCATGAAGTTCGAGACAAGTGTTCTAAGCAATATGCATGAAAAACATTTACAGATGGAGTTCCACACAGTGAGAATGTGGCGCAGTGGAGGGACCACAGCAAAAAATCTATTGAGAACACAGGCAACCCTCAAAGACAATGGTTGATTCATTTTATTACTGTCAGTACGGTCTGTAAATGAGCTTCTTAGCACATTTAATGCTACACATACAGTAGATTTGCATCAGGATGTCTGTGTGTATGTGAGGAGCTTGGAGTTAGATTCTTGTCAGTTGGTACCAAAGGCAAGAAGGCATAAAATTCTCCATCTTGTCTGCAAAAAAGCCCAGTGGTGCGAAGAGGGTACTGAAGAACTGTAAAAAAGCAAAACAGCAACAAAGAGACAGAAAAATAAATAAATAAATGTAAAGAGGTAAGAGATACAGACAGAGATTAAAGAGATTAGAAATCGCTCAGAAACATGACTTTTATATGTTTTGTTACATTCTGTATTTTTGAGCTTATTCAGACTTTTTAGTGTAGTTCATTTAGATTATGTTGGACTTAGGACATTTGATCTCAGGATGGATGCTGCAATTCCAACAGCCTCTTCAACCATTTGAAAGTGTATTTGTCCACACATCACAGCTCCTTGTTTATGGCCAATCCTCATTCTAGATCGGGGGTCAGCAACATGCGGCTCTTTTACTGTCTTGTTGCGGCTCCACAACAGAATTAGATTTTTAGATAAAATTAAAATCATCCTCCTTTGCAGTAAAATAAAGCTCTGCTGATCGTTCGAACAGTTTTAACAATAAATGGTCTTAAACATTGGAGTTAATGTAGAACTGCTAATTCACCAACCTTAACCTTGAAGGTTGGCATGCAGACTGCTAGTAACCATAGCAATGCAGACAACAGTCCTGCCTAGCTAGAAGCTAACGAAAAGACAAAGAGAAAGATTTAAGATGAACATCGATAATTTGAAGATGAATGGACTCGTTTGCATTTATTAGCACTCCAGCTGGTTTCCTGATGCATTTAATCTGCGACGAGAAACTGTCAAACACTAAAAAGTCACAAAGCTGAAGCTTCTCATTCGCCAGCCTCTCGTTTTTCCTGTTCCACCTTAAATGGTGCAGCGTTCTAGTGCCTCAGGCACCATTTAAGGTGGAACGGGAAAATTCGAACAAGATGCTGGTGAACGAGGAGATGACTTCAGCTTCGTGACTTTAGTGTTTGACAGTTTCTCGTTGCAGATTAAATGCATCAGGAAACTAACTGGAGTGCTTATAAGGCAAAGAAACTGTTCTGCTTTTGTAAAAGGTTTCCTGCCGGAGATGCAAGAAAACCAGCTATTGCTAAGCTAAAGCTTAAAGCAGAGCAAAGTAAGTCTGTGTTTTTGTTTATATTAAATTTGTTAGCCTATACTAGCACATTAGCACATACTGATACATATTTATAGCCAAGATGGTGAAATGGACATAAACTGTTGTGGCTCCCAAGCTGGTTTGATTTTTGCTGAAAGGACAAAATGGCTCTTCTTAATATTTGGGTTGCCGACTCCTGTTCTAGACATTCTAGTGCTTGACGTCGCCTAACCACCTAGAATTGCACAAAGACTATACTTCTTTCTCTATTATCAGAGGACACTTTGCTGTGTAAGACTCTGATGTGGGCTGCTCTCCTCCAGTGGCCACCTGTATTCGCAAATACATTTCCATCAATCTATAAGCTGCCTGCGTTCATGGTGAAGCTCTCGAGATACTATTTAAAACTGTCTTAACAGTTTTAAAGTTTAAAAGGTGAGGGAGTGAAATTATGTAGGGTACACTAATCACTGATGACAGTCACTGCGCATGCTGCTACTTCTATGCAAACAGAATAATATAAATTGAACTATGCTTCTGATTCCTATATACACCAGCAGTTAGTAAAGTATAAAAAAGAACTTGCAATTTTTCAAGACGATTCAATGTTCAAAATGTAGTAAATATTTCGTAAAAGTGATTGAGTTTGCGCCTCTGAACACTACAGTTTGAGTCATAGCTCAAGAGGGGCGCAGGCCAGACACAAACATTAGGGAAGCACTCCTCCGAGCTCGGGCCAACACGCAGCTCCATAACTGCAAGCTGGCGTGGAAACACGCATCTGAAAAGCGTTTGCAGGCCCACAGTTCAGTCCACCATAAACAAGCGCTTAATGTGTTTATGAAGCAATATGTTTCACGGTTCAGCAGATGTTTATGACGGAATATGGGAAAGGAAGTTTGAAATGCGGCGGCGGCGGCAGAAAGGGAGGGAAAATGGCGATGGTCGGCGTTGGAGCTGGAGAGGTATCATCCATTTTAACGCAGATCCAGGAAATAGATAGAGGTAATGTAAATATGTGTTGTAACATGACAAATGAGGATGACAAAAAGATAGAGGCCATCGAGATTTGGTGTCCTTATATTGCTTAGTTTATTACTAGAACAAATTAGAATATTACTCCACATGGACAGTGCCATTTTTGGAGCAGGCGGCGAACTGTGTGCGTGTGCATGTTTGTTCTTAGAGCGGACATCAAACCGCACACGTGTGAGTGCGTATGTGTGTCACGGAGTGCAATGGAGAAAGCTTGATCTGAACAATCTGTGTCAATGACAAACTCTCTTGGTCAGTCCTTCCGAAAAACAAGTAGCTACTAGTGCATGCAAAGCAAGGCAACATACGAAACAACTCAGTGACAGATCATCAACAACAGAGGGAAACAAACAATAAGAGGCCAGTGTTCAGTCACGGCATGTGCGGAGCAGCCACTCATGAGACTAAAGGATGGCCGGTGAGCAGTCTGCGGCCATTCCTAGTCTGGAGGACATTTAAAAGGCCTGGCCAGAGAGCTCTGCTTTTCCTCACCTCTCCTCCTCTCTCCCTACCTCATTCACTTGTTTCTTGCCGAGTGTTACACTAAGCAGACTCTGGCCTCAGCCGTAAATGCTCTGTCTATGTGGAGTCTTTCCCAAAACAAAAGCCTCTAAAGAGAGGCACCAGTGCATGGGTGTATTTACAGAGTCTAAAGCAGGCTCATAGATAAAGACCTAATAAAAGATGGAGACTGTTCTCAGAATATGCACCCAATCATCTTAGAGACCATGAATTGATACAACTGTGCTCACTTGATTTTGGATAGTGAACACTGCTGAGCTTCTGCAGATGAGGAGTCAGCCTTGACTGCACGGTCCAAAAGTGTATTTTGTTCTTTATATCTCATGTCAAACAAAATGTGAATTTTCGATTTAATATTTAGGGCCATCTAATCTGTCTGCACTGAAATTTGAACATGAGTCAAAATGCAGGGAGAGAAACAAAAATTTACTCTACCAGTGCAGTTCAGACTTACGGCTTTGACAAAGACACCCATAAGGTCAGGGAACTGGTGTGTGAGCATGGCTAGCATGGCAGTGAAGGAGCACAAGCCTGCTGTGAACAGGATAAAGAATGGCAGCTCTTTCTTCGGGTAGACTGACACCTCATGGAATGCTGTGACAGAGAAAGAGAAGCAATTTTTCACATTTAGCATGTGAACCTAAATAACTAAGCTAAATGATGCTGCTATTCCAAAATAAAGAGGGCATACTCACAGGGCAGTAGCTCTCTGTCTGCTGTCTCTGTGCAGCCTGGGTATGGGTAGAAGAGATGACCTTTCTCCAGGGGGTATGGTATGATCCGGAATGCTGGAAAGTAGAAAAGATAAACCTAATATAAATCAAGGTATATACTGGATTCAAGACAGCTAGTTTTCATGGTTACATTCAGGCCTACTGATTGATTCACAATGTTAGATTTAAATCGAAGCCGAAATATTTTTTTCCTCCTCCTCTGTTTCTGGCAGCAGTATTTAAGTGACTCAATATCTGAAAATTTATAACTCAATTATTACTTATTTTCTCAAAATATTAGCTCAAAATAATGACTTACATGGTCAAAATGTTGATAAACTATGTGAAAGTCATGACGCATTTTCTCAAAAATGTAACTTTTGTTCTTTCAGAGTTATTCCTATGGTATACAAGTAATTATTTTGAGACACTACATCAAAATTTTGAGAAAATAAGTCATTATTTTGATTGCAAACCAGGATTTTGACATACTCTTGCCAAGAGAGAACACAGGCACACTGTCTTTTCCTTTCCTTGTGAGCATTGGCTTCCATAGTTTTAAAAACATAACGTAAATCTTCTCTTTAGGGCATTTAGGGAAGTGATTTTAGTTTATATAATATAACTACAAATAAAAATATATGAATATTTCTACTGAGTGTGTAGACAGGGCACGTGTGTGTCTATGACTGATACTCCTCTGCATGTTTGTGTACATGTGTACATACTGCCTTCCCAAGTGCAGTGCAGCAGGTTGAGCGCTCCCTCTGCTCGTTTCCAGTGCTGCAGGTGGAAGAACGCATATGCCACTGCTTCACTATCGCCTCTCTTCAGAATATGCTCTGGAGGCAGTATTAGACTCTTCATCTCTAAAAGATACTGTAAACACACACACATACTTAGATTACTGTTCAAAGGTTTGGAATCACCAGTTAAAGGATTTTGTTGGTGATACATAAAATACAGTCAGTATTGATGTATGATTCTTAACTTATGCTTCTAATTTATAGGTCTGAAACAATTTGAATGAAGGTAAGAAATAAGAACTTTTAGAGTGTAATGACAGAGAAAACTATATAGCATTGAGAATAAAATTAACATTCAGCTCAGACTGTGTGTCAGCATATCTTAGTGTGAGAAGAGACTGTAGAAAGGGAGAAAACTCTTGGGCTAGAGTTCTGGGTGGCTTCTACTTCAAGCTAGAAGGCTAGGCCCCCTACTTAATGAACAGAGGTAGAAGAGATAGGACTAAGAAACAGGGAGGAGATGGGGTGGTGATGGGGTGTGAAAACTTTGTCAGTGGAAATCAAAGGTCGGGATGGAGAATATACAGGATGTTACATTTGAAGCAGGAGGAGCCTCAGGCATGGTACTCCTTCCAAACTTAAGTTACTTTATAATCCCATTTCACAGTAATTCTGAGACAAGAAATTATATATAACTTCTTGCTGTTCCCAAAACATTTTAAACTGTGTATAAACTATTAGTGTCCAATTTGGTGACTGGGTCATAAAGAATATTCAATAATAACTAATACAGTGCAGGTTGAATTACAACTATTAATATGACTGTGATTCATATGAAATGATTTAACTTTTGGAGAGTAGTGTACAGGCCAAAGTGTTACTGCACCATGACATAATATTCTAAGGACACTACACTGACTGTTGTTCAGTGTGGAATCTGTTTGTATTTGCAGGGCTTTCTCTATGTGTGTGTGTGTGTGTCTTTCCGAACGTAGCCCCTAGCTCTAGGCCCCTGCAGTGTATGGTGTTGGGGGACAGGACAGTGGGATTAAATGGGTTTAGCTGCAGGGTAACCTTCCCAAACCTCCATGTCTGTGACCACAGACCAGGGTTCTGGGACTCCAGTGAGCAAGGAGCTCATTCTCCCCACTGGGAGTAACACACACAATCAAAATGCCCCTCTCAGATTCTTAAATGTCCTTTTTTATGGCTCCAGTGTGCCCATCTGCCCTATCTAGCTTGGTGCTTACCGCTGGCATTAGACCGGCAGCTGTCCTTGGTGGCATCCCCTGGCACACAGACACTCCCTTAGTCCTTTGAAGTGGGGATAGAATGTCAGTGCTGGTGCCTTTTATGTGGGGGTTTCTCCTAAGCCAGTGTTTCTCAGCTAAGCCTCTGTCTGAATCTCATGCTACTCGTAACCCTTTCACTTGGTCAAACCAGTGAGCTTGCACTCCAGAACGTGCAGGCAAACTCAACAAAGCGAATGTCCAATGTCAGGCAGTCAGTACTGTAAATATGCACGCTGAGTGTTCCATGTTTGTCTTATTGTACTACTATAATAGTCATTTATCACATTAAACCTACACCACACAAGAATAATAGGGATGCACAATGATATCACAGTTAAATCAGTATCATCAAACAACAGCTTAAAGATATCATTAATGCACCAACATTGACAGATTTGTGTATGAAAAATACTGGCTACTGGCATCGGTCCACAATTCCCATATGGGTGCATCCCTAGAAAATATTGTTTTACAACCAAAAATTCACTCCTACAATAGTGCATAGCATTACAGAGTACATGCAGCTGGGAAAGACTCACCGAAAGCATTAAGACAAACCGAAAAGTATGTCACATCTCCACTCTGCTGTGCAGACATACAGGCATCCTGGCACATGAAAGTCCAGGTGTGTGCATGCATGTATGTGGGGGGTATTCACCTCAGACAGGTGTACTTTGTAGTCAGATCCAGTGTGTCTGGGGCTGGACCATGTAGGTGTGGGTGTGCGTGTGTGTGACGGGGATGGGCAAGTTGGAGCCAAATACAGAGAGAAGTGGAACATGAGGGCTTTAGAGTGGTTAACTGTCTTGAAATGGACCAGTTTAAAAGGAAAACAAAGAGGATCGTTTTTGCTGTTTTTGGGCCAGCTGTTTAACCACTGTATTTTGTAATGTAAAACTCAAACTGAACAGTTACTCTCCGCAATCTGACTGTGTTCATCAAGTTCAGCTCATCACAATTCAACAGCAGCACCTAGTGGCGTTCTGTGAACTAGGCTGTGGACATCTTTTAGGGACAGTCTAGCATTTCTTCAGCACTTTCATAGTTCTTTCAGTTGCTGCTCTGCTGACAGTTTTGGGTGGGCTGCTTATTTATTTATTTTTTTAGAAGAGAATAAACAGTGATGGCAACTAAAATCTCTGAGAGATTCCAGCTCTGGAGGGCTGTGGCACTGTCCTTGGTACCTGTTTTGACTTCTACCTAATTGAACACCTCTGGTTTAACTGATAAGTTAATGGACAAAGAGTTGAATTTGGTATGTTAGAAGTGGGAAATCACCATGTCATGAGTGTGACACTTCTGGTGTAGATTATATGATCTCTAAAGTTGGTGTTCCAAACCTGATACGTTTTGTCCTGTGTACATCCTCCTATGTGACATTGGATCCTCTAAATTACAAGGTCATTTAGCAAAATATGACTAATGTTACAACGAAGATAACAGACCTGCGCACTGAAACGACACTACACGAAAGTATGTCTATTATTAAACATCAACATTTGTATATGAACACCAGCTACTCAAACTGCAGGCTACCACTGCCAAAGCAAGATAACTAGCAGATCTGTCCTCATGAGGTTGCTCGTTTTGTGATGTCAGCTCAGTGTGCAGCACTGTTAGCCTGCATACAACAATAATCATATTTTGGCTCCTTAATGACGTATTTCAGCGAATTCATCAACATTCGAAGGAAAAACAAACATATGGCAAAACATATTGGATTTGGAGCAGTTTTTTAACCACAGGACACGATAGCAGCAATTTTCTTATAGAAAAAAAAACAGCATCACGTTGACTACAGAATGCTGACAACTTCAAGGTCTATGAGAATGGGGAAGTATGTCTAACCTTTGGTACATGTGGGTTGAACTCCACAGCTCTGTGTATGGCCTCCACTGCATTCATCTCTGCAGTGCTAAGACCTCGCCGAGAAGCTGCCTCGGGCGAAAACCTGGAGCATTAACGCAAACACACACACATACACATGGTTACTCTCTGCAAATCTCATTCTTACTTACCTTACAAGATAACACAACTGGTTATGTTAATGAGTTAGGTTAATTCTGGGAAGAGTACAGTTCATTGAGAACACACAGCGTTCACACACAACAGATACATTTAACACTTACTTGTCTGACACTGCTCGTGCTTTCAGTAAGGCAGATGTGTAACATATAGTGGCAGATTTTGGCAAGCTGATATCTGTAAGCAGAGAAGAAAATGCCCCTTTCATGTAGCTTGGACATCGTACTTGTAAATCAAATTATGTGTGAATGTATGTTTATTCAGCTCACCATCATATTTTGCTAAGACTGCTTGTACATCTGCGTAGGCCTGTAGTTCCAACAATGCTTCAAGAAGATTCTCATGGATATTTAGCATTCCAAGTAAGGGAAATTCTTTCATTAACTACAGAAAAGACAAACAGAGAACAATCATAAGTCAATTTTTATGGTATGTTTGGTAATTACAAATAATATAGAATCATCAGAAAAAGCCCTTTATTGCAAATCCTGCGTGTAGAGATGCATATTGGTCTTACATCTCTCATCATCTTTACAGCCTCTTTGATGCGTCCCAGTTTCCGGGCACACATGGCCAGTCTGCGTTTGATGTACACCAGAAGATTTGTATCTTTCCCCGCTGAGGGATCGAAGATAAATAACAACATTACCACAAGTAGAATTATCATGTGGGCATGCATATGTGTGTGTGTGTGTTGGGTGAGGTGACTGTACCAAACTTTAGTGCTTGTTTGAATAGCCGCTCAGCTTCTATGATTGTTGTGGCTTCCTCTTCGGCCAGAAGCACATACGCTGCAGCACACCTGAAAATATAAAACACATTTCAAAAGTTTTATTGCTTAAAAACTGCATGCTGTTTCACTTTCACTGCAATGAAATAAAGCATTTCATTGCATGGCATGGGGCTCCCATTGTCTGGCATTTTCCCTTCCAAAACCTAAATCTAAAATACCTTAAACGCTACATTATACAACCAGCCTTGAAAAATGTATGTGTACATTCTATCTAGGACTGGTTAACTGAGTAACCACAGTTACTAATGTCAATCGAGACACAAAATGTCATGCATCCACCAACATTTAATGATGAATGAACAAACACAAATGGTCCAAAATTATCCAAAACAAAATCTTGTTACATTAGCATACACTAAATTAAAACTAGAGATAAAAGATTTTATTATGACAGTGACATTAAGTTGTTGAGGCTGCTTTGTCTAAGCTGAAAGACCGTTGAACACGGAAGGTGCCTGAGCAATTATGTTCAAAATGCTGCAAGGTTTCGTATTTCAGTCATGCCCACATTCCTGGTTTTCACTCCCTGCGTTTGTGTGAAAACAATTAAATGCATTCCTCTCCATAGCTAGAACACAAGTGTCAGTTGCAGGAAAACCTAATGTCAAACAACTGGATATACATGGTGTAATGAAAAACATCACATGGTCTCTCTTTTCACAAAATTCCCTGCTTAATTTACAAAACACAACCTTAACATTGCAACATCTCTCTCACACCATTCACGATTATTGATACTGAGATATCAAGACACCCTGTCACAGAACATTACACACAGCCAGTCGGAGGTAAAAGCACCTCGTTGTTCATTTTGCACCAACACTGCAGGCCCTGTATGACCTATTAAATAAAATGCCATCTGTTTCTGCTCTCTATTTGATTAACGGAAATTAATTCATCATTTTGAATTCTCAAGTCAACTGTTCATTTAAAATTATTATAATCTTAAAATGCATTAACTAAAACCGAAACTGTTTAAGAAAAAGAACACACTTGCGTCATTAATATAGCATACGCAATGAAGACCTCCAACAGAAGCACCACCCTCTAAATGTGTTTCTGCACCCATTTAAACTCAGCATGTTCATCTCCATTAATTACCTTTATGCTTTTTGTCATTATTTTATCATTTATCATTATATCAGGAAATTAGAAACATTGATATCTTTTCCTCACACTCTATATGTTCAAAAGTATCCAGACAATCCTTCTAATTAGTGAATTCAGCTACTTTAAGGTGCACCCTTTGCTGACACAGGTGTTTTACTGCACGCACAATGTGCATGATCTCCATAGAAAAAGACAGAGATGCTCTGGAGCAGCGGCACATAAGTTCAAGGGTACTCATTCCTGATGCCAAGCATTAGCTCAAAGGGTATAAAGCTTCCCAGAACTGGGCTGTGAAGCAGCAGAACTGCATTTTGTGGAGTGATGAATCTCCATCCACTACATTTGGAATTAGTTAATCCTCACAACAATGTTCCAACATCTAGTGTAAAGCCCTGTCCAAAGAGTAGAGTCTGTTACTGCAGCAAATGGGGTGGGGGTCAACTCCCTGTCAATATCCTTGATTTAGAAAAAAAACATAGGACGAGCCAGCGATCACAAACTTTGTGTACACCCTCACAAAGTGTACACTCACATGTCATAACAGAACCAAGTAAATTTACAAACAGAACAGAAACAATCCGGTCAACACAGCAACAAAGTGGATATCAATTAAACCGTTAGAATGCTGAAATGACTCACTCATGGTTGAGCTCGATGGCTTGGTAAGCAGCTCTGATTCGAGCTTGAGGATTCCTCTCTCGCCAGGCCTTCTGCATTACTGTTAGACACACACACACAAACTCAGCTTCTCCAAGAGCAAAGCTTGCATACAATTACCAAGTAAATGTACCCCACAGCTTTATAAGCTGAGGTTGATTAAACTAACCAGAGTCCTCTGGTTTTAGTTGCTGTGTGTCAGAGGTAAAGAAGGTCTGGTGATCTTGTGCTGAAAGGTTCATGTCGTAGTAGGTCAGAGGCTCTTTACCCGTCACCCAGGTGTACCTGCAGAAGAGAGAGTCAAAAAAAGAAGGATGAGATTGGCAGGACTACAGGGACAAATCATGACATAAAAAACTGCATTGTTAACAAACAGTGAACAAACAACACTGACGCAGGGAAATCATACCTGCTGTACTCTGCACCTCTGAAAAGATTCAAAGGGTTCCTCCATACTTTACACTCTGAGAACAGATGTATTATTCAATTAGTGGAAAACATAAAAAGAATGTTTTCGAAAACCATTTGAAACATTTAAATAAACTGTTACAAGTGAACAGGTATGTGATTTTTGTGTGACATTTTAGGCCATAATAAAAAAAATAAACAATGACATGCCGTAATTTGAAACCACAATGACACCTTATATTATCTGTATTTATTGATCTGTACTTATTAAATAAAATTTATATTATTTTTTGTACTGTGCATTATTATTATTATTATTATTATATCATATATTTTTTGTCACAACAAAACTTTGTATCTCCATTTTTGGTGTTTTTTTTGTTTGTTTGTTTTTTTACAGAATTTAAAAAAGTCACCCGCCCTTCATGATTTGTTAAAATTTTATGATGAATGGACCAATAAAAGTTAAGAATGTGCTTCTTTCTCCTGTGAAGTTACCATTAGAGGTAGGTTTTATTGCTACAGTGAAGATGTTCAAATAACTAGCTCATGCTTGTAGATACATGCAGTAGATACAAATAGAATCTTCCTATAGCCAACTAATTTGATCTATTACAGTACTCTGTGTTTACATATAGATGGTAATTGTTTCAAATACAGCCAATAAAAAAAAAAATACCAGATGAGGATGTAAAAATATAAATAAAATGTTAAAATCACTGGCTTTTACTACTATGATTGGATGATCTGAGTTTCCCTCATATACATTAAACCAGACTTTTACATTTAACTTCCAGCTCCCCCCCCGGCCCAAATAGCATTTGATCTTTGACTGTTACTTTGGACAGCAGACGATCTGTACAACCTAAACAGTTCAGGACAGGAATACACTGATGGTATGGAATGCAGTGCAACTGGAGTTGAGAAACACTGCTGTAGGCTATGCATGGCTACCTGAAACGCTGGGTCTTTGCTCCACCTCTCCATTGGCTGAGGAGAAGAGGCCTGCAGAACTGTTGTTCTCCACGCCACCAAGTAGAGGACGCAAGTGACTGACAGAAACCTGCTCAATGAAGGAGGTGCCGTACTTTCTGAAGTACCACCATTCAAATATCTAACAAACAAAAAGAGGGAGTGAGAGAAAGACATTCACATTTCACACAGCTTACAAGCTCATTTCAAAGTAGTCAAAACCACACAGTGATTTTACTTGTGACATCACAACATTTAGTCAATATTTTTGCCCAGAGTTGCAGTGACTAACTTTTGTTAAGACAAAGACAGAGCTTACCAATATAAGACCAGAGATAAGAGAGGAGGTTCCAGTGAGTGCAACATAGAATTTAGGTGTAAGAGTATTTAAAAACATGGATGCTGGAGGAAAAGGAAAGAGGAAAACTGTTAGTACCATATGATACGGACTGTTCTCAGTCATAAAAGACTAGCTAAAAGATGTGCATCCAGTGACAGGTCTACAGGCAGGACTACTTCAGGCAAAGCAAACAAACACCTTGACACATTCATTTTTAATTAACTTACTCCATCTGAAAGACTTCATAAACGCCCCCTGGAACTTATTTCGACCTCTAAGAAGCGGCATTTTCATGATAAGGAGCTGCTCCAAAACACACTCCTGTGACTGACAGCTCCAAAACCCAAACCCCAAGACTCTGAGTTTTAGCATTACGTTAAAACAAACCGTAGCAATTACATCTCACGGGAACTGGCCTGTTCAGTTACACTAAAGCAGCAGCAATTAGCTAGCTAAGCTGAGAGTGGATAACAGCACATGTGTGAAAACAAACTGCAGAAAACTTTGTTAGCAGCTAAGCTAAGTTAGCTCCGTGTATCCAGGGAGCAGCGGGCTCTGTTTCAGCACCTTACCGGCGGTGACGGACTCCTGAAGCTTCAGCGGACTCCGCAGCACGTAAACCATAGTGAGGACCATGGCGAACCAAACTGCACACACGTAGGTCCAGGACCAGGACAGCCAGGACTTTAATTTCTCCGCAAATCCGTGAGATTGGGGATTACTGCTGTTGTCGTCCGCCATTTTTCACCGGATGGCTATAAACAGTAGAATCGCTGGGGAGTGAAGGCTGTAATAGCACCAGCTCTCCACAAGATGGCGGTCAACTCTTACTTATGGGCACGCGGGGAGGGGCGGGGGCGCTGCTCATGAGGTATTATTATTATTATTAAAAACTCGTTTTCGGTTTTATATTTTTCCGCTTTAAGCATCAGATTTAAACTCCTTACAGGGGCGAACAATGTCTTCTGTGCTTCATTTAAAGTAGAAAAAATACTGGAAAAAATATTACTTAAAAAAAGGTACACGTATTCTAAAACACGTATTCTAAGCGGTTTAGAAAATGTGTGTGTGGTTTGATGCGCTGTACACTGGTGAAAACTGTTGTGTTGTCACCAGTGATCAGCAATTTTATTTACTGTCCAAAATGAACCTAAACATATCTACAGTTTTTTTTTATCTTTTTTATATAATGTTGAAAATGGTATATTTGGCGACTATCGTGTACAATTTTTTAAAAAGCTGTTTACCTCCAGTGAGTTCTAACGATCTAATCTTATCTGCAAGTGAGCCAAATGAATTAACTTGAGACGTCCCTCTTTTTTAACTTTATTATTAATTATGTGATCTTCTGATCTATACATGCTTTCCCTCAAAATGCAATTGACTGTTAAAACGTTAAATTTAATAATAAAAAAAACCTTTTCTACTATAGGTGCAAAAGCACATTTTAAACCAAAACTTTTTAAAATAAAAACCATCATAAAACAGGCACTCCACTGTGTATCCGTCACACTTTTGTAGGATAACTTTCTGAGGTAGCTTTTAGATGCATTAAATGTGTCAGACGTCTGGTTCCTATGACCACCATCAATGTGAACAATTCTGACTTGCTAAGTTTCTCTTGAGTGACGTACTTAACATTAAACCACTCTGAATGACTGTTTACATCTTAACAATTTAATTGTGCAAACATACTGAAATAGCAGGGCTTTTTTCAATAAACCTAACAATAAAAAGTCCATAAGCAGTACGTTGGTGCAAATCTCTTTATTCCTCTGGTATCATATTTGTTCATACACTTTGTATAAAATAGTAATAAATGCTTGGGAAGGAGGCAGAGATCAAAAGTAAACTTTGTGTGACTGCATACAGTATACCAGTTTTAGACACCAGGGGGTGACAAACTGACCATTTCCAATCAAACAAACGGGGACGTTAAACGCTACATCCGTAAACTGAAACTGTGGACCACACCAACACAGTGCTGCTTACTTTGGCAAAAACTCCATCAAATGACAGTACATTTACATGATAACACCTGACAAAACACTGTTTTTAGGAGATCCGTTATTGTGCTGACCAAACAAGGTGGGCTGAAAAAGGTATCAAATGTGGACAAGAAAAAGGGAAACCTTTTCAAGGTTTACGCACATTTGACCAGTCAAACAGAGCACACCTCAAAAACGATCTCCAGAGCGTTTAGATACTTTAAGTATTCATTTTTTTCTAACAACCGTGGTATAAGCATCAAGGATTAGGCATGTGTTCATATGGCCTAGACTTCCAGGGGGTAGTTTTCTGGACAGGATTTACATTTTAATAAAGATAATTAAAAATTAACAATTAACCAAGTAACCATGAACATATTTTAGTTTTGCATAACTTGTGCGTGGCTACAGAAAAAAAACTAGCCAAAAAAACAGTTATTATTTAGTAATATGTCCAATAATAGTAAATGAACAACTACTACTGAAAGATTTGGCACAAATTAGGATTACATGAACATGATTGCAAAGGTTATAAATCATATTTAAAAAAATAACAAAAAAATGTAAAAATCAAATGTTGGCATGATCTAGATAATCTGAGACTTGATAATTGTTGCTTTGAGTGCAGTAACAAAATAGTAGAGGCCCAAATTACGCACTTTCAGCTCCAGTACACTAGCACAGGCATTACGGACCACTAGACAGAATCCTGTGCTCACCTACACTACAAAAACCTTCTGGTTCATGACGAAAAGTATCAAGATCTAAGCTATCAGCTCACACAGATGGTATTAGCCTGAAGTGCGAGCAGGACTTCTAAAAGCTCGTTAGATTACAGTTTGGCCTAAGCGTAACTACCACGGACCATTTTCACTGACAAAGGCAGTTCAGTCTGTTCATCTGATCAAGACGAAAGTTCAAGTGCATTTGAAAAGCTCTGGTTTAAAAGGTTTTTATGTAAGAAAGCTAGTTTTAAAATCAAAATCAAATGCTACTCCAAAGCATGTTTCAGAAAATGTGTTCATTAATGGAGATTTTTCATGTCATCAAGAACAAAGTTTACGCTACGTCCAGAAAAGTCCCTCTGAGCACGGTGTGCGTAAGGGGTGATGATCAGGGAGGTGGGGACAAAAACACAAGGATGGGGGAATACATTTCTGACCCTGTGCACTGGTGTTGCAGGAGGTATTTGTTCAACAGCAAGTACTGTTGCTAAACCCATTAGAACAAGCTCACAGCCTTCCGACAATACAGAAAAGGAGGCAGTCTCTTTAGCTGAGGTTAAACCTTGGCTTTTGTAAAATTAAAAAAAAAATTAGAATAAACAAACGAGAGAAACACATTTCTTAGCACACTTATAGGAGCCTGTGCTCTAAGCCTGGCCCCAGCCCCAAGCTCAGGTCTGGGCCCCTCTCAGTTCGTTTCTTGGCTTGTAATGCGAGCAGAGGGTTGGCATGCCGAGTCAGGTCTAAGCGTTTTGCATCTCTTTGCCGATCTTGTAGCTGAGGATCTTGTTCCAATCGATCTTGGTGCGAGTGACGGGAAGCAGCCGGCGTAAGGCTTTAAAGGTGGTGTCCGACATGGTCTGGTAGTTCTCACTGATTGCCGTCTGGAGGAGAAAGAAAGCACTAAACTCTCTTGGTTTCACTGTTTTACACAACAGAGTGCTGTTTTATGACTACTTGTTACAAGGAGGACTGTTATAAATCACATTAGATGAAAATGGATTGTTAACCTGCAAGAAATTCATTATATTCAATTCAGTAGATTTGTTCAGTCAATTCAGTGAGAGTCCCATACCTGGTATTCATTTTCTGCATTTTCAATAACCTTGATAAACTCCTCAGCAGTCTGCTTTGCATTCTGTTTAAACAAACAAGAGGAAAATGCATGATTAAACAGGAAACAATAAACAAGAACAACACAAGTTTAAATGTATGGTTGAAAAGAAAACAATACTTGAAAGAATAAATGATAAAAGAATACTTCAATTGTTTCTTGGCCAATGTCACACTTTCAAACAAACTTCCTCTAGAGAATATATGGGCCCAGAGGAAGTTCAAGAGCTAACCACACTGATAAAGTGTTTGTGAAGCATAAAGCACATAGAGCGGCCTGATGCAGCTGTTCTGCATAAGTTCACAAGTTGCCTTTGTAAATGCCAGTTAAAGAAGAATATGTATTTTTTTTTTTCAACTTTAAGTCCATTATTAGCAACATCAAACAGCTGCTCGTTTGAATATCGGCCTGTATTTCTACACACCCCTGCTCGTTTAGGCTTAAGCTATGCTGCCACTATTTTCAGTGTAGAATCTCCATTGACAGTGCAATTCTGTCAAAGATGTATAGAAAAATGTTACGTAATGTGATAAAACGGGGTATTTAGAGGCAATGTTCAAAGTATATTATGGAAGAGAAAAGACTCTTTCAAGACCTGAGCAGAGTTTAGCGGCTTATGTCGCCATATTCTTAGACAGTAACGATTTCTCTTAACCATTAATACAGAAACCCAGTGGTAGTAACTTACAGAAACAGCAATAGAGTCTTGAACGTCCTTGTGGCTGACCAGCTGCACATTGCCGTCTTCATAGTAATGCACCTGGACTTTCAGCACGCCCACTACCTGAGCCGTGGCCTGAGACACACTGAACTTCCACTCTGACCGGCAGCGGCCATTCCTGCAAATCAGGGTCAGAATTCATTTACGTCACAAAGTATGCTACACATATGAGAAGTCTGTCTTGGTGAGTGCACACACATATGACATGTAATATACTGAACAGAACAAACAAGTACACAGACTATAACAAATGAAAAGAAAAAGAACAGAAGATTTCAACTGAGAATAAACAGATTAAGAAAAAACAGAACTAGAATAAGAGAGTGAATGTGTAAGGAGCTAAAAGAGAAGGATGAGAAGCCAAGCTGTGCATTCATGAGGATCGGCTAACGCTGCATTCATGACAACTGGGAACTTGCAATTTTACAGATGTTACGGAATTGTAACTCCTTAGTGCTCCTAAAAACTCCAGCTTTCCAAGCAGGAGTTATAAGTTACCCTGTGTGCACACCGCTGCTAATAAAAATGGACACTGGTGAGTGTTTCTAGTCAAGAACAGGGGGGCAGCAGGTTTGAGCGAATTGTGTGGTCATGCAAACTACATTTTTAAAGAAAACTGAGCAAGTTTAACCCAGTGCTTAGCCAATAGTCTGTATTTTTTACTACCACTGAAAGAAGACATCAAAAGAAAAACAATGAATTCACAATTTTGAACTTCTAATTTTTACTTCAGCTGACCAGAAACTCTCAGCAGGCTAAACAACTGCACTCAAATTGTTCACATTTGATCAGCATCTGTCTCAGGAAAGCAAATTCTACCTGTGTTTCATTATCTAGGAACTGAACAAAACAGTTAACTTCGCCTATAGCTTAGTTCCTAATGTGGCTATACTAAGCTATTAGTTCACTAAAGTATTACCACTTGGCTAAAATTTCATTGCTGTGATCATAAACTTACTAGAACTTTCTTCTAACACACGTCGCTTTTTATGGAGACCCCAGTAGATTAAAAAAAAACACTACTCAGCACGGTAAACAGAGATACCGCTATAATGGCTGTGATCTGCTTTCCCTCCATGATTTTCATGTAAAACACAATGAAACAAATCCTCAAACGAAACAAATCCTCTTCTTGAAAATGACTCCCAGCTGCTTCACCACTTCCACTTCGTGATGTGCATGCAGGGACATTCGTTACAGTGCATTTTCCTACTTGTAGGTGGGAAACACGCCAGTTTTCACTTGGTCATGAAGCCAACATACCAAACAATGAGTGCAAGAGGTCATGTGTCCTAATTTTGTTTGAAAATTAAGTAATCCAAGTGACACAGATACCAAAATGATCTTACCAGAAGTTTTTGGGTTGAAACTGATGTCCTTCGATGCAGGCAATGATCGTTTGTTGGCCGTCAATAGTTTTCCCATAAACCTACAGGAAATAAGACAGAGACATGACCTACTCAAGCAGTAGCTTTGAACAGGTAATGAAAAACAAATGGCTAGAGGAAAGGGGTGGAAACGTTATTTACAATGAGGCAATAAGAGAAAGTTTGTGAAGCACTAACCATATTATTACTACACCCCCTTGAGAAATACTCTGTGAGTGTTTTGAAATCTGAGGAAAAGAGTGCAGGGAAAAGAATTTGGGAGAAAGATCTAAGACTAGTCTAAAGACCCAGATGGAGAGGAAGCTGGAGCTCACTCACTGTGCACACTCCGGTGGGGTAATGCTCTTTGATGTAGGCCCTCAGTGCAGTGTCGCATGCCTCTCTCCACGGCTCCAAAGCTGCCTCGCCCTCATGAGGCTTTATGTCGCTTGTCTCTTTCCTCAGGTGATCGAATTTAAACGACAGCTTGTTCCGTGGGTCAAAGAAGCGTCCATTTCCCAGGTCTCCATGCTCTGTGATCAACACCTGCAATTTTGATGGAATTTTTAACACAGTATTATTAATTCACCACCTAGATTCATCATTTAGTGAAAAATTAAATGTCCACAATTTTACCACTACTACAAATGTAGTTTCTAATTTGATAGTTGAAATTTTGCTTCTTTAGTTTTGCACTGGAGCAAAGGATAATGTAGTTATTGTAGAGTAATGGAAACATATACCCCACCATTTTTCCATTTGGAGTGGGGAAAATTGTCTAAGGTTTCTTTTTTGCCATACTATTACTTTGAGTCCTTTGGTGACAACTACATTGGACTACACACAGATATACAGACAAGCCCACATTTTCTTGGGCTAAATAAAGTAATAAAGGGCAAAAGCAACTGTGAATTAAGACATTAAAGACATTGTTGGCTTGTGCAATCCTATCATATTTAATGTTTCATTAAACCAATATGAAAGTGTGAATTACCTGATCTTCCTTAAGCTTGGTAGGAGTAAACTGATCCATGTTATACTGGGCAAAGGCACTATTTCATGGAGAGAAAGCAAGTGTTCCACCAGCATTAGGATCTCTGACTAGAGCCAGATTAAACAAACTATTTCAAAATATTTAATCTTAACCCATAACTTTGATAAAAAAGTGTAATTAGCACATCAGAATCTTTCACGCTTCATATCAATTCAAAAACAGGAAGAAGGTGAACTTTTAGCTTTCAAGTGGGACAGAAGTGACCTTTGGAAAAAACCTCCAAAACAAAGAGTACAACTTAATTAAGTGAAACATTTTCCTGTAATAACAGCATGAGAACATTAGTCATGTTGACCTGTAAAGAGCAACACTCATGAATGGATGAGGCTACAGTGCCAACACTGTACTCTGTGTGGGAACTGATCTGTGTAAAGCCATGCTGTTCTAGCAAGAAACCCAAAACTTTCTAAACATAGAAGAGTGAATTTTAGCCACAATTGGAGGAGAGCTTCAATTTACGTCTAAACTTGTTCAGGGTGATTGTGGACCCCAGGTTTATTACAGAGAATACAGCTAAGTAGAGAGTAGTTCTGCATATAGTTTTGTAACAAAGTAAATACTCACTGGGCTGCTCCTTCCCTGAGCAGATTGTCATTGTTGAGCAGTAACCGCACATCTGGAATCACAAAACAGCATTCTCAGTTTAAGTTACGACTGGAACGCTTTATAATGTTATGCAACGTTATTCCCAAAAGCATGATTATCAGTTCCAGTCCTGGGAAAAATTTCAGATATTTCCGTTCTGACACATCCTTTTTTTAACAAATTGATGTGAATTCTGAAGCACTTCATGAGCCAAGTTAGAACCTGAACCACTGCTACACAGTCTTTGGGCAATCACATACACATTTCTCTGCCTAAAGCATAACAGTTTTTCTGAATGAAAAGACTTCCTGCTGAGTCCATATGTAGTCCAAACCCAGTGCTCACCATTGAATACTTCGTTGAACTCTCCTGGTGGAGCATGGATGATAAAATTTGCAGCAATCCGGACCTGGGCAAATATCAGAGAAAGAAAAACAGAAAAAGAAAGAGAGAAAGACTTTAAAACATTTATTATACTTCAAATCAGCTATTTAAAATACTTTTGAGCAATAAATGAAGTCATTCTAACTAGGTCACAGTGGGGTGAGTCTGGAAACCCTGCAGTTTAACTCAGGCCGATAGGACAGTGAGGCGCGCTCTACAGTGTTCAGTTCTTTGGGCCACTCCTTAGAAGGGTGAGGGCTTTTCTTAGCAGCTTAAGCTTAGGGGCCTGGGACACACCCCTCCCCACTGGCACCAAGGTTACAGAAAGCACAGCTCACAGGAAGCGGCCTCAATGTGGCTTCCTTCCAAGGTTTGCAGGAGCAGTCCTCTCTCCCTTCTGTCTTTCTGAGCGTTTCCAAGATCAGTTTTACCTATATACCCACTGTAAGACAGCCCAAAGGATAAAAAACATCCTCAGATCAGAAAAAAGGGCTAACTGTACCAGAAAAATCCCTCCTTTCTAATGTGACTACATCTGCTTTCACACATTCAGCATACTGTAAGAGAAACAAATGGAACGGAACAGGAATCTCACTTTCCTTTCTAAATTAGTGTCAGCAGAGCAGCATTATGCACAGCAGCATTATGCACAGCGGCAGTATGCACAGCGGCAGTATGCACAGCGGCAGTATGCACAGCGACGCAGAAATGCTTAGTTCCTTTCTTTGAATTCAGTCATTTGCTGAGCGACTTTCTCCATTCCTTGCATGGTGTTATTTGACTGGCTGGATCCCTACATCCACACAACACTTTACACCTATGAAACTCTTGATTCTAGGATTTGACCTGGGAATATTTAGGGACGGACAGTAATGAGCTTCTATCTTCAGTAAAGAGTGAAGAGCTTGCTCTTCTGTTTCATCAAAGTGGAAGAGGTAGTTTCTGTAAGATGAATTAGCAAGTTTGGAATCATTTTTTTGTAGACGAGTAGGTTTTCACTAGACCATATGGCCTCTCCCTAGAGCTTTGCTCTTGGTACTGAGATTCTCAAACTTTACTGGACAATGGGTTTCTTAAAGTGGCATGGTAGGCCGAAAGCCTGTTTTTGACTGTGTCACATTAAGGGTTCATAATTGTGTTTTTAAAAATGTCACAAGGCATATCACAATCACAAGACGCAACAAAAAAATCTCAGTATGATATATTCTCCATATTGTGCAGCCCTGGTAGGCAGCAAAATGCAAGCCTTGTTCTGTAAATGCAAGTGAGATGTTGTTCTAAACCACAGACATTTCGAGAACTGGGCTAAGAAGTAGAGCACTTTGATGCTGTAGGTGCCACTGTGACTGGCCCTTATACTATAAGTTCCAATTCTGCAACAGTTTAGTTACTTACAACAAATGACACACTAAAAATCAATTTGCCATCTATTTTTCAAGGCAAGCATGAACATAAATCAATAAGCACTCTAATTTTAAAAGGTTACAGTAACCAGTAAAGCCCAACAAGCTCAGTACGTGGACTTTACCAGTCTAGTTAGCATCCTTGTGTGCATCAATTATGCTACTACAAAGTTTCTGACCTTGCATAATTTATCAGGAGAACCGCAGTAAAACCTCTTCTCATTTAAAAAGTGTTATGAATGAGCTGTTCTTTTAACACAGAGCACTTACACGTACCACAACATTTTAGATAGGACAGACCTAATTAGCCTATTTGCAATCAGTTTTAATTGAAATTAAAGTTATACCTTTTACTAGAGATGGCATCAATCCGATACCAGGAATCCGTATCAAGCTGACACCAGCAGAAATGCTGGATCTTATATCGGATGTAAATAAAAGTGATTCAGTCCTGTAACAAATCTATCCTGGAATACTTCACACGAGACATGTCATGCGTTGTGCACTTCTTTCAGTCGGGTAGTAGAGTGTTTGAGCAGTTTGGACATGATGACCTACTTAAAAATGCTCTTCTTAAATTAAGTGCTTCAATTAAAAATAGCTCATTTTAAAGCTTAGTAGTTTTTAAAGAGAAAAACAAATCTGATCAGCACTGGTCTTGGCCAATACTCAAGGATACACTATCAAAACCAGAGAAAAAAATGGCATCGTAGCCTTTACAGTCTAAAGTTGAATTTGTCTTACAAAAATAGCATAAATAGTTTATGCAAAAAATGCAGAAAAAAAAAATAACAAAAACAACACTAATACTAAAACTGTGAGAAAATTTTAGAATGGGGACCACTACATGTCTATTTTGTGCCTGAATCAGGCTAATAAGTCTGGTTAACTCCCTTTTTTAAGAAGAGGAAGGAAGTCAAAAGTGTTCTGTACAGGCCTAAGGCATTTACTTCCGTGATGCAGTTAAACTGTTTTCAAGCAGCATGAGACGATTTCAAGTTACTTCATCTAAACTAATCTAACTCCAATCCACTTTGAACGCCAAGGTCAACATCACCTTCACTTATCACAATGACAACACACTGAAGTTACATTTACTACAGCCTATATAATAATGAGAGATAGAGAGGTCTATGTTTTAAGATCTAGTGAGTCAGTGCAGTGCTCACTGTTGTCAAAAGGAGAAAAGGTGATTACAGTGTGAAGTAACATCACTGTGGGCTTTCCAAGGCAAAGCATAACTGAAATACCTATGTCTTCCGTCTACTGGTCTCTACATGATGAGTCTAACCACATGACTGTTGCAAGCTTTGCAGCGAAGCGGGGGATCTTCCACCCCGGAAGAGCGAATTGCTTGCAGTGGAGAGCAGGCGGAGGGCGGAGGGGAAACCGCTGGAAGAGCCAAGCGCCTGCCTGCCTGCCTGCAGCAGCACGCCCAGTCAGGGCTGGGTCAATGAGAGCCAGCTGAGAATACAAACAAGGCACAGACGGCAGAGAAATAAACACCACCTTCTGACGACGTATTAAAAACAGCTCCGAGTTAAGTTAGTCTTGCTGACTGGTAAGCACTCAACTCTGCTGCTGTAATGTCACCCCAAAACACAAAAACTATAGCAGAAAGTTGCTTCTAATTACACAAATTTTACGCCAAAGCAAGTTTGTAACTAACAAAGTAACGCGCTCAAATGTCAATGCCATGAAGTTAATGTGGAAATCAATGACTCTTAATCGCCAAGACAACAGCTGAAGGCACGGAAAGAGTAAAATTACATTTACTGGGTTCACAACATAACGTGCAATCGGATAACGTTACACCGTATTGGTATCTATAACCGTAGATAGGTAGGTGATTATACATACACACAGCCAGCCAAAATGCGCTGATACACCCTACCGAATCCCAGATGGTTAGTTAGCCACGCCAGTAATCGACCACTCAAATCAGTTTAAAAAAACAAAAAAACTTGGTTGAAGTTGGCTTTTTATTCGAATTTCCGTTCCACCTTAAATGGTGCAGCCGTTCTGCTCTGCGCCTCTAAGGCGCCAGAATGTAACTCCCGCACTAACCTTAGTTAAGGCGGAACAGAAAATTCCAATACGACTCCGAACTCCAGCTTCGTGCAGTCCTGAGACAACCAGCCAGCACTGCTCATCTGAAAGTCACTTACTTTAATAATGTTAAACTCAATAAAGCTCAATGCCTTCAACACGCATTTCCATACGACTGATAGCTAGCCTCGCAAGCTATGTTCCGCTGCTCGGAGAAAGGCATTCCTAATTACAGTAGTTACAATAAGTCAAGGCCAAAAAGAGCAAACAAAATCCTCTGTCCGCAGAACAGCAATGGGGCGAAATAAGTTGAAAAGTTTAGATTTTTTGCCTCATACCTTCTCTTCTACAGTCAGCTGCTCCTCAACGTCCGCCATCTTGGCTCAACTGGACCAGCCCTGTCGAATTGCATCACGGGAAAATGACGAACAGCGATTTTGATATTTTGTACATATTTTTATACTTTCTAATAACATTCACTGCAGTGGTTTTCATAGCTTAATAATATGAAATATGTATCTTGTTTTCGTAATACCTGCAGTACACACGGTCCGGCGACTCGGTCCGGCTACTCGCAGTGTTAGTTTTTTGTCTTTATGCACTTACAATAGATTCTTACACAAAAGGCATCTTGTGACCGTTTACTGTTTATTGTAAAGGCTCTGAAATACTATTGTCACTTCTGTTCTCTTTTGAAACACGTCTGACCAAAACTATGGAGTCCCATGCTGATTATTTTTTAATAAGGCGTGGCCAGAAAAATAATAAATTGAGGCCACGGGTTGTGAGAAACGTAACTCGTGGCTTCAACATAGTAATTCGTGGCCTCAATATATTAGTTATTAAAAAATAATCAGCATATTACCTTTGGGGCTCCGTACAAAACCAGCATATTTCTAAAAACATTATAACAAGGGAAAACAGCGCCACCTACAGTCTCGGCCGTATACATACTTTTTTTTTTTTTAAGTTTTTTTCGTGTTACGCATAAAGAATAAGACAGCACAAATCATAGATATATAAATATAAATTAGGAACACAACGAGTCCATTCAAGTTATTAAACATATATGAAACTACATGAGGACAAACCCCCTGCTGAGCTCTTATGTAACGTCAGCAGTCCTCGGGGAGTGTCTCAAAATACTCATCTAATAATGTAACGAAACACTACAGCACATCGCTTACAGGCTTTGTGCACTGTATACAGGCGGTGGGAAAGAGAATGCAATAATAAAAGTCTCCTATCAAATCTAGTTCCCAATGTCTGGGTCATCTTCGGTGTACTTTTCGTTCCGTTTCCGTTAACGTAACTTGTCCACAGTTCACATTTTGGTGCACAGTTCTTGTTCCGCCGTGAGTGAACCGGTCACTGTCCTGTAACTGAGTCGACCAAATAACAGCAGTCACAGCTGACTACTCATCGGAGCAATGCCTTCACTCAGGGCTAATTATGAAGTTGGGCTGGATTTCCTCGAGTTCCTGGGGGAACGAAAATCGAAGACAGACAAGAAAGAGCTTCGGGACATCTACAACTTGGAGTTTAAAAGGTGAGCAGCTATCCCAGACACACTAGGAAGTGTTCAGTTTCACTCTTATAAATAATTTTCACATCTGAACAACTTGTAAGTACGTGTAAATCTACATTATGCTATTGTGTATACTGAGAGTTACATGCACATAAGCATTGCTAGCTAAGTATAGCTTATTGCATTGTTATGTATTTTTTGTTTATGAAGCTCTTTTAGGGAACATTGTGTGAATAACAATGATGACTAATGACCTGCTGGTCCCTAACTGTGTATGAACAATATGATGTATTAATATGCTCCGTTGTAAAGGGAAGGAACCAAGGAGCCAAATTTTTCCAAGTTGGTCTACGCCTTACAGCATTTCAACAAAGCCAGTATAAGGCATGGAAAGGTTATCCTGCATGCCAGACCTCAGGTAAGCCGCATTCTCTCTCTAACTTAGTTCTGTATTCGGTGTGCCTTTCTTTTGCATGACTTTTGGCTTTTGCATGCGAGTATGGACACTATCCACAATATATTCAGAAATGCAGATTGGGATATGAAGTAATACATCACCATAGCAGTAAATATTGTCAGGTTGCCCACTTCTACTGCAGAAGAACCATTAATGATAATGCAATGTGCATAACAGCTAAATATAACTATGTACAGCAATAATCAATGCAAATACTAATGCATTTGCATGTAGCAACACAGAGATGTTTTTGTCTGTTTGCTTCTGCATTTGTTTATTTGTTGTTCAGAATTAAAATGTTTTTATTTACTGAGTACACACTGTACAAAGGGAAACACCTGCCCCCCCCCTCCCTCTCTCTCTCTCTCTCTTCTTTGCATATTCCTTCATAGGTGCGTGTGTACTACTGTGACCAGTGGAGGTCAGCGCCACAGTCAGGCTCGAGAGCTGACAGTGGAGCCACAGCTCCGGCCTCCTCTGGCTCATCTCCACCTACTGTCAACCCAGTCCTCACTCCAAAGAGAAAACTGGCTAAAGAAATCCTTCAGAGACTCCGGGTAAACAGGTGCAGACTAGATCTTATGTTCCATCCAACAGTGATGAGTTCTTGTGTATGAAATAAGCAATGTTATTATCAGCACAAGGTGCTGACCTCATTCTACCAAAGGGACAACAGACAGTTTCATTTGAATTATAAAAACCCCTGTTCATGACTGACTGAGCTACATTCAAAGCTCAAATCCACACAACACACATCAAATGAATTCTGGATTAATTATTACCTCGTAGCTTATTGATTTATTATGACATCGCTTTTGCTTGCTTGCTGGAGTCACTGTTTTGTCTTGTCCGTTGCAGAGCAGAGCTGATCTCTGATAAAGGAGGTATCAAAATCACGTCAGATCCTGAGAGCATCAATGGAAAAGTTGTGTTCAACATCGACCTCATGGACAGAGTGTATGTGGTGAAGTTCCACATCGTGAATGAGGGACAGAACTGCATTCACTTCACCTTTTACACGGCACTGCACAGGATGCGCTGCTTCACGTTGGTGGACGAGAGGAGAGTGACCAGAGTTTGCCCTCTGCTTCTCTGCCCAGGTGAGGAGAGGTGCTGTGAACAATCTCATGCCAGACCTACTGCAGACAAAAAAAAATCACACATACAGTAACATGCAGGGCTGTAATTCCTGACCTCTTAATGTTTTGATTTTATCATGATTCATTAGGAAATGATATAGAGCTTCATGACGTCTTACATTTTACCACAGTATGATTCAAGAGAATTATTTTGGTGTGATTAAGGATTATTTTAAAAATCTATGGGATACATAAATGAGGGACATATTTACACAGTAGTAGATACAGAATAAAGCAATATACCAGGGTTTTAAGGATTTTGAGTGCATACTTAATGAAGATTATTGACTTTGTTTTATCTTTGAGTCCAACATGCCAACATTGATGCAGTTAAATCACCACTTTCCTATCAAAAATACGTTTATACATTTTTTTTATGGCCCAAAGTGTATGAAAATTTTGTGGCCCATAGTAGTAGAGATTACCAGTAAACATTCCGATGACCAATAAAATTAAATGTTCTCAGTTTAGGTTTAATTTTATTCTGCATTAGATTTTGTTGAACAATGATTTACTGACAGATATGATTGTCAGTTCTCAGTTGTCACACTTAAACTCAAATGAACAACAGAAACTCACAAAGTAAAAAAAAACACGTAGCACATAGATTTCAGCTACCCAGAATTCTTTGCAGTTTGGTTTCTTTTCATTAACTAATATTTTTTGTATTTTTCAACATTTCTCTTCCTTAAAGGGCTTTGTGTTCTATCAATTTAGTGCTGAAGGTTAGGTGTGTGTAATTTTACATGTTTTACGTGTTTACATGTTTACACTAACTATACATATAATAAAAATGATAGTTAAACGTTCACACTATCGCGGCAAACATGCATTCCACACTGCTTAACAAGACTTGACTACATCAACCTCTCAAAACTATCTGTTAGAGGAGCTCTGGAACAAACATCTCAAACGCATGTTTTTAAACAAATGATTCGGGAAAACCTGAAATACATAATACATGTTTTTTGACATTTTACAGTGACAGGATGACATAAATTAGCCACTGGCTGTGCTATTGAAGGTCAGTGCAGCACGAGTCAAAGTTCAACAGATTTTGAACTACTATTATCATATCTTCATTTTGAAGAAAATGTTGATTTTGCATTTTAGACCTAAACATTGAGCCAGACCTTATTTCTGAGCCTGCGCATGTGACTTTAATACGTAAAGATGTATGACGTGGTCTGACAAACATGAACACCATTGAATTTTAAATTATTATTTCAGGTTTTATAGGGCGACTCTCAGTAGCGCACGCACACTATATTTTAACATGTTTTTCCTCCTGATTAAGTAATGTCACTTCTTTCTATTTCAACAAAAAACTTAGTGCAGCTTTAAACAGAGGGAGCCTCATATTGATCTCTCCAGTGGTACAACCAGCTAACATTTTGCACCTGTCTTTGAGAGATTTTGTGTTTGAATCTGAATGACAGCATGTTATAGGCGATGATATTGCTAATATGGATGAAAGCGCTGGTGGTCGATGATTGCCAATGTTATTGGCTATCACTATATCAGTTGGGCCCTAATTTTAATGCCTCTATTCACATGTAAGATTATATGTTATGCTATGCAGACCTGTTATCTGCAAGGCTTTCATTGTAACTACAACATTGCACATCACATTACACAATTATATATGCATGTATTATTCACTCACATGCAGTGGTGTAAGCTGCTTGTTCTGTTTTAATAAAATGCTAATTAATGACATTTTTAAATTAAAATCCATTGATATCTGGCAGGTGAGAGCTACGTGGTGGAGGTGCATTACCGCATTCACCACTACGGACACTTCCCAGCCACCATGTACTTTGAGTTCTGCCCCGATTCAGAGCCCCCAAGCCCATCTAAACCCTTCTGCATTGTGAGGGAACTGGAGGCGGTGGTCCAGACCCAGCTGGCTGCGGAGCTGGGCCCAGAGAGCCCTTACAGACCCAGGAAGGCTGGACGGTACCGGCCTGAGGACAGAGTAGTGGAGGAGGGTGTGCCCCCTGAGAGGTAGGCATACTGACGTAAAATCTACATCCACAGATTTTTTTGTAGTGTCTTGCAGAAAAAAATCCCTTTTGTTTTTGGATGTTTTTTACTTTTACTTTTTTAACCTTGAAACAAATGAAAAAAGATACACAGAATATAAATTGAATGCAAGTATAATTCTGTATGTAACTAACAATGTAACTACATATATAAATAATAATGAAAAATAACTCACATGTATAGAAAATCAATAACAGTAGCTCTAGTTACACTGAAATAATAAATTTTAAAATCCAGCTACATTGGTTGTGACGCACTGATACTTTGTTTAAACTTGCTGCTGAACTTAAGTAACTTTTTCAAAGCTTTTTACTAGAGTTGTTCAATTTTTGGAAACTGTGGTCCCAGTGGATTTTGTGAATCTTAACTGTAGAAAGTTTTGCTTTTTGTTCAGATACAAAACGTTTGTGTGAACAAAAAAAGCGAAACGTATTTCACGTTTGAGTAATATATCACATATTTATTGTTGCACACACTGGCCCTTTGGTTTATGGATAGTAAACCTGAATTAGGTCTAAATTAGGTAAGCAGCGTTATGGGAATCGTTGGCTGATGCTGATAGTTTTTATTTTTCATGTGCTTATCTACTGATGTTAAAAATCACAACAATATAATTTATAAATTATTGAAATATATCTACCAAAATAAGCATTACTTAAAAATACAATATGAATTTCTGGGTTACAAATGCAGTAAAGCGAATGAAGTTCAGGCATTTTATGTAGACAAAGCAGACAATGACAGTAGCTCAGTGTCCCATAAATCATAAATATGTAATCAAATAGCAGTTAAATCTAAACATCTGCCCAGTTATTTTTTCCGATATTATTGTGCATTCCTAGTCTAATTAACTACATAAAGAAAAGCTTTGATTAACAAATAGTGTTACGACTCATGACAGTAAGAGCTTGTGCTGATTTGCTCTATATTACATCCAGTTGCTGAAAACTTGTAAGAGCGGTTGTGTTGTTTCTTTCTGTGGGTCTTTTCTGTAGTTGTGTGACACATGCTCTGAAGCCAGCAGTGAAGCTGAAGGACTACAGTTATCCTCCTTACCTGAAGGACCTGGTCAAACACCACTTGGCTGATGCAGAGAAGCTTTCCCCTGCAGCCAGGCTGCAGCTACCCAGAGTGAGGTGAGTTCCTGTGGGCCCTGAAGTGTTTGAGCAATCAGCACAATGTGAGAGGGAGGGGGCGATTACTTCATCGCCCCCAAACAGGATATAAAAAAGGATGTTTCTGTAATGTACTTTGCATTTGGTTGTCCTGAAGCCATCTTGCCACCTGAAGCTTAATAAAGAAGAGGGCCTTTTCCTTGCTTCCAAAAGAACTCAACGGCTGAAGTCTTTTATTCAACTTTCTTTTATTTTTGACTGAACTTTATTTTATTTTGCGTTTATGACAAGAACAAGCAATCAGATTTATTAAAGAACTGAAACATAGTTATAGAACAGATTAGTTTTTAATTATCCATATGTTGGGGCTCTGAGCAAGAGGGAATCGCACTTAGTCCTAACAGTAGTGATAGGAACCAGATGTCTGAATTATACAGAAATGTAGAAAAATCAGTGGAATTCCCCTTTAAAGGGAAAGGAGTACCCAGGACTGACGTTAAGAACCTGCCACTGTACTGCTGATCATTTTCAGTAAAGATTGCACAGGCATGTGCCTGCAGTTTAACACAATTTAGCAGTTGATGTGATCTTTGTAGATATGATATAATTTAACAATTGTCTGGATATTTGTGGATGTGTAGTGTAGTTTGACAGTTCATGTTAATTTCAGAATGTTCATATTCTAGCACTTTTATGTATATTGAATTAATTCTTATATGCTGTGTTCATATGAGTGTACACAGTATATCATGCATGCTTTACTGATATTGTTGTTCATCCAAATTCTCAGGAATGTGTTGGAGACTCCACTGTGTATAAAGCAGTATGCTGAGCGCTTCCACCTCCTTTTGCATCTAGAGGAGATTCAGATGGAAGTAGACATAAAGAAGTATGATCTATACAGCCAGACCATGACACGAGACAAAACTAACAAAAAGCTGCTTGTGTTGAAGGTGAGCAGTTCTTGTTGACCTCTTTCCTGTTGATAAAGTAAAATATTAAGTTCTGTACTACAGTTAAAAAGTTCAGAATCACCATTATTTCAAGATTAAGAAACATATTGTTATAAAATATTATAAAACAATTTGTCAATACATGCATAAAATGATTCTTTTATGAGAACAGTTCTCTACAACTTTATGGGTTTCATTTTGAAGGAAGCTGTAAAACATTGAGATTTTAATTTTAGATGCGTGCAATATGGTGAGCAAATGTCAAGGCAGAGAACCAAGAAATTACTATAAATAGAGGTGATCAAAGTTGACCATTTTGGTATTATTTTGGCTGATCTGTGTTGCAATTTAATGATGTAAAAATATGAGGCAGGTACATGAACTTGCACTATTTTTGAATGCTGCTGCTACATCTATACCAAAATGCTCTATCATAATACTACATGACTCTTTGTGCTAAATAGCCAGATAGCCAGTTGCCTCTTTCTTAGCAATTTATTTGATGACATTTATTTGATTCGTGGTATGTAAATTTATATTGTGATGTTGACTAATAGAAAAGAACTGGACATGTGCTGTTGTATTTCATTTGTTTGTTTAGCTTACACAATATGAAATTCAGGTTATAAAAATCACCAAAAAAATTGTCCATCAACTAATATAAAGCATCACGGGTCAGGTCTTAATAGAAAATAAAAGTGGGTTCACCCCCCGAACCTACTGCTACACCAAACACCAGACACCATTTAATCAAGAAAACAGCTCAGGTTTATTTATGTTTTCTTAAAAGTCTCGATGGAAAGAGGCTAAGCTGTAAATCAGAAGATTAAAGAAATCTTTCCTCTCATTCTTGGAGCAAAACATCTTAAAAATAGCTTCTGGTGTCTAACTTGTAGTAGTTCATTGTAAAAGTCATTGCTTAAAAAATAACAGCAAGTATTAATATTACAAGTAATTTCAAACTTTAAGAATTGTATTGTAAGTTAGCTGGAAACCTGGCTTGAAAGTGATGTGCACTGTATTGCTATCATTTTATTTCTTGCTCTTTCCCTGCACTCGCTCTCTTTCTGTCTCAGGTGCCAGGAGTGGCGGAGAACAGGCCATCTGTGCTGAGAGGAGATCACTTGAATGTGTGTATGTCCAAAAGACGAGGCTAAACCTGTTACCATGTACAAAGGCTACGTCCACCGTGTGGAGCTGGAGAGTGTAAAGTTGGGCTTCAGTAAGAAGTAAGAGATGAATTGAGACTGTGAAATTTAGTATCTTATGGTGTTTTGTGTCCATTGTACTGGTATTGGTGGAATTAGTTCCATTTCTCTCTCTTTCTTTCTCTTTGTGCTGACAGGCTTGTACAGAACTTTATCGCAAATATGAAGTTTGATGTGGAGTTCAGCATCAATCGCTATCCTCTCAAACTCCAGCACAGAGCTGTAGATCTGGCTGTACAACACAGGCTGGGAAATGTGCTGTTCCCCAGTGACAACAGCATCAAGCACACAGCATTACCGCTGCTCAGGTGCTCAAAATGCAGAAACAACTATGCAGTACACTCACCAAGATGTAACAGTGTATTCAATATGTTGACAAAATACAACATATACAAAATATAATATACAATATAACTAACATAACATAGTAACATACTTGAGACTTGGTTTGCTGTTGTTTGTTGTGCTGTATAGGATGTTCAACCGAGATCTGGAGACCAACCCTGAGCAGAATGCCGCTGTCCAGCACATTCTGTCTGGCCAGTCTAAGCCAGCTCCATATCTTATTTTTGGACCCCCTGGAACAGGCAAAACCGTCACACTAGTGGAGGCCATAAAACAGGCAATGCATCCTGTATCTCTGTAGACCATCTAAAGTCACATGGAACAGCAAATGACATGTTTTGTTGCTTTTCTAAGTGAAAATAAGTTACACATCCTCTTCAGAGAACACACTTACACACATTTTAATGCACAATTACTGTTTATTTGCTGAATTTAACATATAGGAAACAGAAACATAAAATGTGGCCTGTGCAAAAGTTATAGTTATGGTATATATGATATATGTGTATGTGTTAATATATGTTAAATATATGTTAAACTCTGCAAATAAACAGAACAAGTGTGCACTAAAAATTGCAGAAAATGCCATAAGTTTTTCTTTGTAGAGGATGTGCTAATTTCGGAAATCAACTAAAATTAACAAAAATAATGTAATTTGAATGGGGTTGTTTAAACTTTTGCAAATGCCTTTAATTGAATGCACTTATATTACTCTCCAAAAGTCAGAGACCACCATTCATGAATTTTATTTCAAGTCAAAATGGCTATTAAGTACATTTTATACGTTTTCTTGCTTCAAAAACGTGTATTTAACAGAAAATGATTTATTTTCAGTTAGAAAATCAACAAAACATAATTTTACCAGGGGTATTCAAACTTTTGCATACAACTGTATTTGTTGTAATCCAGCACTTGTATTGCTAGCCACTAGATTTTTCAATGAAGTTGAATAGAAACAGAACCAAGATTAACCAGTTATACTCTTAAGCTTAAGGCTTATTAGTCATCAAATTATTATTCAGCTACTACTATGTAATTAATATGTAATCGTTCTGCATGTGAGGAAAGAGAGTTAAGGAGATTATTAAGGCTGCAACAAATATTGTAAAATTAATTATGGTAATGGAAAGCCCTACCTAGTATGACACAGAGTTCATATTAAAAACTACTGAAAACATTATTTGTGTGTGTACATGTATTTGTGTTTTAGGTAAATAAGTCTAATGCGAGTGCCCACATCCTGGCCTGTGCTCCCTCTAACAGTGCCTGTGATCTCCTCTGTGAGAGGTTGCTAAGATATGTGGATGCCCATCGCCTCTACCGGCTCTGTGCCAGCAGCAGAGACCCCCGCACTATGCCACGAAAATTACTGGTAAGCTGCGTTTCAAATGCATAACAATTGTGTACACTCTATAGTACACTCAATAGTATGTGTATACACTCAATAGTATGTGGACACCCATTCCAATCCCTGATTTCAGGTGTCTCCGCCACACCCATTACTAACAGGTGTATAAAATCAAGCGCGTAGTCATGCAATTTGCTATTATTGTAAAATGGAAGCATCTATGGTCAGCAGCAACTAAGCAATGGAAGAGTAGACAAACATAAACTCACAGAGTAGGTCCATCAAGGGCTGAAGCTTGTAGCATGTAAAAATTGCCAATCCTCTGTTGTATCACTCACGCAGTAAGGCTTGGCCCCTTAGTTCCAGTGAAGGGTAATGTAATGCTACAGCATACGAAGAGATTTTAGACAGTTATATGCTTCCAACTTTGTGGCAACAGTTTGAGGAAGATCCTTTCCTGTTTAAGCATAACTGTGCCTCTGTGCACAAAATGAGGTCCATTAAGACATGGTTTGGTGAGTCTGGTGTGGAGGAGCATCTAGTGGTCTGCACAGAGCCCATGACCTCAACATCTTCACGAAAGAACTGGAATGAAATGAAATTAACCTTTTTAGCCAACTGTGTCTGAACACATCAGAATCAGACCTCCGCATTTAACCCATTCGTGCAGTGAAACACCACATACGCACTAGTGAACACACACACACTAGGGGGCAGTGAGCACACTTGCCCGGAGCGGTGGGCAGCCCTTTCCACAGTGCCCAGGGAGCAGTTGAGGGTTAGGTGCCTTGCTCAAGGGCGCTTCAGTCATGTACTGTCAGCTGAGGCGATCAAACTGGCGACCTTCACAAAGCTGGTTCCCTCCAGCCCACGACTGCCGACTGGAATGTCGATTGCGAGCCAGGGCTTCTCGTCCAAAATCAGTGCCTGACCTCATAAATGCTCTTTGTTCTGAAAAGGCACAAATTCCCACAGACACATTCCAAAATCTTGTGAAAAGCTTTACCAGGAAAGTGAAGGCTGTTATAGCCACAAAGTGTGGGATAACTCTGCATTAATGCCCATAGTTTTGCAATGGGGTGTCTGAAAAATTCATATAGGTGTGCTGGTCAGGTGTCAACATACTTTTGTCCAGGTAGTGTATTTGTGCGGTATATATAAACATTCTTTTGTGTACTTGACAACTTTTATTTCCTCTTTTTTTATCTAATTGTAATGTGTAATAATTATAACAAATTGTAACAAACCAAAAGTATTTCATCCCCCTTACATTGCCTATGTATACAGTACTGTGCAAAAGTCAGAGACCACCTTTATTAATTTAAATTCAGTCAAAACAGACATTAATAATATCTGTTATTCACACTGGAGATATTTCTGAGGACATTAGATATAAGATTGCTTGCATAAGGAAAGGGAAAGTCATAGGAAAATAAGTGAAATCCTTCCACTGTGAGAAGTGATAACTCAACAATCCAGTCCAGACTTTAAACTGAAAGCTAGTCTCCTGAAAAAATTGGAAGCTGTAATGAAGGCAAAGGGTGGACACGCTAAATACTGAAAAAATTACAAATAAATATTGAGGCTAATTTTCTGTGAAATATTTCTTGCCTGCTTTTTTTCCGACATTAAAAATTAATAACTTAATGTTTTACACATAAACAGTTAGCTGTACTATACTATAGCTGATTTGACTGGAAATTGAATAATATAATGACTCTTAAAAGTGATTTGTTGGTCCATGTCTTGGCTGTTACTGTAGTCTTTCTGTCATTGTCACAGCACAAATTCAAATAACGAGCTTTGATATGTTAACTTCATTCCTACACTGCTGCCATATATTAGCGAGATGATAGCTGGCTAGAATTACATTCGTTTTATCATTATCTGTAGAGCGTGACGGCAGGAAAAAGAATGACAGAAGAAAACAAGCAAGGCATGTGCTGGTTGTGTGAATTGTGATTGAACAAACGTTAAGTCTTTGCTCTCTGAAGGACCAGTAAAAATACACGTATGCACACATACATCTACACACTTACAGAACCTATTAATTTCAGGAATTGTGTGTCTTGTTACAGAAACGCAGTAACTGGGATGAAGGGCAGGACAGTTTCATCCTCCCCTCCAAGGAGACTCTGATGGGCTACAGTATCATCGTGGTCACCCTGATCACTGCTGGAAGGTAAAGGCCTCTCAGCCCTTACGCTCTTAAAAATAAAGCTTTTAAAGAGGCTTTTGGATGTTTGGTTCTAGGAAAAACCTTTGATGGTTCACTGCAGAGGCTTTGTGAATGCTCAGACTCTGTAACTGTCCATTGAATGCAACTGTATTTGAAGTTGAATGTGAAAGTCTATTAAATTTGATCCTAACCCTAATCCTAAACCTAACCTTAACTTCAACACAAAACCTAGACCTAACCCTTACCTTAATGGTATTCGGTAACATTAGGGTACCAAACATGATTAGGCTACCAAAAAGTTTGATAATGATTTAAGTCTGTAAATCATGTATAGTGGACCATCGAAATAAAGTGTGACCACATTAAGTGAAAGTTCTTTAAACTTTTAAAAGGTTCTTCACTCTCAAACATATCTTTTACAAACATGGTTCTTTAGGGAAAGTTTTATTTGGGAACCATAAGTAGTTCTTCTACACTGTCAGAAACACATGGTACTGTCTGGGTAAATTTTAGTCCCTTAAGGTACAAGGCAAAATGTAAATGTACCCTCAAAGATACAACAAGGTCCTTAAGGTCTAATTGTGTACCTTAAAGTTTCAGCAGTAGCTGCATTCACATTCCTAGTATAAGGATCGTATTTGTACCTCTATATAACTACATTTTCAAGCAGTGAATTAATATAAAAGCCCTGGAGTCAATACGGACGACATGGTACAATTTTGTTCTCTAATTATTGGTAAGACATACACTGAGGGGCCAACCCCAGTGACAGTATTTGTACTCTGAGAGGTACAGATTTTTCCAAGAATGTATGGCATCTCCAAAGAACGTTTTTGGCGCCTTCATTTTTAAGATTACATGGTGCTTTATAACTACACTGAGCACTCATATATGTCAATGTATACAGTCTATACATATAAGTTTTTTTTCACAATTTTGGAGGTATACAGCTGTATAAGGCTGGGATACAGGGAATCTAACCTATTACACTTTTCCCCATAAACTCTGTCCAGTTTTCATCAGTAATTCTGTCATGTTCAGGTTTGTTTCTCAGTTACTGCTTTATTGTTCTTACTAGCCAAAGTGATGTGGTCAGACTCTGGGTGGTGGGATGGAGGAGTGGACATTGATTCATGTTAAATCTTATGTGTGCATCCTGTACATAAACAAACAGGACATCACAACACATAAGAAACGAGCCATCCGAGCATCACTCAACTGTTATGCTGTAGTGATCAGACCGCCACACAAGTGACCTAAGTTTAGTTTCTGTGTTCCTTGTAGAGAAAACAAAATGTTGCTGCATCCGGAGTGTAAAAATATAATACAGCACATGATCAAGACACAATGATGTTTTAGCAAGGATACATTTGCCCCTCGTCCTGACTCTTTCCCAGTCTCTGAATTTTGACTGTGTTTGTATGCACTTTTAACTGTGTGTGAGATTGTTTAGCTGTTAAATAAATAAAAAATAAATAAATAAAAATAAAATTTTGGGCTCTGTATTAAGTGTTACCGGAGGGAAAACCAAAACTGGATAAACTGCCATTTTAATGCTAGAAATGTTTATCTGTGAATTTATACCGTTTGGAATCCATAAATATAAGGGTTACTGTCTCTGCAGGTGGACACCACTTGCCTCAGCTGATATAGAGCCCTCTTTTGCTCAGTATACCCAAAGAAACACATATCATACCACACATCCATGTAGAATTTTCCAGAAAGTTCTAGCGTGTTCTCCATTAATAGAATGAGTCTCTGGTTGTGTTTTTCAGGCTTGTGTCTGGAGGGGTCCCTGTTGGTCATTTCTCACATATCTTCGTAGATGAGGCCGGGCAAGCTGTGGAGCCTGAATGTGTTGTTGGGATTGCGGGTAAGGGACTCACTGGCAGGGTGAAATTGCGTTTTGAAAAATGAAATGATTTCTTTTCACATTCCTCATGTTCCTCATTTTCTTCACAGGTCTTCTCCATCCTGAGAAAGGCCAGCTGGTTTTGGCTGGAGACCCTCAGCAGCTTGGACCTGTCCTTAGATCTCCACTGGCACAGCAACACGGGCTGGGTACTCGGACTTCTGTATTATTTTTTAACATTGTTATAGCTACCAGGGATGCAGGAGGGCGTTTTAAATTGTGGGTGCTGAAAATTTTAGCAGCATGTAGCACCCCGATCTTATAACATGACATTCATAACCATTCAAATTGTTTGGATGATTTACATGAAACAGATGAAACATATCATAACATGCTTGACTGTGGTGAGAAATGACATTATAGATATGTTTATATGACAGCAACCACTGATGCACACCCTACTGTCTCTGCTCTCTCTTGCTGAATGAGCTTTATGCACATGAGCTGAGCATCAATCAGTCAGACTGCTGATTTGAGTCATGGAAACTGCTTGGGTCACACCTATAGTCAAGCTGTTTAGCAAGGAGACCCACTCAAAAATGCTGGCCAGTACTGGACTAGCAAACACTGTTTTGAAGAATTGTACACACATAAAATCATATTTTTTTTCATTTAAACAACAAAAAAAGTTTACTTAATTGCAGAACAACAAATACTATCTCAATTAAACAGATCAGAACCTAATGCTTGTAAATATCCAAGATCTGAATACTTAACTGTTTTTAGTAGTTTCAGTTAAACAATCCTAAAATCTGGGGGCTGCAGCCCCCTCAGCACCCCCACCTCCCACGTCTATGATGGCTGTATAATGTAAGGCCATAGCTGGACATATTAAACAGGTCTAGGCTGAAGAGAATAACTTGCAGTCTAACCCAGAGTCCAGGCTCCAGAGTAATAATTATGTTTTTTGGCTGTGATGTCCGGTGGTGTGAAACAGGGCTGTCGCTGCTGGAGAGACTGATGACACAGAATTCGCTCTATCAGAAGACTCAAGATGGCTGCCAGGCTTACGACAGCCGCTTTGTCACCAAGCTCCTGCGCAACTACAGGTGCTCTGAGCCTTTTTTCCGTTTTGGCTTTATTCCAGCTGTTTGGTGATTCCAGCTCACTCGTGCTCAATTTTTGTTCTATTATCTTTTTCTTTTTTTCACCCCTCACCAGGTCTCATCCTGCCATCCTCAAAATCCCGAATGAGCTTTTCTATGACAATGAACTGCAAGTGTTCGCGGACCAGATGGAGCGAGAGGCCTTCTGTCGCTGGGAGCATCTCCCCAAGCGGGTAATTCACTTAAAGTTTTAATAGTTTGGTCACTTTTTCCAAAGGAAAACCAAAGTTGGCCTGTTTTAAAGCTCTGGCCTAAGCACAAGGTCGTGTTTTGACTATTTTGGTGGTGGAGGAGACGGCATGTTTTGACTACTAGGTCCTTTGCATCTAAATATGGCCATTTGTCATTGTTGTTTTATTTTCGTAACCAGGGCTTTCCGGTGATATTCCATGGAGTGATGGGGAAAGATGAGAGAGAATCGAACAGTCCATCCTTCTTCAACGTCAGTGAGATCGAGGTCCTCATCAGCTATCTCAACAAGCTAATACTAACTCAGGGAAAGAATGGCCTCCCCAAACTCAGCGCTGCCAACATTGGCATCATTGCCCCCTACAGGAAACAAGTAAGATTACTCATAGATCCCTCAAGCATTTGTATATGAATATACAGTATGAACCATTCTACCAAAGTTAGTTCAAACTGTGGTCCCACAGTATAGAAAAAAAAACAATGAAGTAGATATTTACAAGCATTATGTTATGATCTATTTAAATCCAAGCCATTCATTGGGATAGTAACAAAGCTAAACACGCACAAAACCATCATTTACAGAGTTCTTTCTGCTCAAGGGGGCTGTCCCAAAACCTAACTTCTAATTTTAACTTGTAAAAATAATCTTTTTTTTTTTCCTATTTCAATATTTTTAAAATATCTTTTTGATTTCTTGTAAAGTGAAGTTAAAAGTTCTAGACTTATCATGACTTTAATTTTTTAAATGAACAAACTTTATTCAAAAAAAGAATGTCACCACCGAAACACTACTGAGTTTTAGTTTCTTTAGTAAAGCCTTATTTTAGCCACACCCCTGCATTTTACCCAGCATCCCAGGTCCTCGTGGATTTCAAAGGATCTTAGTCTGAAGTCAAAGTCAGTTAAAAAATTTCAACTCTAACTTTGAACCAATTTGGTAGAATGATCCATATATCATCTGTACTTCTGTACCACCATCTGTACAAAAAATAAAGCTTAAATGAGAATATAAAAAAAATCACATTTACAATGTAGTTGATTAGTCAGGACATGTTTGCTTGTTTATTTCTCACTGGACTTATGAGACTTATGTATAAGCATTTGTAAACTGCATACCTAAATCATTATACATTTGCCTCAAACCACATCAAATTGTTAATTAATCTGAAATAGGCTTGCTTATGTGGTCTCTGATACTGACAAACTGTGTTCCACAAAAAGAGACAAAATTCAGACTTCAAGGTGGTTGTAACCAGAGCCGGCTGTACGCTATAGTAGGAAACAAAGACAAGTGCCAATGATGCAAAGCACCACTCTTAGGAAGCACCAAAAGCTATTTGTGCTAATAGCACCCTCTTGTGGAGAATCTTAAGCCTGCTAAACATGAGTGAGCTAGTGGTTGAGTTACAAGGTCCAAGACAGTGCAGGACACTAAAGAATGTAATGCGATGTAGTTTTACAGCAAACTCTTGTTGTAGCCAATGCAATACATAGCAGACAAATTAAGTCCTCCCAAGTAATATGTCATTATTACATAGTACATTAGTGTTCTTGCATCATGTCCAGCGCTTTTTCTTTTTAGTGTGCTAATTCATTTTGCAGCTCCTGATGAATGCTCCTACACTTTAGGAGCTATCATAAACATTAGCTGTAAAGTTTGCTTGAAAGACCCACATAGAACAGCAAGGCAAGTGTATGATGATTTAAATTTGCAGTTTTCACAATTCTAATTATAAACTAAGGAAGCAAACTTCAGACACCAAACATGCCTTTGCTGATCAGCCACATTTAGGGCAAATGGAGAATTGTATTTTTTTTTTGTTTGTTTGTTTTTGCCAAACTTTTCCTTTACTCTCAATTTGAACATAATTTGCTTTCTTATAGTGAAATACATTTTTTTTCTCCCAAGGTGGAAAAAATCCAGAAAGCTCTGAAAACAGTAAGAGAATTAAACCAGTGGAAAGAAATTAAGGTTGGTCAAGTCATTTTTTTTCTCAAAATTACTAAGTTTGTAAAAATTGTGAGAAATAAATGAGAAAAACCATGAGACATATATTGTGTTCCTGGTGTCTCAGGTGGGCTCGGTGGAGGAGTTCCAGGGGCAGGAGAAAACGGTGATCATGGTGTCTACGGTCAGAAGCAGCATCAGCTATGTTAAAATGGACAAAGACTTTAACATTGGCTTCCTCACAAATGAGAAGGTATAGCTCTTTTTTTACTCCGTTTGCAAGAACTAACTTCATAATCCTGAAAGTAGTCTTTTGTGGAAAATACAAGAAGCTTGCTGTTCGTTAGTGATGTATGAGACCGTTGGTGAGGTTCTATTGTTTCAAATACTGATAATAACCATAATAATGTTAGTTTAGGTCAATGGGTTCAGATTAAAATATTTGTTTTAATAAAGGCCTTGTAATGAGATTTAAATTAGGTTCAGATAATTACTTTTATTAATTTAGATCAGCTCAGGCAGATCACTTTATGAATATAAATATGGGCAGTGCTAGCTTTAGCTTGTATGAGGCACTTTAATGAACTGAACCTTGTCTTTTCTTCTTTAGAGGTTTAATGTAGCCATGACCAGAGCCAAAGCCCTGCTTATCGTTGTTGGAAACCCTGTCATCCTGAACAAGAATCCCACCTGGCAGAGGTAGGACTTAGCAATTGAACTCTGAGCAAATATGTTTATAGTACAATTGAACAGTACTAGATGTTGAAGTATCATAAAATGAAAGAATTGTGAGATGCCCGATGTGCAAACTGGGACATTGCAGATTGGAAATAATATAAAATAACTTGATTTTGTGTAAATTCCTCTATTTTGATATAGATGACAGCAAATAACTGAAGGTGTAATATTGTATGTATGTGTTATTGCCAGGTTCATCCATTACTGTGAGCACGAGCAGGGCTACACTGGCTTTGACTACCGGGACGCTGAGGGGGAGGAAGATGTGGTGTCTCGGCTGGCATCTCTAAAAATCCATACAACCACTGACGGTACGTACCATGACACATCATTTACCCACCATTCTGCTCTCATTCTTCCTTGCTCATTAAAGATATCAGGAGACGAGACAGGTCAGTTATGCAAGTGTAACACTTATTATACATCGCTCAGAGGTAGTTGAGACTCTCTATGAATGCAATTTGTAACTTGTTTATATATTATTTTCCAAGATAAATTTAACCTTTTTTTCTTTGGTATCCATCAGGTAAGTTCTAGCAGTCAGCAATAACAGCCACATTTACTAACTGAAACTCAAAACAATGGCAATTAACTTAAACGTAAAAAAATGTAAGGAAGGCAATGAATGGAAAGATTAGCGCGACAAACATCAGTGTCTCTGTCCTTTATGTAGGTCAGTGTTTAGTATTTTATTTAGGTCAGTATTTTGTTGCATATCTCTTGTTTTAGATGACAGCTTGAAGTCTTCTAGGTCTAGGTATGGGGTGCATGACTTTGTACAACTGATTCTCAGCCAGGCTTATTAGCTGTTCTCTTTTGGATGGCCAGAGCAGGGCAGGTTTTGAACAAATCATGTCTCTTTCCAAGACCTCAGTCCATTTTTCACTCCTGAATTTTGAATTTTTCACATATCTTTCTCACAGCCATTTTATTACAAAAAGACAGTATTTTTTTGTCAGATTACTTCAACTCAGTACTTAAGTTTTCTTAGATTTTTAACTTTGGAAATGTTAATGAAATGAGTCATGAATTAGTCATGAAATAGTCATGAAATTAGTCATGAAGTATCTCTGGTTTGAACATGTGTGCATTTGGATTAGTGTCCCAGCATTTCCTTTGAAGCAAAATGAGGTTAGGTGAATGTTTTCTACTTTGCTATTGTGCAGTTGGACCCAAAGTATTGTTTGATAAGTCATAATATAGCTGAAAATGATGCACTTTTGAATATGGTAAAGCATTTCCACAGTACAGTAACAAATTAAATAATTCTAAAAAAAACAAGTGATGATAGAAGTTTCCCAAAACTATTGTGAAGTATCTTTACTGGTATACATTTGTAAATAATATGCATTTAAAACCATTTGTATGTGTGTGTGCAGAAATAGTAGAAAGCGCACTGCAGCAGCATGTGCATCCAGAGTGGAGGAGCGAACACTGAACCTCCTACAGACCAGCCATCAATGTGTTCTACAACAAACTGAGAACTGTAAATGATTGCAGCACTTTTTTTTGTCTCTTCACAATGGCCTTGGCGTTACTGCAGACTAATTCAAGAGACTATACAAAACATTTCTTCATGCTTTGCATTAATGTTAGAAATTGTCCTTATATTAACAATTTAAAAAAATTAAGATTAATTTCTCAAAATTTGAAACCAATTTTTCTATTTCAACATTTCAACAGCTAAAAGTATTGACAGATACATGATCAAGCACTTTGAAAAAGGAAAATGTCTTCCAAAAGCTGTGCTCATAAAATTGGATCTTATGACCTTACAATGCCCTTTTGACACATTATATATATATATATATATATATATATATATATATATATATCCGTTTAAAAGATTTTGAAAGATATGTGATTACATTATTCATTAGTTGTGGTTTCCATTATACTGGTATTAAAGAGAGCCATTTAGTGTTTACATTTAGCTGAATGTGGAGCCTTTATGTTTTACTGCCTTATTCTACACCAGTCCATCTTGTAACTACTTAATTCATAACTTTGAAGGTACAAATTGTGATCCAGATAGAGTGAACTTTATTTTGCTCTCATTCTTCCCCATGCTCTACAGAGACTACTTTATTTGTACTTTTTATTTTATTAGAATTGAGCAAATAAATGCAATAAAATACTTTTTTAATAAAAAAGTACTGCACAAGTATTCTTTCAGGCTATTGTCATAGAATGTATAAGAACAAGAAAAAGCAACTTACAGAATCAAAAAGAAAAAAAAAAAGTTTATTAACATGGGTTGATTTCACTTCAATGAAACATTCACTGCAATGCTTGTCCTGCTTACAAAGAATTATTACAATGAGCGCTCATATAAATCTGAAGTAGTTCATACTCCATACTTCCAGATAAAAAAAGGAAGATCATTTTAAAGCAAAAGTTTGTTCTAAGAAGAGAGTAACCAAGAATTTGATCACGCAAATTGTTATTTAGTGTTTTTGCTTACCCAAAAAAACAAACAAACAAACAAACAAAAAAAAAACAAACACAAAACAAACAGGCAAACAGAAAAGAAAAAAAAAGGTGTAGACACTGTGCTCCTCTATTGTGTTGTCTGTGATTTTATGGTGCCTTTTAACTGCCAAATAAGCTGGTCTTGTGTAATGCCCTCTAAACCTAAATTCCTTGGCATTGCATCCATGGTAAACTATAAACTCACTTGTTCTGCTATCAAACCATCCCATACTGTTAGCTTGGTGCTCTGTCCATGATTAGTCTGTAAATCTGGGATATTTACAATAAAGATGACAAATAAAGAAACAAAGCACAGAAGTCATTTGCCAGTGACCCCTACCATTCCTCACCACCAGGGGGCAGTAAACTCATTTCTTCCTTGCACAAATCAGCAACAGATGATGTCACACGAATAGGACGGACTACCACTACTACCTGACTACTGGCATGCAACACAAGAACACTGATCATATATTAACGACTCAGAATTTCTTAACACCAACTCCAACACTATATTCAATACCTGTGATGAGAGTGAGCAACTCAAAAGACAACTGAAGGCACGCAAGTCAAAAGCTACAGTGTGTAGCGGCACTAAAGGCCACTAAGCACTATCAAATGCCAAACTGTCCAAATATCTGTCTGGTGTGATTATGATCACTGCCATTCTTTTGGGATGTATTGAAGGAGACCCTTCAAGCCAACTGGCCCATGCAAAGGAGGTTCTCTTGTTTATTAGACCAATTTAGATCTGATCTCAAACTGCTACTAATCAAAGCGTTATACAGCACAACCAGACAGCATCTGTAGCTCAGAATACTGAAAACCCATGTCAGAGCAATATCTAAAGTGTAGAGAAGTACAGATACAGTTGTACTAGGCTGTAACTTTCTTTGCATTTAAACCCATCCACACCTATATATCTGACTGGGTTACACCACCACCACCACTCTGTGAGGGAAGCATAGTTGAATAAGCCAAGTTACCGACATTCAAGAGGAGTGCCAAACTAGTGCTGTGCAAATACATTCAAATCTGAAGAAAACTCACAAAGGCACCAATTCCATTATCACATGCTGTGCTTTGTTAATATCTCGTATAATGTCAGTGAAGTTCAAATGAAAAGGTCCTCATGCCACATCTAGGATATAATAACTATTATCAGGGCAGTGACTAAAGACATACAGTTAGTGTGAATGCATACAACATATTTAAATCAATCATCTACCTCATATTCAGGCGGAAATCTCACTCTGGAGCACAAAAGACCCGTTGTGAGGCAGGTAGGTACAACTAAATAATCAAGGCATATCTTGTTCTAACGCGCATTACTGCCCAGTCTTGGTCCTTTTGATGCGTATGTGACATACAGTACAGTACATAGATGCTGTTTGGTTAAAAATTCAGTTGGTTTTTCCTGGTCAGTTGAATGCCATACGGAAATTGCTGGATGCTTCTGAAAGATTCCAGAAGTTTCTCACAAGATCAAGCATCCGCTCCTCTTCTTCCTCTTCCGGACTTGCAATGCTGCCCTAGTCGCCATTTCAAACACTTCCCTCACGCCCTCTTTGGTCTTGGCTGAGCACTCCAGGTAACCAAAGGCGCTAATACGGTTAGCCATGTCCCGGCCTTCTTCTGGTTTAACAGGCTCCTGCAATTAGACCAGACGGGGTACAGACAAGGTGTTAGTTGAAGAATTGCTCTCCACTTTATGAATTCCATATTGGTTTCATATGTTGAAAACAAACATTTTTGCACAACAAAAGTAAGGCATTAAGGGCAGATTTATAAAAAGAGGTGCTAATTACCAATAATCTATTGACACTTTGTGTCAAGGGGGAGTGGCCACTTTAGCAGCTTATCTACTAAGAACTTCCATGCAAATGAACACGGGCACAACTTGATAATTAATATACGAACAGTGCAATAAAACCCATTTGGCTCATATTTGACTCAAGTTGAATAATGACATACAAAGTCAAAGTGTTGGAAAAGTAAGTCAAAATAAAGGAAACAAAAAAAAAAATATTTCAATGCGAGTCAGAAATCTGAGAAAATTCTAACTTTTGTTTAGAAACACATGCTCATTTTCAGCTAGTGTAATGAGCTGAAACTGTGGAAACTTATATTGTAAAATCCCTAATTTCACTGAGTGCATCCTGGCCACAAAAAGTAGCAAACTGACTAGTACCTTTAGTAACTGCGCAGCCAAAACAGCTTCAAAATGTGCTTTTAACAATAGTTTGGAAAAGAAAACTGTCAAATCACTATTTAAACAAAACCTACTCATAAGACACCGAGTGTTGTAAAATGTTGTTGTTGTAAAACACTTTTCTCTGTCTCTGTATATAAACAATGGCAGCCATTACCACCAAAAATAAGGTTTTAACAACTCACAGTTAGTATCTACAATCAGTTTTGGTAAATCAGAGTAGATGCTTCATTATAATAAATCACCTCAGAGTATTTTGTGCTTTGAGAGGGAAACTTCTAAAATTACTTATGTAATAATGGCAAAAGCACAAGAGCAGCAACCACCTTTTTAAATCTTCCTACGGCTGCTAAAGGGCTGTCACAGCAAATCACGACAGCCACTTTCTAACGCTGAAATGTGGTTTGCAACTGTGCAAAATTAGCAAATCTGCTCCTAAGCCTACATTTGAAGTAACATTTAACCTTCAATTCCATAACAGAAAACATGTATGGTTTCTTAAATACTCTGAGGACAATATCTTGTTTGCACATACTTTAGGCCAAGACTGACTTCTTGTTTTGTGGAACTCCTCCTCCCGAATAAGGAAACAATTCCATAATTCAACAGAATCCACCAGAATTTCCATCACATGACATAGATCAGTGATTCACAGTCACTCATCTAATGTACTTTTGCTTGCTATTTGTTAGTTTTTAATCCTGTCTAGGATAAATACCTAGTTGATTTTAAGATCAGACTTAATTTTAGGTCTAGCCCTAAAGATCACACCTGAGCACATCAAACCCTGCTATGAAAGAAGCACATCATTCAGTAGTGTAGACAGTGATAGCATCAGCTACCGGCTTTCAGGTTTGGCTGGCAGCCAAGAGTTAGAGTGCAATATGTGCTTGACTGATGATGATGATGTTCATGCCTCACAGAGTGACAGTAATGCAATCCTCTAAGTGCTTTTTAATGGGTCTCCTTAAGCAGAGCTGTGGGCCTCAGCGAGGGAACTACCTGCTTCATCTTAGCCAGCTCCCTCCGTGTGTGCTCATCGTTCCGCAGGTCCTTCTTATTCCCCACCAAAATGATGGGAACGTTAGGACAAAAGTGTTTCACCTCTGGTGTCCACTTTTCTGGAATATTCTCTGCAGGAAAGAAAACAATCAGATTGGAGAATTACATTCACATTCATTAAGACCCTAATTAATTGCCCTTCAAGTTAATTTCTAGACATTAAACAAAGGATCTCACTTAACGAAGAATTTGGAGTTAAACCAAACTACTGTCCGTAACCCATTTAATCTCAAAACATTTGCTTCCTGAACAAAAAGACTTTTCAGGGCTATGGTGACTCACTCAAGCTCGTCAGAGCCCAAACTTCCTGCTATTCACAGTTATAGAGAATACAGCCAGGATGTGCCTCATGATAGCTCAGATAAGCAGTGATGAGATCATACAAGAGGGAGAGAATCCTTATTCAGATGCTCCAAGAGGGCGCCAGTACAATCAAGATGTATATCAGCACACAGACAGAACTGTGACGAACAGCCTGAATATGACTCAGGGAAGTCAGCGTTTCCCACCACTGAGGAAATTCTATTTTATATCTAAGCCATAAAGGGAAAAAGAAAGCAAAATCATCTGCAGTGACTCAAACTTCCAAAAGCAGAAGAGCAGAAGATGATGGGCTGCTTGTTTGTTTGCGAGACATAATGTGGAGATTAGACTGTACCTAAACTGTCAGGGCTGTCAATGGAGAAGCACATAAGGATGACGTCCGTGTCTGGGTAGGAGAGTGGTCTCAAACGGTCATAATCTTCCTGACCTGCTGTGTCCCACAAGGCCAACTCCACCTGTCAGTCAAAAAGTGAGAAACTAGTGTCAAGGTAAAGTCAAACAAAACTGACTGAAGCCCTCATGGCCAGGCCAGGGGTGAGTGATACAGAAAAATACAATGTCACAATACTTGGAGACATCTTCATGAAACACATCATTATATTTGTACATAGACAATGCAGTAGACAGCAGCCAATCAAGACCACTTCACTCATCTGAGGCAGGGTTACTGTGAACTCCCAGGATCAATTACAGCTCAGTTGGTGGAAGATAATATTTTCATAAAGTTCCTAAATTGTGTGAAAATTGCCTATCAATCATTTAATAAGTATTTATAAACCCTAAAATAATGTATTTACAAATAATTTCATCTATAATGTGATTCTGGAGTTCCCTTAACAAATCTAGTATTTTTCCTCTCCTCTTTTACATCTCCAAATGGCACAGTGTTTGGCCTCATCCTGTCCCAGACCTAATGAACTGAATTAGGTAAACGGGTGATTAGGAAGGAATAAAACCCCGAGCCCTTCTGCTCCCTTGTGCCTCAAAGCTTGGCAGGGGCACTAAGGGACTTTACCCTGTAAAGCTGAGTCATGCTTTGGGTGGAGACAGCTAGGACTGACCTGAGAGCAGCTACAACCATCCAAATCCTAATCTTAATCATGATACGGAAAACAGTAAAACCTTACACGCTGTGACTGGGCTGATCTGAGGGAAAGTGCGTACGTGAGGAGGGATGGTGAACCACTTATTGAAACATATACAAGAGAGTGGCCTCCTACATCTGTGTAAGCATGAGGTTCAGCAACAACATTGAAAAAAAGGCAGGAAAAGAAAAAGGAGCTATATTTAGATCTTAGCTGTGCCCACAGACAGAGGAGGAAGAGTATAGAACGTTTCCCTTGGGCCAGAGGGATTTAGGCTAAGCTCAGGGTCTGTTTGGGAAGTTTCTAGACCTTATGCAAGCTTGGCAACAAGCTGGGTAGACTCTGTGGAGCATAACCCTGCAGAGAGAGAGAGGGAGAGAGAGAGGGAGAGAGAGGGAGAGAGAGAGAGAGAGAGAGGGAGGGAGAGAGAGAGCGAGAGAGAGGGAGACTAAGGGAGACTCTACAGTAACCCTCCTTAGATACTTTGTTCCTACATTTCCTGTGCAGGAGAAGTAACACACATATAGCTCCACCTCAACTATGCTCTCAGAGACACACAAAGGAAATGAACTGGCCCGTTTATCAGCCCATAAGAGCTAGGGGGAGGGGAAACGTCCAGACACCCATGTTCCCAAGTCAAAGCAGGAAACAAGCAAGTACAGCCATTTCCTGTTATGGTCGTTCCCGGTTTGGCCCTACTAGTGGCCAGTGCAAGACTAGTGTTATCAGCTAGCGCCCATTTACAGAGGAACATGTCTGACTAACCACCGGATGTCACTCATTTCACAACATCGACCATTACCTCAAGTCTAGTGGGAGATTCAAAACTTGTCTGGATACAGTCAAGAGTTAGGTGAGATATACTGTAAACAGCTCTTACAGGAAATAATTATTAAAAACAAAAATCACAGCCCTTAGATTCTTTCAAACTAAATTAATCTCCATTAATATCCAATTATGAGGAGACTAACTTAAATGGGTGAACCTAACCCTGTAACCTGGCACTCCCTGAGGATTACTTGCAAAGACAGAGCTGTTAGAGCTAGGCTTAGAAATCAAAGATTCTTTCAGTGAGAATATAGGTAGTTCACCAAAAATTACAGCATAGCCTACCTACCTAACAGATCAAATACAGAACACTTGGGCTAAATGATTTGGGCAAAATAATCATATCGGGATTTATCTGACTGGTATTGTGATTATTTTCTATTTTCTTTTTTGGCACCAAGGAAACCAACACAATATTTTTTTCAGAATTTCAGGCTTCAATGCTGCCAGACTCCCAGTTCACACACTTCTATTTATTATATTACATTTTCCCAATTAATACTTGGGACAATGTTGAATATTGTAGGGTATAATTAAAATAGCAGTTCTTAGGATTTTAAAATTGCACTTTCAAAATAAAAACAATTAATTTGTAAGCCCCAACATACACAAAAGTGTTTTTAGCTGTTTAAATTTACTTCAAAGATCAAGTTCACAGACAAACTTCCTTTCCACAATTCTTCACATTATTAGACTGAATCTGTAAAGCCCAGGCTTTAAAAGTATTTCACTTTCAAGTATAAGCTAAGAATCCATACCAACCTGTTTGCCATCCACCTCGATGTCTGCAATGTAGTTCTCAAAGACAGTGGGCACGTAGACTTCGGGGAACTGGTCTTTACTGAACACTATGAGCAGACAGGTCTTTCCACACGCTCCATCTCCCACTATCACCAGCTTTTTCCTTATGGCTGCCATGCCTGGAGATGACAAAGACATGTTACATGTTTGTTAGGCTGCCTACTGACATGTTGACAGATTGTTCTTCAGATATTTGAATAGCAGAGGGCAGTACAATTCTTCGCATTTTCATTTTTTTTGTAATTAAAAAAATTTCTTGCTTTTCAGTCTTACAAAAAATGAGGAAAAAAAGCACGGCTCACCAGTTCACATACATAATTCACATATAATAGATGTACAATCAGAACAGTGAAAACAGAGCATCCTTCTGCAGTCACGGCAAACAAGAATGATGTGGGATTATATAATTGAGAGTTACAGATAAAATCCATTGTACCTATCCCATTCCTACTTTAGCTAACGGATTGTATACAAACTGTATTAAAGAAATGGTTCCAAGTGTCAGAAATGTTTCCCCTGCCACCCATATGTCTTGCTAACATTCACACATATGTTGTCGTATAAGTCAATAATGTCATCTAGTCTTTTGACTTTGGCACATTTACACTCTTCCAATGTCTTAAGATTATTCTAGCAGCTGTGATAAAGCCTACCATGTTGAGAGAGAATTTGTTATATGAGACCTTTGGTAATTCAGTCCTATCTCCCAACAGACAAAGCCTAGACAACACTGGGATAATACAACCAGCCCATTTAGCTAAAATTTCTAGAACTTCTATCCAAAACATATTCACAAGAGGGCAACTCCAAAGTGCATGTACACATGTACCCTTCTTTTCTTTGCATTTTTAAAATGAAGGCTGGCACATAAAGCAACTAATTTTAATCAGTGACACTGACATAAAGACAAGAAATGTTTGTGCTATCTTTTGTACTACTTAAAACCAAGTGGTTGAACTTTAACAGCTTTTATTCTCTGATGAAGTGCACTTCACCTTCTGCCCCTTTCATACATTCAAAGGCAGAACTGCAAATAAAGAGTATAAAGAATAGGCTAAATTTGTGATAGAACACAAGGGTGAGATTAGGCCAGGGCTGAGACAGACATCACTAACTGTGCACACAGAAACCTACAATAAATACTTTCAACAGTTTATCATCAGTGGTTATACAATAAAAATGGAATTGTCAGATTCTTGTGATGTGGATTTTCAGTTAAATAATCAAATAATCCAGTCCTACAGGCTACTCTCAGATCCTGCCAAACTCTGTGAAAACAAGGTCACCTATTACAGAAAAACTTTGTCATAGCAATAACATCTGGAGAAGAAGTTAGGTGCTGCCTTGCAACACCAAAGGGCATGACTGTGCTTTGCAGGGTTGGTAATTACTTTTCTAGCACAATGATTAAAGCTTTAGACCCAGTAAGCGGAATAAATTCCTTATCAGGTATTGGAAGTCTGGCTAATTTATCTTCCTTTTTAAAGGGATATGAAAAAGTAGTTTTACCAATAGACAGACCAATATGGGAATTGTGGTATATCTGATATTTTTCCATGTACATGTTTGCTGATACAGAAACATTTATAAGTATGTAAATATTGTGATTACATCTGTCTGAATTAGCATGACAGAAAAATGCACAGTAGCTCAGCATGGCCTAAACTTTCTGCTCTTCTGGAAAACAATAAATTGCTCATCATACACTGGTTTAAAGTAAATCTACACTTGTCCACTGCCGATTCATTCTTTTAGGTACTGATCTGCCGATATCAATATGATTCTCATATCATTGTGCACGCCTGTTTATTAGCCATTTGTAGTATGTAACTAATTCTGCTTAAAACTTAAGTCATACAGCAGAAGGAATGTAGTCAGAGTCACCAAGAATGGCAAATACTACATTGCACAATTAGTGGTCTACTTCATGAAAGCAAACCCAGTGTACACTACACCACAAACTACACAGTAGTGCTAAATTATAAATATTTCATTTTTGTCTGTAGCAGTCTTTTTTTGTTTGTAAATGGTAAGCACTTAAATCAGAGAATCCTGACTCTACAGATCAATGACCTTTGCGCTCTGTGTTGAATATATACAGTCTAGTATAAAACCAAAGACCACCTTGTAGTGGCAAGGGGTTACAATTCAGAAGCTATTCAACAGTAACCATCTTCAACAGCTCTTACTTGTTGTAACAAACAAACCACCATAGTCAGAGATCATCTGCAATGAAAGGGTGCTTCTTAAAACAAATGCTTATTCTCCAATGCCCTTGGCCTTTGCTGATGGAACTATAAATCAGTGTGCTAGACAAGGTTCTGCACTGTAAGCAGCCACTGTGGAAAAAAGGTAGACTGGCATTTCTGAGGTAAACAAGCATGCCACCACTTCAGTTTATATTTGCTTTTGCTTCGAACCATTTTTACAGGCTGGCTGCTACAGTTTTTGGGACTGACTGAGAAGTAGTAGCTCTTCTTAAGGCCTGACGTATATGTGTGGGAGGGAGATAGGCAGCATCCATGATAATAAGCACCAGTAGGGAAGCACAGCTGTGCATATACTTGTACACCCCCACTCTCCACCTCTTCTTGAGACCTAACTGAACACACAAACATGCATGCACACACACCACTTATCACCAGGCACTTGTCATATTGTGCTGAGAGCAGTAAAAATAACTATTTTTAGTGCAGTCCTCCGTCCTCCTCGGCCCAGAATGCCATCTCGCACAAAGCTCCTTCCACCCACGAGAAGCACACGCTTTTGTTTCCATCCAGCAGAAAGCAAGAGTAATGGAAACCTTCCTCAATAAACAGTGTGAAGAGACAAGACTCTCACTATCGGATCTCTCAAAATAGAAAAAATCCTACGGATTTAAATTTTCAGAGTTGAATGGGATTCAATTTAAAGCCACAGGAGTATAGCATCTGCCTAAATTTCTCTTTAAAGATGCAAAATACAGGCCTCAGTGTAAAATTACCAATCTCAGGAGGAGCTCTTGAGTTTACAGCCAACTGAGCACTTCTTGTGACTTTGGAGCAGAAGCTGAAATGGGGAAAGACTATCAGGGCACATCACTGAGACACACAAACAACAAGTCAGTACAAGTCAGTACTTGAGCAACAGTAAGATGTTCTGCTCATGATTGTCTAGCTTTGTTTGTACATTTTCTTACTTGAGTCATGAGAATGTTAATTTACTTCAGCATGAACTCAAAATTACTAATTCTATGGCTTCAACATTTATTTAGTCTATTTAAATTTACTTAAAATCACTGTATAGACAAGTCTTCTAACCGTAAATCAGCTTGGAAAATTAAATTAAATTCCACAATTTCAACAAGACTAACACATTAGCTAACTCATATCACAACAAGGTTGGGCTTCAAACAGGTAGTACAGGTTTGACAGTTCTGTACATGAGTACTCATCTATGGCTACTGTTTTTAGAGTCAATGTGAATCAGAAAACAATGCATGTTCCTTCCATGACATATTCCCTTCAACTGAAGTAGTAGATCAGGGAGGATCTCTGAGCTTGCTGAGCGTTTTCACTCAGTGATGGGGGGGAGGTGGAAAGAGGGAAAACATGACGTTTTGATTAAAGGGCCGATATTACGGCAAGCCGAAAGGAATTTGATGTGTGTAAACCTTTTCATACACTCCATATATGCAAACTAACTGCAAACACAGCCTGTTTTTAAGTTGTTTTTGTGATGTCACAAAAACCTGCACATTTACATATATCCACTTCTTAAGCCTACAGCAGTTTAGCTCTGCCCATTCACACTGAAGTTATGACAAATAATTCAGCCCACACTGCCTTTTGAGTTAGGCTCATTACAGGGCAGCCAACCAGAACAGATGTCATTTACATATATCAGCCTTACAGGCACAACAAACAAAAACAGCCCGTTCAATTCTAAGGGATAAAGAGAGGTTGGAAAAAGGTCATGTATAAATTAATTCTGAATGTTTTTGGTACATAAGCCACACATATCATATGTAGACCCCAGGGGAAGAAAAAAAATACAAGAAAACCACAATATATGGGATCTTATATATATATATATATATTTTACCCACCTGCGGGTAGTGACAGAGTCAAAAATAAGAGGATGAATTTAGAGGAGAATTGTTTGCAGTTCTAAAAGCGTTTTCAGCAATTTAGCTTGTCCCACGTTTGATTCTTTGTGTCTTTTTTAGCAGTGGCAGATGGTGCTGGAGGCTTAATGATTTTACATGGAATGACTCTTGTTGGGGGGCTCCATTCTCTCAAATCCATTTCATGCAGGGAAACAGAAAATGTTCTCCAATCAGAACACTGGAAAACTTCCTTCAAAATCAGGCTACTTAACACTGCCGTGTACTGATTAGCTGGAGTGTACACAGCCCATTACTTTCATAGTCACAACACAACAATAAACCTTGTCAAACAACAAAGCAACAGTTTAGAAAGTTGGAATGCCCCATCATTTCTCTGAACCCAAGAAAAGATGCTGTAACTGGAAATGCATTCCACGTTGTTCACACACACACGTCATGCTTTCGTTTGAGTCATTCCAAATATTTCACTTCTGTTTGGGAACGACGAGAAAAAAAACCCCACACCAGACTGAACCAGTTATTCTGGTTTGAAAGGAAAATACATTTTCACAGATTTCATTTCATAATATTTTTACATCTGTGGGCCAACAAATATGTTGGTCACTGCTTTTCAAGCAGTTTAATAATCTGAAAATCCACACTAGTTCATCCTCGTATAGCATGACAATGCAGCAATGTGTGAAGGCTATGCATGTTTCTTCTGAGGTGTGTTAGGTTCGCTGCAGCTCCTGTTTGCCCAGCATAATGTTCTCAAAGGATAATGCAGTAGTTTCCAATCCTGCCCAAGGCCCTGTCTCGTGAAGCAGGACTTCTTGATCAGCTAGCTAACTTTAAGCTTAGTTTGATCTAACTCCGAAGTTTCTCTCTTACAACAGTGGATCACTTTCTACCAGGGAATATCACGGTGACTTATTCTGCATACCTAACTTGCTCCAGGGAACGTGGCGCTTGGGATTTAATCATACCATAGACAGCTCTTGGATCAATCAGGGCAAGTTTCTGAACAATCAGGGGCAAACTTCTGATGTGACTTCGGAAAAGAACCCTGCCTGTACTTCTGGGGTCACGTTGTTTATGAAATTTGTGCCATCAATTACATGAAAAATTTCTACATATTTACAAACTATGATTTTGAAAAGTAGACCACTTGATTTGTCCTCATGTTTCACACAATTAGCTATTTGTCATAAAATGTTAAGCTTTCATGTGCACATGCACAAGGATTTTCATAACTTGAATATTTACACCTGGGTTAACTGCCTTCATAAAATGAGTTAGTCTAATCACAGCTGCATCTGTTTGTTTTGTAAAGCTAAGGCTTAGTCAGAAACCATATTAAACGTGCTTTGTGATACAGGCCCCTGGAATACCTGCACACTTAGTACTCAGGAAGATCTTGTGAAGTAGCGGATTAGTTGGATCAGGTGCGTTAGAGGACAGAAATGAAAACATATCCAGGACAGAGCTACTTCAGGACCAGGGTAGGGAACCACTAGGATAATGTACCATAATTAAATGTAGTATCCATAACAATATATATTTCTAATGACATTTGTTCCATTTTTTCCCTTAAATGTGCATCCACAAGCTTTTTGATCTTTCACTGGCAGAATGCTATTTGTTTTTATCTTTTAAAATTCTATTACTGTGCATCATGTAGCTTACCGTGAAGTGTGTAGTGCGATATATATCTCTAATTTCCAGTTAAATATAGCAAAGTCTGAACCACATCTGTCTAGAAATGCCAGTTGTATTCATTTCAAAGTGTTCTAAGTTTTCAAAGTACCACCAATCAGGCAGACTGGAGCACCCTGAGATTCCTTGGGAGTCCCCAAACTGTTAGCTTGGGGCATAACAGTGGTAGTCTGAAATAACATTTGCTCCAAGGCTACAGAACCATTTTCAGGGTCCTACCCTAAAGCAAAGGTAAATCAGATCAGAGTGGAGTGCAAGATTTGCATGGAAATTTTTCCACAAAGCCCTAAAACTGCTGCATAAACTGAACTGTTGTTGTGACAGTGTGACTCAGAATGAAGTGTGTCAGTGGTTACTGACCCCAAGTCTTCCATGGCCGAATCCAGGATACAGAGGAGTGAAGTAATAATCATTATATGGCAGACAGTCATGTTAAAACACTCAACCTTATATCATACAATGGTGATAATTACTTGGGAAACTTCTAAAAGACTTGTGAAACACTGGGAAACAGAAAATTAAAGGGTTAGTTCAATTAAGGTCTCTCAATGGGTTTGTCATTCTTGGCTTCTCACCCTAACTAGGTTTCCAACAGCCTGACCAGATTGCTGATGTCATTCTTACTTAGGCTAACTGTATAATATTCCTGGGAAGAGGACAGGATCTTGTAGCATTGGAACATTACTCATAATTATGCAATATTTCCATTGCCCTTTCATATTCTCTTTGCAGAAAAAGAGTGGTTGCTTGCCTATACTGTATGAAGGCTGGGGTAAACTAGAGGAGAGAACCATTAGGATTATAAAAGGATGAACCCATAACCGGACTTTGGACACTGCATGCTCACCACTTTCTGTTGTTCCTTCAAACTGAGCCACTAACAACAAAAGGTCCCCACGTTGCATAAGAGTGAAGGGAAAGGGTGTGCATTTGACTAGAACCCCCCCACAGTATTTCCTCATTAGGTACTGTAGAGTGATTATGTTACCCCTAGAGAGACTACAGTCTGCCAAGGGATTGATATGACAGTTATTATGTGTGAGGTAGAATACCAAACCTTGTGAGGAGAAACACTCTGACTAGAAGCATCTACTTACTCACATAAGGCTCAATTACTATTCAATTCAAATATTCTCACCTTTCTCTGCATGTTTGCGTTTAAGGAAGGGCAGTTTAAGGAAGAGTGAGCAGAAAGTCTTTTTGCCAGAGAATAAATGACAAGTGGGACAGAATCAATAGTTTGACAAAAGATGCTGGATATTTATTTATAACAACAAGTCGCATGGCAGCTCAAAACCATAAGCTCAGTTTCTGTGTGAAATATTCCATTAGAAACTGTTAGGGGTGTTGAGTAAAACTATACAAGATGTCCAAAGGTTTGTAGACGCCCTTTCAAATTAGTGAAATCAGCTACTTTAAGGTGCCGCCATTGGTGATACAGGTGTTCAACTGTGCCCGCAGCTAGTAATCTCCATAGAAAAGCCAAACCAAGAGAATAGGACCCTCTGGAACACGTGAGCCTAAGGCAGTGGTGGGGAATTCCAGTCCTGCAGGGCCAGATTCTTCCATTTGGTGATTTTCCTGCTCAAGCACACCTGATCCAACTCATCAGTTAATTACCATGCTTTTTTGTGTGCTAGAGCAAAAAAATCTAAACTGTGCTAGACTCCAGCCCTCTGTTCCCCACCCCTGGCCTAAGGTAACAATGCTCAATGCCAAGCGTTGACTAGAGGGATATAAAGCCATTGGGCTGTGAAGCAGCGGAAGTGCATTCTCTAGAGTGATGAATCTAATACCTTTCAAATGAGTTGGAACCAGAACTGATCAGGCAACATCAGCATCTTGCCTCACTAATACTTTTGTGGCTGAATGCAATCAAATCCTCACAGCAATGTTCCAACATCTAGGAACCTAGAGAACCCGGTGTGGATGTTGGGTGCAAACTCCCCATTAATACCCTTAGCTTCAGAAGAAATGCTGGACGGGCAGGTATCTACAAACTTCTGGACATATAGTGTAGACTCAGTTAAACTGCTAAGGAAAATCTGGCCATCTGCATTGTGTAGAACAGCTTATCAATTACCACTGGAATCCACAGGGCACGATCAGAGAAACATTAGGTTACAACAGTGCATTACAGGTTAAAAGTTCTTGTCACTTTCAATTTTATAACCTTCTCTTATAACCCCAATAAACCCACAACGATTAATTTTGTAAAACTATTCCATCAATGGAATCTCTTTTTTGGAAAGTTCCCCATTTAACAGAATAAGCAATGTCCAATACACAGCCTCAATGACCAAAGAGCATCTGCTGATCTGCAACCTGCCTTACTTTCCATTTTCAATCAAGCTGAATAGGTTCTTAAATGTTACTGAAAGAAGACAGACTGAGCTGCTCATTGTCCAGTACTGGTTCCAAAACTTACACAGCAACAGGACAACTGCAATACACAGTGTACTACCGTGTGGTGAAGCAAGGTGGGACTTAAGACCCTGAATAGGCTGCAAATAAATCCATATTTATGGGCATGTGGTATTAAACAAAGTCCCCGATACTTAGGGCTCCCTCCCTAGCTTCCCCACAGCTCCTTCGTTGCTGTACTTTGAAAGTTGACCTAGTTTGCTTGTCTCGCTTGTGCCTTGTCCTCATGACTCAGTGAACTATATGCCTGTTTACTGTATCCGTGTCAGATGGCCTACTGCTTTTCAAGGATTAAAGCAGTGCACTCAGCGGGTCGCCTACGCTTGGGAATGACTCAAACCGTCTTAATGTCACCCTGTTTACAAATCCTTACCAGCTAACTACTTAAAGTCTTGTCATTTCAAAAGCGAAACTGTCTTGCTCCTTGTTTATCTGAATAAAGATGTTCCAGGCAGCCCAAACAACGCCCTGTGACTGCGACAAGGCGGGCCTCGCTGGCACTAAACAAATTCTTTCATACTTCTGTGACTCTAGTTTGTGCTGGAAGCCCATCCACCTCCTACTCTAAGCGCTCCAAGCGAAAGTTTTTTGACTCGAGCCACTGCCGACAGCAACGCCCTAGTATATGATTAAAGCCATTTCACTGCGTTAAGAATAAGAAGAAAAGACAAATCCTTGTCGACAGCACTGCTGCCAACCGACCCGAGGAACTACTCAAAACTACAGCGCTGTTCGAGGACTTGAGATTTCATGTAAAGTTATTTTTCCTGCCGCTGCCTCACCCTTCAGGTTATGAAAAGGAACTGCTAGGAATGTGAGAATTAACAGGTGGTCTACACAACCACAGGATAGCAGCGAATGCTAATCCATCGCTTAACTCCTCTCAGTACCTAAGAAAGACCGGAGTAAAAGGTGAATTCAAGCCTTCCCTACAAACACCATTCAGTCTTTCTGATTGACAAACAAGACTTTCAGGTCTGTGAGCCGAGCCACCACCTACTTTCACAAACCACCGCAGCAAAGAACGAAAAACTTGTCCTAACCAACGTCCCCAAGCTACTTCGACACGGTTTGCTGAAGAAATGAAAAACACAAGAGAGCAATACCTTATTTCTGCCGTTTTCGTGTTGTTTTAGCGCACTGCTAAACCTCCGTGGTGTCCAAGTTTCGGTGCTGTAAGCGGCGGATCCGCGGAGTCTGGCAGCTCTATTGCTAAGAAACGAAGCTGACAGACCTTAGCTCCGCCCACACAAGGGGGAACTGCGCCCGGTGCTAAATTCCTATTGGCTGAGAAGGCGGTTTATCCGTTAACAGTTATTTAGGCCCCTCCCCTTATCTCGATAATGATGACATCATTCCTACAACAGGGACAGCAGGGAGGGACGAGTGGTGGCGCAGCCCTCGACATCTCCAAGAACAGGAAAAAAAGCGATGTTAAAGGGAAAATCCACCAATTTTTCAAAAAACATCTGCATAATCAAATCATTAAAATGTAAACAAAGTCATTCAGAGTGGATGAGAAGAGTTCCGAGAATTTACTGAGTCAGAATTGTTTACAGTGGTCGTGATGGGAACCAAACGTCTAAGGAGTTTAATTCCTCACACAAAAACACATGAAATGGTTACAAATTGCCTGATATGTGAGATATCTTTCTACGTAAGTTTTAAGATAAGGTGTTAGCCTTAAATGTATGTTTAAAGTCATGGAAAATAGGTGCTTTTGAGATGAAATAGTCCTGGAAAAAACTTTTTGTCAGATTTACCACTATTTTACCATTATCAACATTACATATATTAGCTGGTCATTTAGATGGCTAGAAAATGGCTATGTCTGCTTTGTAGACATTGCAACTGTTCCTATCACCACCATTGGAAAAAAATCAGAGTCTCTAAGTTTCTCTTCAGTGTAGCATTTCACATCAAACACTGAATGACTTATGCAGAAATTTCACAAAGCCCTTTCAAAATTCTTTATGAGTGCAGAAGTTAGTATTTACTAAGTTATTCATACAATCAAGAAGCTATAAACAGTCATTAGGTATAAAGAGCAGAGGCTAACAGATAAGCCTTCTATTGGCCACTGTTTGCTGAGGCAAGCCTGCAATATAGGAAACAATAATTAGTTCTTCTAGGAAAAATGTCTTGTTATAAGTTTATTGTGAGGATTTCTTTCCTTTGGAAATAGATTTTTTGGCCCCACGGCACATTAAACAACTACACACAGTGAAACCACCTAAATATTCAATAAATGCTGACACTGATGTATCCCTTAATATTTTTCCTCTTTTCCATGGCACAAAGAAAACAACTCAACATACAGAGTCAAAACACACAATCATTTTTTTTGATAAGTGAGAGATTTATTGTGAATTAATCACAGTTGCCTAGGTTTTACAGCTTGACAAATTATTAAACAGTCAGCAGAAATGATATTTTTTCAACATGGACAAAAAACAAACAAACAAGCAAACAAATAAACCAAAACATGTGATGACAAAGAGTGCTAGCGGTCAGTGGATCTCAAATATTTCAATTTAGACACACAATGTGTCCAGTTCAAGATCATATAAGCAAGGATGGTTTTATTTTTAAAAATGAACACTAAAACATCACTGAAGGTAAAAGAGCTGCCATGTAGAATCTTTTTTTTTTTTCCCCCCCAACATAATTTCACAACTAAGGTAGCTCAGATACACTTAGATGTAGGTTACAGTAAGAGTGTTTAACTTACTACTGAGGGTGAGTTTCTTGGTTCGGTACCAAGCCTGGACTAAAAGTTTCCTAAAAAGAGATTCTTCACTCAAACTAATGCTAACTTAAGGATTAGGCCTCTAAATGTGGCTCATAGAAAGTGGCCCATTAGCTACAGTTTAGGCGCACGAATACATTTGGGGTCTATTATCAAAAGTTCTAATTAGAAGCTTTTAAGTTGGACATTCGGCATGGCTTTGTGGAGAGGTAGGGAACGCAGTTTCAGTCAACTGTGCAAAAGTAGTTACATGGCTGTCTCTACTTTCCAGCAGCTCTGTGAAGGCAAGGGTTACAGTAGATAGTACAGTACGTCTCCAGAATTCTTCTTGATTGCCTGAACCACAATGTTTACCATACCATCACTGCCTTTCCAGAGGAGGTGCGTTTGATCCATTGATCCTCGATGTCAGGAGTAATGTAATAACTGTGCTTCCCTTCTTTCTTGGTGAAAAAAAAAACAACTAAAAGCAAACTCAGTACCAACACATGTTTAGACAGGTACATTCTTTGGAGACATTCAGGAGATGATTATAATTAGCAAAGGTTTAATTACAGATTGATGGGTTTCTGCTAAAGATAAAGTGCTTACATTTGTACATCCTTCATCACCAAGGTCTTCATCTTATATCAACAGTGGCTCATTCTTTTTGTCACATTCAGATAAGGTTTTAAACACGCAACTGAACATTCAGCCTCTCTGCTTTCCTCCTCTCTGCTCCTGCATGGACCTCCGGAGTGAATATTACAGCAGCTTCGTCTGTTCTGGAGTCATCTGAAAAGTAAGCAGTCTTTTAAAATGAGTCTGTACGAAATGTCGGGTGAGAAGAGTGGCACTTAATGATGATGTCATCCCACGCTTGACACGAGGTAAGAGTCAAGAATGAGGAATGCGACTCTGAAAAGAAGGAGGAAGAGGAACAACGCGTACATCTTTCCCGCCCGCTTTCTTCGGCTCAAATGAAAATGGATTTTTTTTGGTTTTGCACCCCTTCCTCAGCAGGCGGGAAGTAAGGGCGTGTCCTGATTTGCTTGCCGGTGGAGAATGGACCCAGCTCGTCATGTCTCTGACTCCGCTTCCGCCAACGGGATGACGAACACTGTGATGTCATCACCTGAGCCCAGTCTGTCATTGGGCAGCCGCCAGCCCCGCTCTTTGAGAACACCTCGTGACCTCATCAGGAGGTCCTGAGCTGCCAAGGTGTACCTTTAAGAAAGATAAAATATGAAATAAATGTTTTTTCTGCACTTAAACACACTGTTTTTTGTGGTATTATAACATGGGCTATTTGTAATTTCACACTTGATGATCACAAGGGAAACCGAGATAACCGAGACATGACTGCACAGTGACATCTAGTGACGAGTCTAAAGCAACACAGCCCAGGCAGCCATACTTTAAAGAGGAAGTCCACCAATTTTTCTAACTTTCTACACTTGCAGTCAACGAGATGTGAACAAATTTATTCTCAGTGGTTTAAAGTGAAATGGTTAATCGTACAGAAACTTACTTTTACTTAATTTATTTTCAGTGGTATTGATATGAACCAGCAGTCACCATATCTACAACACAAATACAGCCATTTCATTGACTATCCAAAGTGAACAATGAATCTACACGTCTTATATGTAATATTGACAGTAGTGAAGTAGTGGTAAATCTGGAAAAAAGTTTTCTTTGGGTACTATTTTTCCTTACAACGTCCTGCATGTCCCTCTACGCCATGAATAGCTTTTTAAAAATAGGTTTTAGGCTGAAGCCTTCTCAAAACTATCTGAAAACAATGACTCAATCATCAGGTAGTGCATTTGTAATCATTTCATGTAATATCATTTTGTGAGATAAATTTTATAGACATCAAACGTTTTGGACTTTTGGTTCCTATCACCACCACTGTGAACAATTCTGACTTGGTAAATTTCTCTAGAATAGCCTTTTCACATTACATTTTAAACATCTTAATGATTTAATTATGAAAAAATGTTTGAATATTGAATCCTGGATTCCCCTCTTACACCAGTTGTTAAGAAACGTTTGGGAACCAGTATTTTAAACCAGTTTTCCATTCCAGTCATTGACGCCCCACATTCTTACTCTATCCTAGCTCCCAATACAGAAGACTGAAAAGCTGGTACAGTTGTGCTCGAAACTGGAAGCAAAAATTGACTGTCTTGGGGGTTCCTGATTTTTGCATTGGAAAACACTGCTTTATGCCATCCTTAGGATAAAACAAGTGTAACATTTGGTGGCTGCAGTTAGTTTGGTTTTTATAGTACGTGTCAAACAGGCAGATTATGAAGAAGATGTCAAAGGTTAAAAGCGTACCGCATTGGGTCATTAGGCTCACAGCGGGAAAGGAAGTTTGTCACTGCATCAGCTACTTCTCTGTCGGAGGTCACATCCCACAGCCCATCAGTTCCCATAATGAGGACATCATCAGAACCGTGCTTGTGCTCTGAAATGTTGTACACTTTTACCTGGACAAATAGAGAAAAAGGAAACAGGATATTAGCAAGAATATAAAAAGAATATATAAATTTCATGTTCTCTGCTCTGAATGCATTCGAGCTACTGTTCTAAATACAGAAGAACTACAATAATGGATCTTTAACTGCAGTTATCCTGAAGTCAGTGGATGGATGGATGAATGAAGAGATGTAATTCCATGACACACCTCTGGACAGCAGGATAGGAAAGGTTTGATGTGAATGTTGGAGTTGTACACTTTCAGGTCATGATCGCCTAAACCACGTGTTACTCCAATAGTGGCCATGACTCGGGCCTGTGAATGAAAACACACACAGTTTGGTTACTATGGATACAATAACACAGATTATTTCAGAGTCTTATAGCTAGAAGTCATACTCTGTAAACATCAGTGACCAAAAACGAATCTCAATTTTTAAAAACATCTTTCCTTGTGGGGACCGGCCAAAAATGTCTACAACATCAAAAAATCACGTTTCACATCATCTTGGGAACATGTCGTCCCCAAAAAGGTGCAGCTTAGACTGAACAAAGGCGCAGAAGAAGCTCAGCTGCACTGGGACTGCTCGTACTCTTTCTGATATCCTTTAGTCTCTCTGTATCATGTGTTAAGACATAAACCACCTCTGACTAGTCCAGGTTACTATTAATTTAAAAAAAATGACTCCTTGATTATGAAATGAAATGATACCTTTTTCCCTTCCCCATAAATGAGTGGGAACTTGAGGTCATCTTCCACAATTGTCTTGTATGCCCTGCAATGAGAAATTTAAACGTGACATCACACACACAGTCAAAAGAGGAACAAGATATGTAGCCACAGACCAATTAACTTGCATCTTGCATCCAAACCCTCAAAGCATGTTGGACCTCTTAATATCACTTACCACCCAGTCATGGTGTGGTCTCTAAAGAGCATCTTCTTGCCCAACTCCTTGTGTTGTATGCGTCGGGGAAACTCAATGTGTGTGAACTCATTCCCAAGCAGTTCTGGTTTAAGGA